GTTCAAATAACGCGGTTTCTTTGAAGAGAACCGGCGTGGTTCGTGTGATCTTGATTTTCGAGTCACGACCGTAAAAATTGCCAAATCGAGAATGAGTGAGGACCCGAAATTGGTACCCCGGTTTCTTTTCTTCTTCAAATCGACTATTGGGTTCGTGTCAAAATCAGTATGAGAATATATTATTTCGGGTTTATAGCCTGAAGTCTAAAAAACCTGCTGAAAATGGAACTAGTATAAGTGGTTTCTCACAAAGATATCGAGCAATTTTGAAGGAGGAGAGCAGAGCCGTAACTAGACCTGTTTGCGCCTGTGGCAGGTTAATAATTTGCGCCCCATATCCAATGTAAAAAAGTAGATAACTGATATTCCTGTTTCATTTGACATTACTAAAGTAATAACATCCAGCTCAAAATTTGAAGAATCACTCAGGACCGGTTTATCAATCTAGTGATAACTCGCAGTTTGCTGTTCCTGGGTCAACTCTAGCCTATAAAATTATTAATTTTATTTGTACTAAAAATAATTAACTAAAGAAAAATAGCTCTAACTCTGGGTTAACTCCGTAGTTAAGTCGAAAGGAGTTTATCTAAGCATTTTTAACCCAGGACTGGGTTCTTCGAAGGTTAGCATTACTTAAGCAACGTTGCCAGCTCACTTTTAGCGAGTTTTTGACATTATTTGCACATACCTTACTTTTTTAGGTTATTTTTTTCTTTTTTTTCCGTTTCCATAGCTGGATTCAGCGGGAAGTTTCATGGTTTCATGAATTCTGTGCAAAAATATACAATATACTCGAATTCCCAACAAACGTACCTGTTTATTGGGAATTCAAGTCTATGCTCGATTTGTTCTAGAACAAATAAAATCGTGTCTTTTCGCAAGCGAGAATATGCGAAGAAGTCGACAAAATCGACAAAGGGATTTAACCGCAACCTTACGTGGTACAGGCGCCGCTCATGCATGTTCTAGAAATTCTAGAACATCTCGATCATGATCATCATCACGGAAATCTAGGTCCTCCATCTCTTCACAATATCAAAATTCAAGCCAAAACCACCACTTCAGATAGAAAATAAGAGAAAATTTTTAGGTTAACTCAGGGTCAAATACGCTAACTTGTCGTGAGAGCGCGGGTTAACTTTTTCCTGGAATAACTTTCGAGTTAGCAGTTGAGCCTGGATGGATAAACACTTTTCACAACTTTGACGCAAGATTATCCGTAACTCATGGTGTGCTCTATTGATAAACCGCCCCTTAATAACATAACATACATAGGTAGTATCAAGTATTATGTAATAGCAGAAAACAAGTCAAGGAACAGATAAAAAGAGGATTATTGACTAAATAGGGTGTCCGAAATAACTTGAAGTACATGAGGATATTAAAAACCATTGAAGATATAGGGTGGACCAAATGGGGAAAAAGTTGCGCAATCAAGCTTTAAGCTCTCTTTTCCTATTTATTTATGCGAGACACGTCAATTCTAGCTTTTTTTTAAATCCAAATGAGCGTTCACACTAAAGTAGCATGCGACGTGCGACATACTGCTAGAAAGCAGGAAGCACCCAAACCATCAAAATATACGACACGTCGCATTTTTGCGACGCCACTCCTATGTGAATCCGCCATATATTTTTGAAGGTTCTGAAATAAGTAGCATGTTTTTTGCTCTCTGGGGCCGGATTCTCGTCTCAGGGAGTAGAGCTCCCCGAAAGAACAAATTTTCCGTTTCGTCTCAGACGAGAATCCGGCCCCTGGCAGCAAGTCGCACGTCGCATGCTACTTTGGCGTGAGTACCCACTTATAGAGTCATATCCTCGATAGCACGACCACTGAGAAAAACCGAAATCAGCTGTCACAGTATTAAGACAAACAAATCTTTCTTCAATCCGTGTTCTAAGATCTGTTCTCACCATTGTAGCACGAAAGCCTCTCCTCTGACAGTTTGCAAACTGTCAGTAAGCATCGCCCATACATGTTTTCAATGCCGTCGGTTCAACATAAATCGCTAAATTAGCTGAGTGATAATTTCTGAACGGTTGCAAACTGTCAGAGACTCCTGTGAGAACAGACCTATAATTTCATAAATTACTTGCAAGAGTTCAATGTCCAAATGTGTTTTGGAAAAGATGTATCATTTCCGTTTCTATCTTCTGGGTTGTTTTAGTTCCATATCAATAAATGAATATCTATTTCGCTGTATCAAGTATAAAATCCGAAAAGCGCTCTTCAAACTTCTGGTGTGCTGCGCAAAAGGCGCTTTACGCTTAACGATTAGTGGCAGATTATGCCCTTTTGAAGCTTATTGCGCCCGTGGCAAATGCCACCTTCGCCACGCCCTAGTTACGGCACTGGAGGAGAGCAAAACAGAATTACGACTACAATTTAGTTTATGATTTATCTGCTTTCCATCATAAACTAACGTTTCCACTTTCAGTGTCATCCTCAAAGTTTCTAGTAAATTAACTATAGAGCCCCAAAAAGCCTAAATTTTCCATTTTTGTCATTTAGTAACCTTCTAAGTGCTGTGGCATACCTACCTTCTTCCCAAACAGAAGGTGGATACTTTTGAAATTTCTCTCACAAACGAATGAATTGTTGCGGAATTTATGGGTGGAACTCTGCGGGACGAGCGCAGCGAGTTCCGCAGTCATCTATTCATTAATACGTTGTTCAAATACGATACTAACCTGACTCACTCAAATGTCAGTTAATTCTCATTAGTTCAAAAACTACAAGTTTCAGGTGAGTGTCTTATTTGAATAGTTGAACAGTATATTGGTGAGTAGATGGCTGCGGAACTCGCTGCGCTCGTCCCGCAGAGATCCACCCATAAGTTCCGCAATAATACACTTATTTGTACTTGAACAATAACTTATTATGTAAAGTCAAAATTTGTAAGATTATGATTATTCACTTTTTGTCAATTTGCCTTTCAACAGGAATTAGTAAATGTTACTTCACCAAACTAGTAACATAATGTGTAAGTACAAATGAGTGAATTGTTGCGGAACTTATGGATGGACCTCTGCGAGACGAGCGCAGCGAGTTCCGCAGCCATCTATTCATCAATATGTTGTTTAATTACGATACTAAACTAACACTCAAATGTGCGTTATTCTCATTAGTTTAAAAATTATACGTTTCAGGTGAATGTCTTACTTGAACAGTTCAACAATATATTGGTGATTAGAAGGCTGCGGAACTCGCTGCGCTCGTCCCGCAGAGGTCCACCCATAAGTTCCGCAACAATCCACTTATTTGTACTTGAACAATAACTTATTATATAAAGTCAGAATTTGTAAGATTATCCACTTTTTGTCAATTGGCCTTTTAACAGAAATTAGTAATGTTACTGTGACAAGTTAGTGAAGTACAAACGAGTGGATTGTTGCGGAACTTATGGGTGGACCCAGCCATCTATTCACCAATATGTTGTTCAAGTACAATACTGATTCACTTAGTTGAGAATTTTTCTCATTAGTTCAAAAACTACACGTTTCAGGTGAGTGTCTTATTTGAACAGTTCAACAGTATATTGGTGAGTAGATGGTCCATCCATAAGTTCCGCAATAATCCACTTGCAATGGTTTTATACTCACTTGTGAATAATTTCTAATTTTGAAATTCTAATTAAATAGCTATCGGTATTTGTTTTATCTGCCGTTATACAAGGGCGTACACCAACATACGCATAGTAAAATATTTATGAGTGTCTCCTTAAAAAAGTTGTAAAGTAATTGTTAGTCAACACTTGCCAGACGGATCGTTAATTTTCAATCACGTTTGCGTATTTGCATTTCGTTAATGCAAAATAGGAAAGAGCGCGGTCGAATTCCGTTTGTGTTTTTTAAGGTTGTCCATTTAAATTGACGCAAAAAAATAAATTAAATTGGTGGCCGGCCTTGACATGTTCGGATAACTTTTACCTTTACATATCTTTTCTTTTCCAATGTTTTGTTACTAGATTTCTATTTATAATTTCATGTTGTTCAGTTTTTTTTGCAGGCCATGAGGGATGTTTCCTGTTGCTACGTTGCTAGTTCCATCAGATATTTCTTCGCAATTAAAATCATGAATCATGTCATTCTTCCTTGTCGTTTTTAACGGGCCCTTGTCTAAAAGTTACCAGGTACTTCAGTACTTTTTTCGATAATTTGCCGTTGAAAGTACCTGCTGTTTAAAAAGTTGAATATTATGTACCTACACTACTTGGCAGGAGAGAATCCTGACAAGAATTTGTGTGAGGGGTGTAAAAAACCCCTCCTTCTGCCTTTTGATCCTGAGGAACTGTGTCATCCACATGGTGACTCTCTATCCTGGTAAACACCCTGTGGAAGAGGGTCCATAGATTGATTTTGTGATGTCAAGGAAGGCTCTGCCTCTAAGTGTCTTTGGAGGCTGCTAAATGTTCTAATTATTCGATTGACTTTGTTGTCGACTATTCCGTGAGGCGAATCAGTTAATAATTGAGACAGCTTCAAAGATGTTAGTGCGATTCTGCCATATTGGATTCTAGTAGGGGTACACTCTCAACTAGGTATCTTGATCGAGTTGATTTTTGATATTAATTTCGAAATTTCAAATTTCTAATTAATGCTAAATTCTTGTAGAAAGAAAATATCTACCTATTCGTCCAAGAAATTTTATTTGGAAAGTTTGCGGTGTGTCTTCACCGCAAAAATTCATGAAGCCAATAACAATAAATTGTCGGTAGAAATCGAAGAATTTTGAAGTCAGATTCAACAAGAAAGACTTTACTAAAATCGTATTTTAAATTTCAATTCAAGAATGATTTGAATTGTTAGAGTTTCCCATATTGTCTACTTAAGCTGGGCCTCTCTGAGAATGAGAAATTCAGCGGAAAAAATTTGAATTAAGCTTGGATAAGCCAAATTTCGTATACCATTTGGGCGATTGGTGATTCTTAAGATAGAGCTTCAAGGCACAATTTTTATCGTAAAATAAATTAAATGTATCAAAAAGTGAAATTCCATTACCTTCAAAGCTTTAATTATCCGTTAAAAAACTGGCAATCCAAATTATCCACACCGCAAGAACCACTCATCCTTGACTTAAAACAAAATCCACAAATCGTTTTACATTCGCGATATTTGAATTTGTTTCGTTCACAATGTTTTTTTGTAAAGGTAAATTACCGTTACACCATAGTCCTTGGTTTAAGATCAAAATCGTGATCATCAAACGGAATACCATTAAACAATGTATCAAAAGATTTTGATAAATTTGGGCACTTTTGAGATTTTTGTTATAAAATTTTGGCGCCTCGACATTCGTTAATTTAAATGTGTCGAAACGTTCGCCGTTAACTACTATTGAATAACGCCGTTAATTAATACTCTGACTCTCGCGGGAGTGCGGGAGAGTCTGGTTTGTTGTTATTCGGTCGGTTTCTTCGTCGCACTGCAGGTCTGTGAAGTGGGGATTCCGCGTTCTAAAATAAACGAAAATCTGGTAGGTTTGTTTGCACTTTACCGGAATGCACAATCTCAAGTTTGAATAAATATTTGATTAGATGTTAGATTGACGTGTTACACCACTTCTTGATGCACAGTACATTCCTCTGGCATAACACATCGAGTGAATTCATTTTTGATTTGGATGACACCAATTTCTGACCATTTTGAAGTTACACTTTACATATAGAGCAGTTTCAGAAGCTTATTAAAGAAGAAAAATCCTATTCAGGGCTCTTTTGGAGTAATGAACTTCAACTTCCGTTCCGACTATCCCAGAGTTAAAGTTGAACTATGGCAGTTGAAAACGTCAATTATTTTGGCGCTTATATGCAGCTGAACATGAAATAGAGAAACATGGAGACATGATTCTTGGCTCTAAGAGTTGGAAATGAGCTGGTGAAGAATCAAACTTGGATTTCTTATCATCTCAAAGTTACAATTCCCATAGAGCGGTTTAAGAAGCTCATTTTGCACCCTAGTAGGGCTAAAATTAATCTGAGAAAAATGTAAATCCTTTTCAACGCTCTGCTAGAGTAATGAACTTCAATTTCTGACTATCCCAGAATTAAAGTTGAACTATGGCAGTTGAAAACGTCAATTATTTTAGCCCTTATGCAGCTGAACATGAAATAGAGAAACATGGAAACATGATTCTTTGCTCTAAGAGTTGGAATTGAGCTGGAGAAGAATCAAACTTGGATTTCTTATCATCTCAAAGTTACAATTCCCATAAAGCGGTTTAAGAAGCTCATTTTGCACCCTAGTAGGGCTAAAATTCATCTGAGAAAAATTGAAATCCTATTCAAGGCTCTCCCAGAGTAATGAACTTCAATTTCTGACTATTCCAGAATTAAAGTTGAACTATGGCAATTGAAAACGTCAATTATTTTGGCCCTTATGCAGCTGAACATGAAATAGAGAAACATGGAGACATGATTCTTGGCTCTAAGAGTTGAAAATGAGCTGGTGAAAAATCAAACTTGGATTTCTTATCATCTCAAAGTTACAATTCCCATAGAGCGGTTTAAGAAGCTCATTTTGCACCCTAGTAGGGCTAAAATTAATCTGAGAAAAATGTAAATCCTTTTCAACGCTCTGTTAGAGTAATGAACTTCAATTTCTGACTATCCCAGAATTAAAGTTGAACTATGGCAGTTGAAAACGTCAAATATTTTGGCCCTTATGCAGCTGAACATGAAATAAGGAAACATGGAAACATGATTCTTGGCTCTAAGAGTTGGAATTGAGCTGGAGAAGAATCAAACTTGGATTTCTTATCATCTCAAAGTTACAATTCCCATAGACGGGTTTAAGAAGCTCATTTTGCAACCTAGTAGGGCTAAAATTAATCTGAGAAAAATTTAAATCTTTTTCAAGGCTCTCCTAGAGTAATGAACTTAAATTTCTGACTATCCCAGAATTAAAGTTGAACTATGGCAGTTGAAAACGTCAATTATTTTGACCCTTATGCAGCTGAACATGAAATAGAGAAACATGGAAACATGATTCTTGGCTCTAAGAGTTGGAATTGAGCTGGAGAAGAATCAAACTTGGATTTCTTATCATCTCAAAGTTACAATTCCCATAGAGCAGTTTAAGAAGCTCATTTTGCACCCTAGTAGGGCTAAAATTCATCTGAGAAAAATTGAAATCCTATTCAAGGCTCTCCTAGAGCAATGAACTTCAATTTCTGACTATCCCAGAATTAAAGTTGAACTATGGCAGTTGAAAACGTCAATTATTTTGGCCCTTATGCAGCTGAACATGAAATAGAGAAACATGGAAACATGATTCTTGGCTCTAAGAGTTGGAATTGAGCTGGAGAAGAATCAAACTTGGATTTCTTATCATCTCAAAGTTACAATTCCCATAGAGCAGTTTAAGAAGCTCATTTTGCACCCTAGTAGGGCTAAAATTCATCTGAGAAAAATTGAAATCCTATTCAAGGCTCTCCTAGAGCAATGAACTTCAATTTCTGACTATTCCAGAATTAAAGTTGAACTATGGCAATTGAAAACGTCAATTATTTAGGCCCTTATGCAGCTGAACATGAAATAGAGAAACATGAAAACATGATTCTTGGCTCTAAGAGTTGGAATTGAGCTGGTGAAGAATCAAACTTCGATTTCTTATCATTTTAAAGTTACAGTTCCCATAGAGCGGCTTGAGGTCCTTGGGAGCTCATTTTGCACCCTCGTAGGGGTGAGAAAAATTAAAGTCTCTAGAAGAGCCTTATTCTAGAGTAATGGAACTTCAATTTCTGACGTTAAAGTCTATGGTTAAAGTTAAAAACATCAGTCACACGAGTTACCATAGACCAATAACAATTCAGACGTGAGATAAAAGAGGGATAAATTCTTTAAAATAAAAAAATAAAAAAACATTTGTTGTCAAAACACAAAACAGGAATCCTAAAGAGCCGAAACGAAAGTAGATTTTTGACTGAAGCTGAAGCAAATCTTGTCGTATAGAGCAGTTAACAAGTATGTATAAACTTTACCAAAAAGTAAATGTCCAATCTTCTGTTTTTCGAATGTCCGTTCGAATTATTTCTTCATATTCTTTTGTTCCCAATATGATGTCGATTGGCCCTGGTCGGTAGAACATGGGGTTAGCAAGTACATCGTTTTTCCTTTGGTCGATATTTACGGCGACTTCTTTACTTAGTAGCATTCTTGTCAAGTCCGGAAACGTCGGCCCTCATGCGCTGACGTCGTAGGGATAGTAATGAAGCAGCTTCTTCAGTTATGAATGTGGATTGAGAGCCTGGATCTATTAACACTCGTAAATGCTCAACTATCCCTTGGTTATTGTGGACTTTGATGACTGGCTTTTGCCAACAGGACTAATTCGATCACGAGAAGAATAAATTATGAAAAGACCTGAAGTTATGTTTCCAAGAAGGCAAGAAAACCTAGAGCAGGTTCTTTTTGAACTATTTAATAAAACATTATGTGACGTGTAGCATTGAAGATGATTTTCGTTCATTAGAATAATATGAAGGATCCAGGAAAGAAGAAGTTCCTTATCTTTTCCTTTTGGTTCACTTTTTTTCCTTCAAAATTGTCTCCAGAAACAGCTGAGGATGTGAAGATATTATTAAGAAGGATATAGGTAGGTACTTTCTTAATTCTTAGGGAATTTCCTGCAAGGGACTGTGTTTCGAATTTTCACCATTTGTAAAAACCTATAGAAACATGGTGAATTTAATGGAGAAGTTAGCCGAATGTTTACACAAGATATTTGAGACTGTCCAGAAGTATATTTTGAAAATCGTGAAGATCACAAATGAGTATTTTATCAAAATATCTCGGAAATACCCACCACTACTCAATCAACGATATGAGCTAGGCTAGACTTACTTACCTGAAGCTGTTAACAGACAATAGGGACAATACACTTTCCTGCCAAAACAAAAGGAGAAATACCACACTACCAATAAATAAAACAATAAAATTACTGACAAAATATCATTTATTAAAATTCGATCACAAAATACAATACATAATACATACTTCATAGCCACATATACATAAATAGTATACTTACATTATACAAATTACAAGGCATTTTTAAAGTGTTACATCACTATATTTTCTGTAGAAATAATTTAATTAAAGCTAACTTAATTTCTTTTATATAAATATCTAACAAATTTTAACAGAGCACCTAAATTATAAGCAAAATATATCGACAAAGCTACTAGAATACTGTTTGAAGGAATCGGTTAGTAAGTTCAGTCAAGATTTATTAAAAATACCTAATTTTGCACATTGCTATTTCTTTTTTGTTTAGGTATAGTCCTCACTTTTGCACTAGGCTTCATTTTATTTTTATTTGCCGCACCGTGATAAGTAAGGAATTGCGTATTTTTATATATTGAAGACGTCGAATCTGCTATACTTCTTCCATCTCCTTCATCGCGTCGTGACATTTCCGAAAAAGGAGATAGCCTTTTTGGTTCCATGTCGTCTTTTTGTCTATGTTCAGACCTAGAGAAATTAAAACCTCAATGTTAAAAAACTTTAAAATATTCACAGGTACCTCAAAACTAGCTTGTTCTTAACCTCCCTCTCTAGAATATCTGCCGTAGTCAAATCTGAGCTTTGAATTTGTTGCAACGCACCAGCATTTTCTGCCAACCAAGGTCTAGGCAACTTATTTTTTTGACACCCACAATTTTCCGCTTTACATCTTTGGCACTGAGAATTGTTCACTTCCTTACTGATATCTTCATCATCGAGAATTCCTATTAAAAAAATAAAATAAAAATCTGAAACCTAGTCATATTATTTCACTTACCTAATGTAATTTTCTCGAGCACAGTATTATCAGTCTTTGGAGCAGCATTATTCGATTGACTCAAAAGCAGTTTTGACAATGGGGGCGCAAGGCCAAGTCCTATATTCCTTTCATGATAAACTTCCGATATTGTTGGGGTCAACTCTCGATTAATATGCCTCAGTTGAGTGGCCAAAATTGTATCGTGCAATGCGGCAGCGTTGCCTGCTTTGATCCCCATGGACACGTCAGCTTTAGCCATTTCTGATTCTTCAGGATCATGGTTTCCTCCTACAGCATTGGCTGTCATTGACACCAACGAAGATAATGTAACTGAAGCATCGGATTCGTTTGGTGAAAAATAGAGTAAACGCTCATTAGATGGAAGAGTCTCTTCACTAGGAAGTGTTATTGGTTTACGAACTGGTGGTGGAGGTTGATGAAGTGGGGGCTCAGACCTTACACTAAGCCTGTCAAGAGTAAACAAGGGATTTCTGGACTTCTTCATTACAATTTTGCCTCTGGGTGTCGATGTACTAAATATTTTAGCTTCCATTTTTTCTAATTCACTGTCAGAACTGTTTTCAAACATTCCTGGGGGCAGATTATTGTAGAGCGGTAAATCTACTAATGGTTTAGTAGATCTTGGTGGTGGTAGAGGTGGCATCTGGTTTTGAGTTTGACGTCTTAAAACAGTTGCATGTCCGCTTTCCCAATCTGTAGCTGAACTAGCAGAGCTGGAACTGCCTGGGCGTAGAGGATCAGCTTTGGCATCACCCTGGGAGTATAGATTTCTAGAAAAAATAATGTCAATAATAGTCTTTATAATATTGTTTATGGCTATGACAAACCTTATTCTAGTTTGATGAGCCAAAGATAAAGCCATACTAGGATTTTCTGTTTGCATTGCCACTGGAGGACTTGGTGTAAATGCTGCATCAGATTCGCCACCTCCTGGTCGTGCCAGAGTTGTGGTTTTACGTAGTCTTGCATCAGGAAGTGTTTTGGTATCGGAAGGATTTGCTGTGCGACCATCCGGTTCACCTCTTCGTCTTACATATGATGTAAACGCCCCACCTAATCTTTTTTGAGGCAATACTGTTCTGCTGAAAGGTGGAGGTACCCGTTTGGGTAAAATTTTGGAAGTTGGTTGAGGTGATGAGCAAATTTCGGTGTCCGAGTGAGGGTAGTCATTATCTACCGAGGCAAGTGATTCCAGACTACTGGACGAATCTATTGTTAGACTTTTTGGTGCTTCTTGAGTATCTGCATAAGAATTTGTTTTATTAGAAAAAAAAATCGTACCAGTGAAAGGCACTTACCAAACAGAGCTAGTAAGGCTTGCAAAGTAAACTGAATATTTCTTTTATTTGCTTGTTTCCCAGTACGTAAAGTAACTTTATCTTGTCCAACATCACATAAGTCGAAACCTAAAGATGCTAAAAGTTCGTGACATCCAGGTATTCTCCATAATCTAACGTTAATTCCGACTTCAACGCTTTCATTGTCCATAGTTTTGGATGAAAACTGATTCAAAGATGATTGAATAACAGCTATAATATCGTCAGCAACATCAGGGTTAGTGGTCAGTTTGGAAAGAGCTTGAATAGAGGTTGTTGAGAGGCCTAATAAAGCTTGCAAGCTTGCCGAACATTGCGTTAGGCGTTCATCTGGGTCTGATTGAGGAAAGAAGACGCTGCTTGGTATTCCGTTGGAGGCTGGTTCAAAACGGAAGCCTACCGACATCAGGAGTTCTTTCCAGCCAGTAACTGTACCAACCTAGATTATATAATTATTAATGGCAATATATATGAGGAAAGAAAAACCTTACTTTATTTTCAATAGACTTTTGCGTGGTATACATGGCATTTTTTTGTCCTCTGTGGATTCTTTGAAGACTCTTCTCAACTAGATGCAACGTAACCCTTAAAGCATCTCTAGATTTTTCAGGAACATGCAGTAATTCACATAAAGCTTGTCCCATTAATGCCACTTTATTGGACAGTCTAACGTTTAAACCTATAAGAACGAATCCAGCCCAATTAGCTGGATGTGCAAAGTGTTTAGTGTGTTGCACAGTTTGCATTGCTTCGCTTAAAGCTTTTGCTGCTCTGGTTCCTTGAAGCATTGCAGAGTAAAAGGCTCTAAAACAATATGTATTTTATAAATATGTGTAATTGGAACTTAATAGTATATTTACCTCAATAGGATTTTGGCTGCAGTATCTGGTACTGGCCATAAAGACACTAAAACAGCCTGCGCTCCAGCTGCAAGTAATGCTCGTACTAAAGCTACTAAACCATCAGAAGTTGCCCAACCTTGCTGATCTCTGGTATGAGATGAACTCACCTAGAATTTTATGGATATTTCATTTGCCTTTGCAAAAATCAGATTCCACTTACAACTACTAATCGAGCAGACAACTTCATAGACAAAATGTCAGCAGCACTGAGCAAAAATTCCGATAGTGGAGGCAATTCTGTCGTTATTGATACATCAGTATGTTCGTCTTCTTCTAAACCATCAGTCATATATAGCCTTTTTGTTGGAGATTGTTCCAGAACTTCTGTAGGACTCAGAACTAAACTGGATAACTTCCAAGACACATGAGTAGCAAAATGAATACACTCAGCTTCCTGCATTTGATTAAAAATTTGTTCTTTGGTCGCATTGCTGCCTAAAAGCACTTGTGATTGAAGAAGCTCGGCTACCATAGTAGCTTCTTGTTCTGCTTGAGGAATATCTTTCCAACCATAGTGATCTGTGATGGCTAGAGGAAGTTTGGGATTACCTACTATAAGGCTACGAACCTAAAATTGAAAATGTGAATTAAGATAATAGTAAAGGTAAAATTACTTACTGTTTGATCTGTATCTTGCTTTCTAGTTCTTCCAGACTTCAGTGACGTTAAATTAGGTACTACTAAGAGCGAAAACCTTTCACACAAATAGTCAGAGTTTTCATTAGCAGACCTTAAAACAGGAAACGGTACCAAATACAAGTCACCTTCGAGAACTAAAATCAGCTCCCTTTTATTAGCGCCATTTTTAGAATTTGTCACTTGCGTTGGTAAAAATTCTTCGAATGGTTGTAGCAATAAAGTGTAGAGCGCATGTAGGCAACTAGGCCCTTTCCAATTTTGACGTTTTGTTATTCTCGTAGAGCCTTGTGCGCTTGAACTGGATCTGGTACTGCCTTGTAGAGATGCCACTGAACCACCAACACTTCCCAAAGAAAATAGGGAACTGAGGGAGTAATTGCTTGAATTCATCAAGTGGTGTCTGTTTACCATTCGTAAAAAGCCTATTGAAAAAAATATTAGCTATATTTGGTTTGGAATCTATATAGAATTCAAACTTACCAGTTCTCTCCGACATATTATCATCTACATACTGATCCTCAGCTATTCTTGTGCAAGGGCTGAGTTCCATTCCAAGACTATCTCTGACAGCATTGACAAGTTTTTCTAACAAGCCTGTACCACTAGGTACTGGATCAGTATTATCACTATTTTCTAAACTTTCTTGGTTTTCCATTAGATATGCTGAATGGAACTTAACGACTCCTTTATTAGGTAGTATCAGCCAGGCATATAAAAATCCAGCAGCTATGCTATAATATATCGCAGCTGCTCGTTGTCTATTAACAATATCCTTAAGTTGGTCCAACGTATTGATGCCCAGAATACTGCTATTTTTATTTTTGGGCTTTTGTTCTAATCCTTGACGTTCCAATAAAAGATCTACAAAGGCACGATTTCGTCCTCTTTCTGCAGTCACCAAGGCATCATCGCATCTATTTAGAGTCACTAACACCTTTTGCAAAACTTGGTAGCTGGAGGACTGTAGCTCAAATAAAGAAAGTTTATATTCGGAGCTATTTCGTATTTCTCGTCGTATACTTTCCAGAAGTTGAGTGGCTGATTCTAGTTGCTTCTGAGCTCCTTCTAAGTCTCCGTTTGCGTAAAGGGCTAGACCTAATCTATTTCGAATTTTCGCCTCCTCGTCTCGTCTGCCCAAAGCCTCAGCAATGCAAAGTCCTTGAGTCAAATAAGCTATTGCTTGGGTTCTATTACCAAACAGTTGATGAACTCTACCAAGTGAACTATAAGCCAGAGCTTTAGCTATTTGGTCATTAGTGCTCATTGCTATGGATAAATGCTGCTCTTGATATCGGACTGCTTGGTCCAGATTTCCTAGAGCTTCGTAAACATTTCCTATATTACCACATGCTCTACTTTGGAAATTTGGCATGTCCAGCTGCTCAGCTATCTCCAAGTCATTTTGATGGTACTTTAGAGCAGTACTATATTCTCCCATTTGATGGTAGACGTTTCCTAGACCACATAAAGCTTCCGATTCCATAATTCGATCGTCTAAAAAAAATTATGTTTTTTGTAATAAGTACAACAAAGTGAATAAATAATTGCTTACTTAATTCTCTGGCGATGCTTTTTTGATGCTCCAAACAAGAAACTGCTTGTTCTAGATTTCCTAGCGTACCATGAAGTTGTCCAAGCTCTCCATAAGCTGCAGCTTTAGCTTCAGGACTTCCAAGTTCATGAGATACTACGAGTCTCTTTTCCAAGCACACTAAAGCTTGCTGGAGATTTCCTAGAGATCTTTGCGATTGTCCTAATCCTCTATAAGCCCTCTCTTGATCTCTAGAATTCTTGAGTTTCAAAGCTACAGCTAAATATTGCTCATGGCATTTGGCTGCTTCTTCTGGATCTCCTAGAGCATCATAGCAATCGCCAAGACTTCCAAAAGCACGCCCCCTATCCATTTGCGCTGTAGAAGAAGATAAACGTTCCAATGTTGCTAGTTGTTGCTCAAAGTAGCCTATAGCGTCTTCATAATGACCCATATTCAGTCTGGCTATTCCCAAATTTCCATAAGCTTGCGCTTCTACAGCGCAATCCTTAAGATCTTGAGTTCTTGCTAGTTGTTCTTGATAACATTTGACGGCATGGTTGTAATTTCCTAAAGCCATATGTACAGCACCTAAATGACCATGAGCTCTACATTCTCCTACGGAATCTGTCATTTCCTGTCGTAGAGTTAGCTCTTGAGTGTGATAGGCTAACGCTTTATCTAGCCTCTTTAGGAGCCTATGAGCAGTTCCTAAGGCCCCGCAGGCAGCTGCTTCCATAGTTCTATCCCTATTGCTCCTAGCCAAAGCTAATTGTCTATGATACATTTTAACAGCTTCTTCAGTTTGCTTGAGCTTGATTAAAACATCTCCTATATTTCCTAAAGCTCTAAATTTGCCTGCTGAATTATTGGTCATGTGAGCTATGGCTAAGAAATATTTTTGGCACTCCAATGACGTATCTAGCTGACCTAAAGCAAAATGTGCTAAGCCCAAGTTACAATAAGCTCGTCCCATGTTCATTTTATCTTGCAAGTCTTTCGCTAAAGCTAAATCTTGATCATAATATCTTACAGCTTCTCTAAAGTTGCCTATGCAATAGTGGGCATAGCCTAAGAAGTGACAAGCTTTGGCTTCTCCTTCTACGTCAGATAATTCTTGTGATAACATCAAGTATTGTTCATAGTAAGGAATGGCTTCAGCAAATTCTGTTCTAGAACTTAAGCAGTTGGCTAGGTTTAATAAAGCACAAGCCTCGCCTGCAGTATCTTTTAGCTCCCTGGCAATGCCTAAGTGGGCTCTGTAATGTAATAAAGCCATGTCATGAGCTCCTAGAGCTTGATAAGCAACAGCTAGATTTCCGTGGGTGCTAGCTTCAGAACTTCTGTCATGAACTTCCTAGAAAAAATGTAGGTAATATGTTGAAAAAATCTAAAAATTTAATATGCAAATGCTTGCCTTGCTAATGGTTAGCTCTTGCTTATGATATTTTATAGCCGAATCATAAAATCCAGCAGCGGAGTAAGCATTTCCAATATTTCCATAAGCTCGTCCCATTCCAGCTCTATCCTGTAAACTTCTAGCCAATGATAGATGTGCTTGATGTAGCTTTAGAGCTGCATCATATTCACCTAAAAGTTGGTAAACAATCCCCAAGTTGCTGCAAGCTCTTCCTTCTCCAATTTTGTCTCTAGTAACCAACGCAACATCCAGTTGTCTTTCATGCCATTGTTTGGCTTGAACGTAGTCTCCTGCACACCTTGAAGCGTGTCCCAAACCTGCGAAGGCTCTGGCTTCTACAGATCTAAATTAGAATTTAGACAGTGAAAATAATGAGGATTTATAAATCGAACTCACTTGTCTCCTATTGCTTGGGCTAAGCGTAATACTTTTTCGTGGAAGAGGACTGCTTGGGTGAAGTTTCTTTTATAGTGATGGCATGATCCTAGGTTACTATAGGCTCTAGCTTCTTCAACCTAATGGAAATAATATTGTTTTGCTATTTTCAAATGTTTATGCAATTATTATTACCTGATTATTTAGCCTTCGAGCTATTCTCAAATGTTGAGTGTGGCAGTCAACAGCACTATCAAAATCTCCCATTGCCATGTATACAGCTCCAACGTTGCCGATTTCTCTAGCTTCTTGTAATCGGTCGCCCATTTGTTTGACTAATTGGACGCACTGTTTGTGTGAAGCAAGTGCATTAGGAAAGTCTCCTATAGCTGTGTAGACGTGCCCTAGCGATGTTAGAGCTATTGCTGCTGCTTGGGTATCCTATTCATCAAAACAAGATTGGATTTAATTGTAGGAAGATTAAAAAAGACAAGTGAAAACAGTCACTACAAGAGAGTAATTTCATTTTGAATGGGAAAAAAACATTCTCAGTTTCAAGAGAGTTTCAACGAAGCCTGTTCCAAAAAAGACGAATTTTCCAGAAAGTTTCAAAACAAGGTTCCTCGTTATATTTAATATAGTAAGAGATAATGTAAACGAGAATTTCGTTTTCGAGCTTAGGAAAGGGTGGTTGAGCCGCGATTCCCAGAATGTCTCGATTGTTTAATGTGATATCAATTTTTGAATAATATAACTGAATGTATTTGGTAGGTACTTGTTACATTACCGTTACATTTCTTGAGTTTGTCTGTTATTTGTACCAATGCAATGATTGGATACCTACTATTCTGAATTGTGTGCGACTCCTTTGTAATGAATTTTGTCGTCCAGCAAAATGAATAACTTACTTTGCATTTCATAGCTAGAACCAGCTGATATCTATGTGCTGTCAGTGCTTCTTTATAGGATCCATGACTAAAATACGCTGATCCTAAATTTCCATGCGCTCGACATTCTCCCGCAGTATCTCCTAGACTTTTGGCTATGGCAAGATCCTGTTGCATGTATCCTATGGCTTTGTCCAATTGATTTAGTGCCCAATGAGCTGAGCTTAGAGCGCTAAAAACTGATCCTCTAAGTTTAAGGGAGCAGGATCCTATCCTCAAAGCTGATTCTAATACTGTGACTGCTGAGTGGTACAAACCTGCAGCCAAAAGCTCCTATGGAAATCATAAAAATATAATTTTTGCAGCTAAAATATTTATAAACTTACTTGTCCGACGACAGAAATAAGTACAAAAGGGCTTTGGTTTAACTTCATAATTTCCAATTGCTGGAAGGTTGGTTCCAAGTTGTGTCTTAATGGTGATTTAATGGAAGCTTCAACTAAGCCTGCTAGAAGTTGCTGAGATGCTGGTTCTTGGGTCAATCCTTGGCTGAAAGCTGCTAAGGCTTCTCCGTGTCGACCTAAACATTGTAAGGCTACACCTTGCCTAAAAATTATAATTTTATAATGGAAATTCAATAAAATGTCAAATTATTATGTACCTGTAGTATGCTTTAGGCCAAGAAGGACAAAGATCCCTAGCAGTGACAGCATCTTGTAAAGCCTGCGAAAACATGCCCTGTTTTACCCGGGCTGCAGACCTATTTGAATACAAGATGTGATTGGTGGGATCCAACTGTAGAGCGTCTGTGTAGAGAGCGACGGCTGTAGCAAAATCTCCATTTTGACAGGCAGCGTTCGATTGTCGTACTTTTTCAAGAAATAACGATCTGCTAGCTGCTGGTAGTTCAGATGTTCCTTCGGGTTCCACCTAAGAATTTAAAAATAGAATTTTACAAAAAAACACGTTACTTAATTGCAAAGAAAAAACGTAAGCTCGACTTGCAAGAAAAACAGGAAATATGAAGGCAGATTGATAATTATTATAGAAGTAAAGTTTATAAGAAGCAGACAAAAACTTGACATAATGATACTGGATGTTCATGATTTAACCCATAAATAATCACGTTTTAATAAATCATTATAAAAGTTCAGCAAATCTTTCAAGGTTTCAATATAAAACTGTTTCAGTCCAGTTGTTTTTTGCTTGTTCAAAGCATGTCTGACCAAAGGTGGTGGTTTGTCGGTTCACAACAACATCAACAAAAAAATATTAGGAGTAATATTATTCTTTGAACAAAAAAAATCTTAAATAAATCAATAGGCATAGGTAGATAATAATTTAATGAATGCATAGGTTCACTTTGGCTGTTGTGAAACAGGGAATTCGGGCATTAACAGCATGTTTAAGTTTACAGCTACTTCATAGGAACCTGAGAAATGCATGTGTGCCTTTAAGGAATTAACATTTTAGTACACCAATAAAATATTGCGTAAGTAGAAGCACAAAAACCTCTGTTTACAGATATGGTCTGTAAAGCTTTTCCATTAAAGAACGGATGTTTGCCGAAACAATTATGTTTACAAAATCAAGGGAACCGCCATATACTTGCGGCTTTTGAGGGTCCTTCTTCTACCTACCTGTGAAGTCGTCGCTTAAATTGACATTATATTATTCTTTTGTGGGTCATCCGCCTATAATTACCACGGCTATTAAATGTACATTAGGCCTATTTTATTTCGTGTTTTCGAAGATTGTGGCCTAGTCATCGACCAAAGTGATTTTTTTATGAGAAGCCGCTAGAAATCTAGACAAAGTGGATCTCGAGTAAAAAAGAATTTTATTTTTATTCTATCTATTGAAATATTCCGAAACTGAAGCTAGTCTGCTTATTGTTGGTATGAAATGACATAAGTGAAGGAATGGATGTAAATTGTTATTTATCTGACAAGTGTAGAAAGTGATAATTTTGCGGTACTTTTTACCTTTTCCGAGAAAGTATCTTCCAATTTTTGCTTAGAAACTTCCACTAAACCTCCTCTATTATTTGAGACATGTTTTCTCTGCTTGTTCTGAATTTTCTTGAATCTCCTTATTCCTGATGGGATTTCTTCGAACTTTTGCCCTCTTTGTTATCACAAAGCAAAGTGATTAATATAATTATTATAAATTCCTATTGCTATAAGTACAATATTTTAGTTAAATGCAGAAGACGTACATAGATAGTACAATAAAAGAAAACTTAAACTTTTATGAACCGCAAACCAAAAAGTAATTTTCAATTTCTATAAAATCCGACAAACAGCGCAACCAGAGGCAAAAAAGTCTTATTGTGGTGTTTGTGGTTTTTAACGACTTTCCCATGATACCATCATCCATCTTTCTAATCAAATGTTGACTTACGCATTAGGCCTTATCTCATTTATACAAAATAATTGGCTGTTCAAGTAATAGATGCAAATTATGAATCAATATTTGGCTTAACTGGTATTCAGTCTTTTATGCAGTTAATTAGCGTCATTTTCTTTTACTTGTATATTTAAGTATGGTAATAATCAGAAGCAAGCATGAAGGCATAATAACAGGCTGAATGCAAAAGTGTTTTGAATTTAATCAAAAGCTGGAGCGAGGAAGGACTTTCCATAAATTCCAGCAAAACGACCTTAGTTCCGTTTACGAAAGGAAGGAAGCTGGATCTGCGAGCCCCCACTCTAACCGGCACCCAATTATCTCTCTCGGGTGAAGTGGAGTATTTAGGGGTCACTCTGAATCACAAACTTACCGGGAAGAACTATCAGAACAAAACATTACTGCACAGAACAGTCTACGTAAAGTACAAAGGCTAATTTGTCTAAGAATAACAGGGGCTATGTCAACCTGCTCCGACGAAGCTTTATAGAGGAACTGCTGTACAAGCCTCCTCCTTCACCGATATGTGAAAAAAAAGGCTATTCCAGACAAAAAGATTTAATCCTGGTGATCTGAATGGCCACTCACGCATCCTTCAGTCTATGAAACTCGAGTGCAAGTAAACCAACCGATCATATAATAACATCACTGGATTTTGACATTCCATGCGAATGTGTTGTAAAAAAACGGGACCTAACTCCAAACCTCTGCAATGGGACGGGACCAAACTCTCCTTAGCAATGGGTGAAACGCCCACAATATATCAAGCCGAGGTACTGGCTATAATCTATAGCCAAGACTGTCTTAAAAGGAGCACATTCACATAACACCCCCAAGAAGTGGGAACTTTACCACACAGGAAGCTGGCCTCTTTTGGGAGAAGCTTACAAATCTTGGAAACCAACTAGAATCAGAGTCTCGCACAAAGTATCTGGAAACGTAACAGTGCTTGAGCGGCTGGAACAAGCTCTAACGTCTAGTATGGTGATGAATGAAGAATAGTTGGAGATCCATAAGTATTTTCTATTTTCTAGATGACATAAATCATAGCTGATGTCCAGTGATTTGGAAGCCCATTTTTTGTTTAGAGGGCCAGATCAAACCAGTCACACAAGCGACTATAGACTAAGTATTTTGACCGCATTGCTGTCATTACAAATAATCAGATTTCATCTTTGTGAGAACTTCTCTTTAAAAAAAAAAAAAATATTCACAAAGAAGAAAAATGAAATAATCCCGAGCATTAAATATAATGAGGTTCAGAAGGACCACAACTTTCTAGAGTTAACTAGGTGAATGACATTTTTTTTTATCAATAAAAGCTAGGTCCATGTAGAGCTTGAAGGTGTTCGCATTTGAGCGCATAAAATCAGTATTGAAAAAGTGTTCTTAACAAGAACTACTTATTTCTCCGTTAATAAAGTAATCCAGAGGCTTTAGGTAACTACCCAAGGTAGAGGTAGGTACTACTTATCTACAATTAAAGTAATTGGTCGACTTACTTTTCATTACTTTACGGTAAATGATATATATTTAAAATATTAGAAGCGTATCCTATCTAATTAGCTTGAACGTGTATTAGCGTTATCTTCGATTTCCTTAGATATTTGCATGACAGTTATTTTCTTCATAATTAAGTGGAACGATAATATCAGGACCGACTCACTTACTCAAATTAATATTTAAATTGCAATTTTAGAAACTGTTAGGCACTATGAAGAAATTGGCCGACTGAAAAATATTGCTATCCTGACTAGTGACTGAACCCAATAAAGAAGTTTTCCAATAAGGCTAACGGTTGACCAGTACTTAAGACATATATACAGAGTTTTTCGTAGATTCTAAAAATAAATTATTAACCTTTTATTTGCAAGTAATCTTTTACATATAAATATGTGTTCTTTGATGCTCGTCAGCTAGTTTACTTTTTGGATATTGCATCATCCCATGTAGGTACTGACTAAAAATAAAAATGTTAGTAAACGCTTTCATGTATACAGCAGGTTTTACTTAATACCTAGGTAGGTACCTACTACATGGTTGACTGGCAATTACAAAATATTCACTTTTCCTCAGGTATTTAGTTTAGCAATAAGTACATTATCTTCATGTACAAAGATAATTTAAGTTATGTAACCTGTTTTAGCGAATATTTCACGGTCTCATTTCGAACTCGTTGTTTTTCAAATGGGAAAAGTTTGCATATCTGAAGAAATCAGGTAGCTAATCTGAAATCTTACATTAAGTACTAGGATGGGAATTTTTTTAGTTTTTTTTTATTCCTTTGCCTGGCATAATTTATAAAGTTTCGATGTTAGATATTACTACAGAAATTCCACCTTATAATGTTGATGTTGAAGGAACTTTGATGACGTATCTTGGTATATATACGCACTGGAATCGAACTCGGAATCAAGTTTGAATCCAGTCGATTAGAAGTGTGTGGAGAAGAATTTTAAAGCTCACTGACTGAAAACAAAAATACGTAAACGGAATCAAAGATAGATGATATATGATGATGATACATAAACAACATTGATAATGGAATAAAGGACCAACTTTTAGAAGTACAAAAGAAATAATGGCAGAAAAAAAAAATTAACAAGAGAAATGAATAAGCGCTGCAGCAAGAAAATCGATCAGGCAAAGAAAAAGTATTCCAAGAGATGATGAAAAACGAAATATTCATCAGAATATAGAGAAATCGATGAAATAACACAAACACTAACTCTAGACCAAAAGGCTACATATAGTTGCGGTCTGTACTAGATTCAACGATGCCATGAGATTTTTGTACTTTGGCCTTTGTCTAGTTTGTACTACAGTATTGTTTAATATTTTGAGGTTCATCCACTCATTTCCAAAAAGCTTTGGGAGCACAAAAGGCATTAGGTAAACATCCACGCGATGTAGAACTCTCTTTAAAAGCCTATCTATAATTATCAACCCTTACATCCTGAACCTTACTTTACGTAAGACAGAATTCACAAGAGCAGATCATGGATACTTTCTCAGTACATTATCCTTATCATCCTCATGAACCAACGTCATCCTCATCATGAAGATGCTGAGCGTTATGGAGGCAATGATAGCTTGACAGAGACGAAAATCACTAGAAGCCAGAACGCTATTAGTCAGCACAGTTTCCATGCGCTAATTATAATATACCTATTTACAATTTATTTATATAATAATAAAAGAATCCATTCCCCAGCTTGGAAAAAAATTCTTCAAATTCTTAAATTGTCAGATGTGAAGATCCGGACATTGCTCTTGATTTGCTGGATAATTTTCCAAGAGGCCGGCAATAATCGAAACTTGGATTTACGTGCTCTTCAGTGATTACCGGCTTTTGATCTGCCTCCATTAGGCTTCAGTTTTCGAGCTAATTGGCTCCAAGACATTCATAAATTTGTAATTTTAATAGCTTTTTCGTACCCAATTTCGGAAGCGAAATACCTATGCATTTAAGTTAAGGGACTTACGTGAATATTTTAATCCCAAGGGATTAAATTAAACTTTTTTTCCTGAGAATACATAATTTAATCCTGTTAGAAGGTATTTGTTCACTTCTGTCTTCAAGTAAAACTTCTCAAAGCAATGAATATCGTACCTACCTGAACATTTCGCGTTTCGCGGACCAAAAGTTTCTTTGAATCCCTTTAGCGAATTACAGCGCAAGCTTCGCTAATCGCTAAGGCTACAAACTAAAGATATAGGTACACTTTAGTCTTTCTCCGAATATTATAATATACCTACCACTATAACACTAAGCTTGTTAATGCTAATAATTTAATTCTCTACTTTTTATATCCAACTAATTCCTAATTATGATTAAAATTTAATTTAACCACACTGTAAAAACAAAGCTAAATTACCTCTGTAAAATCTCGATGAGACATTTTAAAGATTCAAAAACCACCAAAAACCCGAATAAATTCACCATAATAATGGCTTAAAGGGCACATTCACCAACTGGCATTTCCGACCCGCGAATTTCTCTCGCACTCGCTAGCAATTTTCTCGATGTCGAAATAGAAAAATCCTATTCAGCTAGCGAGCATCAAAATAACAAAAACAAAGAGAACAATGGCACACCGTTTCGCGGGATACCTGCTACTGTTCGCGGGGGCTCAATTTTTCCCGTGGCTTTTATTCCCTCTGGTGTGTCACAAAATACTACGAACTTTTTTAACCTTAACCTCCGTTGAACCCGTTCTCCGGGCGGAAAAAAAAAATTCGAATTCCTTCGCGAAACGTGCCTCCGACACCCGATTCCCTGTCAAGAGTTTTCAATTTTTCTTCGGGAAATTCACGATTCCGGTTTCCTTTTGGTTACGAAATAACGCCGAAGAGCGGCTATGAAAAACAACCGAACCTCGCGACGTCTAACAGTTATTTACTTGGTGCTCGCATTCTTTAACACACCGGCCATCTTGGATGTTGGTATGCAGGTAATAATCTTTAGTCTGCTGAAGAATGGATGGTTGGAGGGGTCCGCGATGGTCAACCAAATGGGTATATTATAGCCATGTGTTAGCGGAGAAAAGATTTCAGTCGTCGCATAATAGACTGACCATTGTAGAATTTTCAAGCTTTTTATACATATGGTTACATAAGCAGGTTCATAATGATAAATGAGACTACCTACTCTTGTAAAATTAAGTTACTTTTTAGACAATCAACTCGCGTTCCACCAGAGATTTATAACACTGTCGTCTTCCTTAAAGCTGTCAATGTATGGCACAAGCCTTTCTAAGATATTCAATGGCAAGTTTCATTTTCATTCTGTCGCTGCTCAGACGTAATCTTAAGTCTAAGCCTGTACTGCATATCAGCCACCTGGACGAACGAAGTACAGCTCCATTTTTATCGGATAGTGCTCTGCCATACATTAGATCTGCTCAGTTTCTCTTTCAGTTAACAGCATTAGGTTGATTCGTGCTGAGAGCTTCTATAAGTCAAAAGAAAAAAAGACACCAGTTTATCCCAGTTTCACTGGTGCTTATCCACGAACATCGAGAGGTATTAGTCCAATTGTGCCCCACAATCATTCGGAAATTGGAACTACTTCTGGCCACATTGAAAAATAGTCCAAGGCAATCATAAGGGTTCCATCTTTCGAAAGTTCTGTTGTCTAACTCAAATAGTTCTTAATGCTAAATCAGCATGAGATCATCCAAGTATAACAAGCATGTTTCCCAAGTAAGACTCCGCAGGTGACAGGTGCATTACACAATCCAAAAGGTATTAAGTTGAATGGATTAAGGTCATTTCCAGCCAGGAGGTCTTCTTTTGATCCTCTTTGTTCCAGCTGCCAATTTCCATTTTTGAGATTTGAAGTTGGAAACCACATAGAGAACCTCGTTGAGCCATCCAGGTGTGTCATTCCCCCTTACTGTTCTACCAAATTGGTCCGCTCAGTAATTCTTTCCAAGACAAAAGCGTCAGCTTCCTTTTTCATAAAATTAGCCTACTTTCATTGAAATAACGTTGTTGATGTTGACTGAAAAGTATGTCTTAAGAGTTTCACTCTGTCTGTTTTTGGTTGCTATTGCACTACCATGATGGTCACATACCTAGCTGTTCTGCTATAGATATTATGGCTTTATTGACAATGATTTTAACTTGAAGATCCTTATTTGAAGGTGACCAGAAGAGTATTTTTTTGTTGCCTACTCTCAGTAGTGGTTACAGAAAATTACAGACTCTTCGACAAACTGGGAATAAACTTCCGCCTGAAAATCTTGTATCAGGCCTATTAGGCCTGATACAGAGACCTGTAAGGCAAGAAAGCAATTGGGGTGCACAATAAGCCAACAGGCTGTAGTGCATGGGAGGCCACAGCTTCATCTTCATCGGTTAAGTTAGTGGTCACTAGTGTACCATTCATTAGATCTGCGTAATTTCTTTTTCAGTCAACAACAATTGGTTGATTCGTGCTGAAAGCATCTATAAGCCAAAAGAAGAAGGGATATCAGTTTATCCTTGTTTCGCTGGTACTCATCAATCAATCAATCAATTGTGCCTCTCAACCTTTTGGAAATTAGAACTACTTCTGGCCACATTGAAAAATAGTCTAAGGCAACCATAAGGGTTTCGAAAGTTTCGTTATCTAACTCAAATATTTCTTCATGGTCAATCAGCCTAACATCTTCCAAGTATAACAAGCATGTTTCTCAAGTAAAACCCCGCAGGTGCATTACATAATCCAAAAGGCATAAAGGAGGTTTTCTTTTGATCCTCTTTGTTAAGTTCCAGATGCCAATTTCTATTTTTGAGATTCTGAGTTGGAAACCACACAGAACCTCGTTGAGTCATCCAGGTGTGTCATTTCCCCTTCATGTTCTAGCAAATTGGTCCGCTCAGTAATCTTTTCCAAGACGGAATTTCAGAATTACTATGGAGGCTTCGGCTCCAAAAATTAACATAAGTAGAAATAATTAGACAGACAGGACTAAGCTACCAGACACATAGACTTGAATGGGACCAGTTGACAGATACCCATTTCACTGCAGGATCGCCACGCTGGATCATTGATCATCCCCGCAGGTTTCTTCATATTATTGAAATTCGGCAGCTCGGCTATACTCGGCTTCAACAGTACCATTGGGATAGTCAGGATTTGGTTTTGGGGGGGGAGGGGCAAATTTGCAGGAAGTGATCCTTACTGCAGTGGCAACTTTACCGCAAGCGCTGCAGGAAGAAAAGCGCCGCAGCTTCGAAACTTTTGGATCTTTTCACGGTAGACTTCTAATGATGGGGGCAAGCGGCTATTTCAACAAATTTTGATGAAAATTTATAGTAGAACACAGGCCAATTTTAATGAAATAGAATGAAATGTCTAGAAAAACTCTAAGGTTGAATAGAGAACAAAAGATAACGATTTCGGTAAACCACATCTCGCTGTAAAATCTAATACTTTTTTCCCTCGTATAATGAATAACTATTATTGATGGAATGTTCCATCTTTCGGTGTTTAAGTTTCTCAATATATTGGGATATAGAATATCATCCATAACTCTTTGGAATGTAGCTGGCGCGTTCTTCAAACCAAAAGGCATGCTTATAATACCCGTTTTCTGTGCTGAATCCGGTTTTTTCGATGTCGTTTTCATGCATCTGGATCTGGTGGAAGCCACTAGGTAAATCTAAGGTAGTAAAATACTGGCAGCGTCCCAGCTTCTTCAAGAGATCCGTTATGTTGGATAATGAGTATTTGTCATCTGAGCTTTTTGTATTAAGGCCCCTAAAATTTACCATACTATACTAAACAAAAAAATATTCAAACTGTTTGTTTGTTGTGAAAGTGGGTATAGCAAAAACAACAAAAATATATAACTCACAAGTTTGATATAAAAATAAATAGTTAAGAATGTTAGGATCAGAGGAACTCAATACTTTTGTACCTCATTAGACCTACTACATACAATACCAAAATCACTACGGGGGCTCAAGCCCCCATTGCCCCCATTGCCCCCATTGCCCCCATTGCCCCCATTGCCCCCATTGCCCCCATTGCCCCCATTGCCCCCATTGCCCCCATTGCCCCCATTGCCCCCATTGCCCCCATTGCCCCCATTGCCCCCATTGCCCCCATTGCCCCCATTGCCCCCATTGCCCCCATTGCCCCCATTGCCCCCATTGCCCCCATTGCCCCCATTGCCCCCATTGGCCCCATTGCCCCCATGGTTCCGGCGCCTATGTCCAAGAAAAAAGCATCAGCTTCCTTTTTCATAAAATCAGTGGCTCTCTAAGCTCCTACCCTCACTGAAATAACGTTGTTGATGTTGACTGAAAAGTATGCCCTAAGAGTTTCATTCTGTCTGTTTTTGGTTGCTATTGCACTACCATGGTGGTCACGCATTCTAGCTGTTCTGCTATAGATATGGCTTTATCGACAATGAGTTTAAGTTGAAGATCCTTATTTGGAGGTGATCAGAAGAGTATTTTTTTGTTGCCTTCTCTCAGTGGTGGTTACAGACAATTACAAACTCTTCGAAACAATACAGACCGGGGATGGACTAACGCCTAAATCTTGTCCAAGGGCTATTAGGCCTGATACAGGGAACAGAACTGTTGAAGGGCAAGAAGGAAATTGGGGTGAACAATAAGCCAACAGACTGCATTGCATGGAAGGCCACAGCGCCTAGATCCCTCATACAACCAACCTCAGTGGTGATCGCTCCCAAAATAAGTGCGAATCACATTTTTTTTTCATTGAGAGTATCTTGGACCTTGGTTACCGAGACTTTCATAATTGCCTGGCTCTCCATAGTTCAGTTTTCTATGTTTTTGATTTTTTTCTAATTCTTTTTGAGCTGTCCCTAATTTGCCTTGAGCTACTTGGACTATTCCTAATTTGCCTTTAACCGTTTGTTTTTCGCTTTATTTTTTTTAGATTGTTTTGGAATGATTCGTCGATCCTTTCAATGTCTTGCTATCTTTGTTGCCGTTCTTCCTGTTCGTCATTCGGTCGTTTGTTTTTTTGTTCCTGCAAAATTTTCTTTAGCTGGTACCTACTCTTCCTCTGTTATCTGTCTTTTTTTGTTTGTGTCAGTCTGTCGTTTTTTTTTTTTCCTTCCTGTTTTCCTGTATCTGTCTTGTTTTAACGCTTATCTCGTCCGCATTGACCCAACTTCAATTTTCAACAGTCGTTATTTATAAATATACGTAATTAATTTTACTTTTTGACAGTTCTTTATAGTTTTTCAAAAATGTCTTCAAAGTATTTTGTTCTTTTTTTCCATTTGTATCACCATTGCAAATAAAAAGATCATATTAAATAAACAGTCCTCCAACTAATATATCTTCGATGGTACTGGTACTACCACCGGTTACCATGCTTTTAGTACCACGCCGGTCAAGCTTGGCGACCATGGTCTAGAGCAGGTAAAACAGAAACGACGTGAGGTGTGAAATCGACCGATAAGAGTTTTAAAAGGATCTTCGGCTTTCATTAGACGACGGTACTTCATTAGTACCCGGTACGTTCATTAGTTCGAGAGGATTTTTTTAAAGGAAATAGTGTAGATAACACAGCCGTAGTTTCACATAATTAAATCGATGTGTCTTGAACGATAGGAATAGGAATTAGGTGGAACAAGTTGGGACTGTATTAGATCGTATTTAGATTGGATTATTAAGGCACTCTGATTTGTATTTTCTTACCGGCGAAATAAATGTTAATCGATCCGGTAAAGGACTTTAATTGGAGCTTTAATAGAATATTTAAAAAATTTATCTCATTTCTGACTAATTAATTAGAATGCAATGAAAGTATTTCTGCTTAGAGGAAATATCGTAATAATCATAATAATGAAGAACTTTGGTAATCGGTCTTATTTATTACCCGTGTTTTATTATTTCACCAAGAACAAATTTTCGGTACTTTTCAAATTCAAGATCTGGCATGTTACAGTTACATTCTCTCCAGCATTTTTCTTTGCATTTTCAATGCGAAAAATTGGCTTCACTTGCCAATTATTTTCATAAGAAGTTTTATAAGAATTGAGAAACTCATAAATTTACTTTTGCTGACTTCAAATATGAAATAAAAATCTACTCAGCTACAATGGAAAACCGTCACTATCCGTCAAATATTGTCACTTTCATTTATAAGCTTCCTCTATATCAATGCCAGAAATGCGGCCAAGATATTATGTGCATATGGGACCAAAAGTTCCAGAAAAAGTCTCCGTCTTGTGGAAAGGTACCTATATTGATTATCACCTAAATCAACCCTATAATGTCACATCATTTTTAGTTACCCACATAACCCTGTATTTTCTCCTGCTATGCTCAAGCGGAGTGGCTACTGCATGCATTTACAACATTTTGGATATGTACAAATTCCACTGCATACTGTATGCCAAAATTCATTTTGAGCAAAGCTACGAGGAGCGTGTTAAAGAAATGAACGAAACAAAAACTCAAGAAGAACAACCAGTTATGATAAACATGACTACTAACGAAATACCAAATGTATCTGTGGATTGTGTTCAAAGTAAGTCAGCTGTTAAAGACTTTTTTGCTTCAATTAGAACATTTGGCCTCTAAACGAAACAATTATTATCATAGATCCAGATGATCCAGCTTGTCAGAATATTACAACAATAGAACCAAAAAAGGGAAGAGAATTGGAAACTGAAACTGAGACAATTGTGGATTGTATTAAAAGTAAGTGAGTTGTTGTTGTTGTTAACACCTTTTTTGTTTCAATTTGAAAATAATTCAGGAACATTTGGCCTTTGAATAAAACAATTATTATCACAGATCCAAATGATCCAGCTTGTCAGAGTACTACAATAATGGAACAGAAAAAGGGGGGAGAACTGGAAACTGAAAATGAAAAAATTGCGGATTGTATTAAAAGTAAGTAACTTGCTAAAGGCGTTTTTGTTTCAATATGGAAATAATCCAGGAACATTTGGCCTTTTGAATGAAACAATTATTATCACAGATCCAGATGATCCCGCTTGTCAGCATACTACAATAATGGAACAGGAAAAGGGAACAGAACTGGAAATTGAAAATAAAACAGAACAGGAGCCTGATTTCCCATCCCTCATCATTCCAATCAAATTAGACGATGAAAAAGGTTGGGTACCTTATAGTTATTTTTTTAGGTATATAAAAATTATCACGATACTATTTTACAGAATGGAAGGTCCCAATAAATGATACACCCTGGAATGGAGTAAATATTACTGGATTTTTAAACATGAGGTAGAGAAGTTATTTCGTTTACCTAATCCTAATACCTACTATTTTTTTTTTCTAGAAAAACAATTTTTGCTACAATCTACTTCTGTGACTTGATGTTATTCGCTCCACTGGCTTCAATCGTTCTAGCTATATTTCTTGGAACACTCGTAGTCGTCGGTGGTAAAGGTGGAGCTGGAAATCCTGGAGACTTGTATGGAGAATTTTTCATATTCCATATTTGTTTATAGTGTTTTTTGTTTCAGGCTGCCTAATCCATGGATTTGTGTATATCCTTTTCTTGGATTATGCTGCTTCATGACAGTTTTTAGTTTTATAGCCGATAGTATTTTCCATAAAGGATTGGCTGCGTTTTGTTTGAGATATTACACGATTACTAAACAGAGAAGGTATGTGATATAAATAATGTCACGGCTCTGGCTTGCGTGACATAAATCTTGGGTTCGTTGTTCGTTTATTCCAAAATCAAAGTCCAATTAACACAGCAATAATTTATTCCACTTAACTACACACTCTGACACTAATTACTTCAATAACTAACTCAACAATTAAACTTTTTACAACTCGCAACAAATAATCACTATTTAAATCGTATCACAGTCAAACTTAAACTTAAAACTTCTAAATACCAGCTTGCTTTATATAGCCGTAAATCCATTCATGGACAATCTATAATATACGCGATAACTCTCCTTTTCCCAATTAAGTAGAATTTACTAGATTATAGGAATCTGTAATTTCTAGGGTATTCGTCAGCCTAGGATTCTTGACACACTGGCGGCCGTTACAATTATTTAAAACATTAAGGAACCAAAAGTTTAGAGATATCGTAATTGCATTATAGGCCAAATTGATTCTTTTGGTGTAGATATAGATAATTTTACAAGTTTTAATTGAAACGTCTGTATGCCACGATTACTCCATAGTTTTTAGGAGAAATGAGGTTAGGCTAATAATTATGGTCAATGATTTAGGTTGTACTGTAAACCTGTGACCACATTCACATCCCGCCAACTGGTGGGTATGTGGCTTAATTTGTAGCTTAAGCTTTGAACATTTTTGCAAGGTGTGGTTCTAATTCTCCCAGAGCCAGTTGTAAGAGGGCGAGATAGATCCCATCTTCACCCAGGACTTATCTTAAGTAATTTCTTTTAGTTGTTCCAAAAAAATGGACCAATTCAACATCCAATATACACCGGACAGACTAGGACCCGCCAGACCATTCTACAAGAATTTCATGATAGGAAGTATAGGGGTGCAAATGACTACAGCCCTCTGGGTCATACAGACTCTCATCTACGTTCTTCGGATTCTTTTTCTTGCTGATTTCCAACTTTACTTGACCAAGATTCAGTTGAAGGACGACATTGTAATAATTGATTTTATTAAAAGTTGCTATTGTTGTTTCATCAATGGTTAAAGTTGAACGAAAATAGAAGAATTGAGCATAACTGTTGATGGAGCAACCACTCAAAGGTAAAATATCACGTTTTAAAATTTCTTTTTTCAGACAGCCAAAGAACCTCAAATGGGCAACGTTGTTATGGAAATGATTATGGAATCAAAAAGAAAGAAAAATTAATTACAAAATAATGTCCATAAGTTAGGACCAGTTAGGTTTAGCATCGTTATTTGCATAGATAAAACACATTTATTATAATTAATTATGGTTTATTATAATATTATACATTAGGTTTTTTTTTCCGAAATACAGGATGTTCATTATTATTTTACCAAGTCTCAAAATATAAATGATCACCCTGTACATGCGAAAAGTAGAAAATAAAATACATGCATTATTTGATATGTGACTTTTTTTCTTCTTTGTGAAAATACAACAAATTACAATGAAAAATCTAACAACGAAATATGCATCTAAAAAATTCGCCTAAAGGTTTATTCGATTTTTTTTTTCACAATAAACGAAAATCAATTTAGTAACATTGTACCGTGCGTTCTAATGTCTAAACATAAATTTTTAGGATTACGCAAATTTAGGAACATTTTTTGTTTGGTAGAAAATAGACAATTGTGCCAGTGGCAATTCACAATTTATAAATAAAATTAAAATATTGACTCATGATATTATAGTATACAATACTGTAATTATTTAAATTATTTGGTAATTTTTGGTACGTTAATGCAATAAATTTATATAAAATCAACGGTTTGAGTACAACTAAGAAAAATTATAAATAATTTTATATCTATTGGATCATGTATACAGGGCGCAAATTTTCATTTAGGTAAGTAGGTAGGTAGGTACTTCATTACTTTATACTATAACTGAGGTTCTGTAATTTAAGGAAAATCAAAAACAAAATATCAACAGTTCCTTATAAAATGAACAGGATGTTTGAATAATATTGAAATAATTTTATTCATAAGTATCTAGAAGGTTTTCCACCCTGTATAGCTCACAAAGTATTTTATATTATAATAAACTTCCAATTTTAATAATTTAAATAAACCTCATACAGTTTTCTTCATGACAATTGGATATAAATAGATATTTAGGTTAAATTTTTCTATATGTATATTTACCTAGTTGATGAAAAATAAATACACATTTAAAACACATATATAAAAGTTTTAAGCTACATAACAATAATATAAATATGAAAAATTTGAAACAGAATATTATTTTATATTTAAATTCCATAGATATTGATTATAAGCGTTTAAATATCCGGAAAATTTATTTTAAAAATACAACAATGATAATTTTTAATAAAATATAAATACACATAGCTACAACTATTTATTATAAAAATATTTGAAGCGAATTTCAAATAATTGAGTAAGTGATAATTGTATTTTGTTTAATATGTTATTTGCGTTGTATATGTTTTTTTTTGTATTTGGCACCTTAAAGTAAATTTTCAATGTGAGGTTTTCTATAAATTTTTGTCCTTATGAACCCTATTTTATGCTAAATGTACCTATACTAAAACTAATAATTGATAATATTGTTTTAGGGAAACATTTATCTAAAAAAATAACTTTTAAAAATATATATTTTTGGTTTCTATTTCTATTAGGTAATTTGAATTAGGTTTTTTTGAAACATTTTACTTCGATTCCAATGAGAAACTTCAAACTAAGTAATCAAATGAAATCTTATTTATAATCTAGTTAAGAGAAAATAGATAATGCTCTCTGGCAACATCAAGTGGCTCTAAATCATACAAACTTCATAAAACTTTCTCGTGTAGGTACCTATAAGCAAAGTTTAATCGTAGTCCACTTTTCACACCACCACATACTTGGGTCACCAATAGTAGGCTGAATATTCAGACCGTCTTGGATAAAATTTTGTACATAACATATGTGCGTGATTCGATCTACAAAACTACTCACTCATCATAAATTACTCTCACAATATTATACACATCTAGCTCTAAAAGGGCCTAGAAAGAATCTGCACTTTTCCCTAAAACAAAATGTCTCAATCCTATCGCTACACTTACGCCTAACTTTCAGTTTTGCATCATATCACAAAAATATAATTCTTTCCATATATTGGTGCTGTAAAATAATTTAATTTTGATAAAGTTTGACTTTTGTATGTAGGTACTATTAGATTGTTTTTTTTTTACAATTTAAAAATGGAAATTTTCTTCCAATTAATTACTAGAGAAACATTTCAGATATTATTTACAAAGGTAGTTAACTACAATATAGCCTAAAACATAAATTTTTCCTCCTTTTAGAAAATAAATGAAGCTACAACACACTTTTATAAAAAGTTGGTAGGTACTTTTCTAATTCTTTGACACTATTCAAGTAAATCTACTTATTTTCGATAAGAAGTTGAAGTTGTAAAACCAACTCCCTGGATAACTTCAGGACAGCAACAGCATCATGCCTCTCAGCCATTTCTAAAAGGTAACTCAAAATATTTACATATTTGAAAAAATAATAACTTACCGTTAAAGAACTTAATAATATCCGTAAAATCCATACCATTAGACAAAATAATATCTCTATAGGTCTCTAATAAAGCTAGGGCCAAAAATAAAACAAAATGACTTGACGCTACATGTTGCGCGGCCCATATAATTTCCCATGTAGTGAAAACATCAGGATAAACCTACGCAAAAATACAATAAATCTCAAACAAATCAGTTAGTCCTTAATCCTTACCAATTCCCGTTTGAAATCCAACAAAAACCATCTATAACAAAAATAAAAATGCGTATAATCCCCATGGGCGTGCATCTGTTCGTACATTTCAGCATCCAAAATCTGAATTAGGCTTCTCATGTTGGCAAAATGACAGTCCATGGCGTTTCCATTGGGAAAGTTTTCTATCATTCTTTCCATTAGGTGACAAAAGCACGCATAGGTGAGAGACTCGTCGTCAAATGTAACTAAAAGTGGAGCAACTAAGTCGCACATGCCTTGCATGTACCCTATATCCAAATGCTCCCAAACGTACCTAAAACAATGTTGGTTTTGTGTGTATTTGTAATGAGTTGTTTTTTTTTTCTTACGTGCACATAACATTTCTAAGTTTATCTAGATTTTCATTGGCGAAATACCAATAGTTTCTATCACACCTTTGTACATCTTTCTCTATTCTATGCAGGTTAAGGCCAAATGTTTTGAGTAGCTCTTGCTGTAAAACAAAAATTGATTAAAGGACTTCAATAAATTCATGATCTTACCGTATAAATTCCTCCATTAGAACTAGCAGGAGAAACGCACGCTGACCTAGCAGGACTTGCCAAGCCATGAGTTTCAATACAAGTATCCAATGAAGAGTTATTTTCTTCTGTTACTGCGTCCAAATGATTTCTAACATGACCTTCAGTTTCGATGTTACTTATATCTACAGAGGCATTGGTTACTATGACGTTGTGTATGAAATCGTGTAGCTCTTCTCTTGGATCTGGCTCTAAATTATCTAAAATTCATTTGCTACATCCAAGTATTCGAACAATATGTATATTTACCACAATTATTATTACAAGTAGCTTCCTCCTCTTCCTCTACACTAAGTATCTTACTGCTATTTAAGGCTCCAGTATCGTTTCTTTGTACATTATTTTGTTGCTGGTCACAATCTTTGTTGGTTTCTCCTTTGTCTACTTCCTCTTCACTTTCATACCTAATAGTATTTTCCCTTGTTTTCTTATTTTTTCTGTTTGGAGTGTCATGATCAGATTCTGAATCCTCGTCATCTGTTATCACATCTTCAAATACCTAAAAAAAAAAAACAATAATGGCATTTTTGATTTAAAATAATCTATCGTTTAACTACCTCATTGCTTAAATCTCTATGTAGTTCGTTAGGCGCATGATCCCCAGATGTACTTTCGCTGCTTAGTTTAGCAATGGCATGGGCTTGATCTTCTTTATCTCTTTGACGGACTATAGCCTCTACAGCTAACCATTCCGACATGGTGTTTTCGTATCTACAAAAAGCATTATGAGCAAAATCATCAAAAGCGAAAGCATTATATTACGCTTGTTTCGTTTCTTCGTCCAAAGCTTTTCTTTGTTCCTCAGTACTGCCAAATTTGTAATGTCCTAGTAAATATGGCCAAATTTGTGTTCGTAGTTCGTTGGCTATTCCACCAAAATACGTATATCTGTATACTTCCGCGTAATCTGTTACTACACCGTCTGTACATAATTCTGCCCATTTTTCTACTGTGATACCTGGATTCAAATAGAAATAAAGAAATCGTGAAAGAAAGTTCTTTCTACATTATTTGCGTGCTTTGAGAAATAAAAACATTTATTTTATTAGAATAATTTAGGGAAAGTAAGGAAAAATTGTAAGTAGGTAGGTACATGAGATTTTAATAGTACCTACATGTATAACCATTCATTGCAATGACTGTTAAGTGAATTGACTATGAAACATTATTGAAAAGTTGATTGAATTTTTGTACAAAGTGTGTTCTGGAAAAAATAAGTCTTGTATGGATTTACCTTCTGAAGCTCCATCGCCATTAATAATTTTACCATTGACTAATCCACTGAGATGAGTTCTAACTGTAGACAAATGTCTACAATAAGCCAGCCAGCCGTAAAACGCTCTAGAAATTATTTGTTTTTTCATCGAATCGCATACTGCCTGGATGTAGACGCTCGGAGGACTGTCTGGTACACTTTGTTGATCTTCAATTCAATTTGTTTTCAAATGATGACAAGAGTAACTATATTTGAAACTTACCTATGCTAAAACTTTTCGAAGAACTTTCAGAGCTTGTACTAGTACTGCAAAGCTGTACTCTTACTTTCGTAGGTAAAGATGCTTTGACGTTCATAAGGTCTTTTCTTTTAACTGCAAAAAATCAACTGAGTTTAAACTTAATAATATTTGATTTCAAACTTCTCAAGCTTCTCATCGTAAAATAAAGTTTAGTTTCATGTTTAACTATAAATTATTTTGTACTCGGGGTCTTTGTAAACTGCTTGTCACCCCTTCAGGGTCATAAACCTAATTGTTTCAAACAGACACTTAAAGTTTTAGACGGGATTGTTATGTTGGAAGAACATCTATAATAAATGTTTATCCTCTTAGTTTATGAGATATTTTGTAGCCAATTATTTTCTGCTTGAGGCCAAGCTTATATACTTACAAATATCCTTATGATCACTATTATCAATTATCCTAAAAACATAATCCTTGGTAGCCTCTTCAGTTTCGGATAAAGCAGGCAAAGGTCTACGTCTTTTTGTTGTAGAATTGGCACCGGCACGTTGAGACCATAGAGGAGGATCGAGTCGACCTCTAGGTAAAAGTCCTGTTTCTAGGCAGCTTAGAAATGCTAGCATGTGACCACCTAAAATCCATCAAGCGAGATAGAGCAATTAATTTTTATTAGAATTTCCTCGGAATCGATTATCCTAACAATTAAAAGGAAAATGTTTCCAACTGCTCGGGAGCCCTCGCTTGCATTTAATGATTCAATTAATTTCCTTTAGGCAAATGATCTTTAATGGGTTAGTTTTATTGTGGTTGTTTGATTAGTGGATGTAATGTAAAATTTCATCATTAAAATGCTATTTATTATAGATGTGCTCTTTGTTTTTCCTAGCTGGCAAAAAGTAGAAAAAAAAAATGTGTTTTCTAAAAGCTTTGTATCCTTTTAACTCCATAATTAAATTCTGTACGAGCTCTGTGTGAGGTTTTGTTCCAGGCGTATGTGGGTTTTGTTTGTTGTTTTGCGAAAAACTCATATGCTCTGCATAAATGTTAGTTTGGTTTTAATTGAGTTAGGAATTGCAATGAGATTTTACGAATATGAACAATAAATTTGTTTTGTATACCACGATTCATTGAAGGTGCTGGATTTTTGCTTGAAATGTCAGCTTTTTATTGTGTACAAATAGCAAATAGTAAAACAAAAACGAATACAATATAGTTGCAAACTGCTTTATATTTTCCTCGCATCCCTCTCTCTTCTCAACTGTGGTTTTTTTATAGTTTACTAGCAGGAACTTATTGCCTTTCGAAAGCTTTTAAAGTGCAAAAGTCGGACCCCTTGCTGATTTTGTTCCAGCAAAATACGCGTGGGGAGTAAAATATTGGCCATTGTTGGTGCAAATTTTTCCTTAGTGGTAAGTTTTTTGTATTAAACTTTACGATTAGTGAACTGGGTGCATTAAACTCGAAAGTTATAAATGTTTGTAATATGTATTACCTTTTGGAAAATGTATTGGTGGTCTTTGAACTCCATCCTGTCCCACTAATATAATAGTTCCACCAGCTTCACTGTCCTGATGACAATGAACGTATACAATTTCATCTAGTCGCACTTGTAGAGCATAGTCCCAATAAATGCTAGAAAGAATTTTGTTTTTAATTTATACTATAATATAAAAACCAACTTTTATATACATGATATTATGGGTTCTCAAATCCGGTAATAGAAGTTTATGTTACATGTCCGGAAAATACATTTCTACAGTGAAAGATGTTACGAAATTTCAAAACGAGTACCTACTTACTGAAAAAGTTATCTTCAAGATGTATAACGCATTTTTTATTTTTATACTGTTTAAAAGGAAGAATTGTAGAGGTACATTTTCTCCTATCCAATGTAAGAAATTTGTCCAAAATACGGCTTCTCTGTACCAGGTGGGTAATTCTCTCCAAGGAAAATTCCATACCTTTCACGACTAGGATTCTGAGGCAGACAAACATTATCCATATTCTCAAGTAAGTGAAGAACAAGAGTTTACGTTATTTCATGCAATATACAATCGATTAACATTGAAATCCATATGCTTAGAAGAACTGGTACAGGGATTATCTGAGTGAAATGTTCTAGATCCCAGTGAGACAAGACTAGAGGTTATTGTGATCTTCAATGCAAAGTAGTAAGGAAAATAAACGATACTAATAAAATAATAATGTACTCTAACGATGGAGATATAGAAAGAGCAACAGATATAGAACCAGAGGGAACTCAACAGAAAGCTGATGCAACAGTCAAGATCTAAACAAAATAAACATAACCATCGAAACAGTAATTAACAAAATATGCATCACAAACAAAACTAAAAATATTTTTTCAATAAATAAGTGACTGTCATAGCCAGTAAAATTATGTAGCAAAAATCGAACAAAAATGAAAGTTTAAAATCAAAGTTACATATGTTATGAGTTGGATCACTACTAACTTTAAAAAAATAATCAAGGAATGAGAAAAACTTTCACAGATTGCCTTATTTAATGAGAAAACCTAAACCTAAATTTCAAATTGGGAGTTCTCAGAAAATGTTAAATTGGTAAAGTAATTACCAAGCTAATCAAATCTAATTTAGATTAGATTGCATCCACCGAGTAACTTTGTTCCTGCCTGGATCACAAAAATAAAAATTTAGATCTTATCACGGATTTGTTTCAAGTGTATTAAAATCATCATGTCATTTTGCGGAAAAATAATTTTATCAGATGTTGTTTGAAGCTACAACCAGTCAATGAATGGAAATTGACTGAAAATCGAGTTGAAATGCGAACGCAAAGAGATGCAATTTATGGCACGATATTGAATTGATTTCCAGCGAGTATTTTAGTTCAATTGGTTAAAGCATCCTTCGGGGTTTCATTGCTTCAAGGAGTATAAATATAACTCAACAACTTGCGAAACAATTTGATCAAGATTATTTTTAAATACGTCAGATGTTGGAATAGATTTATTGTAATTTAAATAAATAAATACCTTTTATCCTGTGATTCTTCAGTGAATCCATTCATAAGTTGATTTGGTGTCCATTTTATTGTTAAACCACTTGGAGTCTGGTGAAGACTTAAATATCTGGAAAACAAATTAACTTATAGTTACAAGATAGTCATAATAATTTTTTTTATATCTAAAATAAATAATCCTCAAATTTTCTTTATTACCCTGGCATAGGTTCAGTTACATCATCCTTCGCAGGCATAACCAAAACGTTATTCTTTCCGAAAAGTAGTGCGGCTCTTGAATTTTGATGCAAACTTTCCACATAATCTTTGGCGATATGTTGTGAGTTGTTCCTGGATAGCAAAGGATCGTCTGAAGAAGTATTCAGAGATCTTCCAAAGTTGAGAATCGGCCTCCGTACTGAAGGCGGAGTCGAATGTCCACTGGATATTCTGTGCATTTTCACCTGGAAAATAAATTTCATAAAGTTGAAGCCTGACAAGCAAACTTGTAAAACATTGGCCAACTTGTAGTTTTGCTACGTAACTTTTCACATTAAAACTTTTATTCGTTTGAGCCCCAATTTATTTCAACTTGTGAACATAAATAATTTTACGCTTTTCTATAAAAATAACAAAAATCTATTTTTACACGATTTTCTCGTCGGATTGAGAACAATGTAAAAGTCCTTCATTTCTGAAAGAATAACAATTGTTCGAGGAACGGAAAGATAATTTTAAAGAGCACTTAACTGAAAAATTGCTGCAGTTATCTCATAAAATGCGGCATCGAGAAATGTCAGACATTAAGTTGAAGCGAATTATTGCTTTTCATGTCAGGGATTTTTTAGCTATGAAAAAACTCATTCGCAGTAGAAATATTAACACCATATGCGGAAATTTTTATTTTGTGCATGCATAACGAATTTGTCACGCTTTTAAAACGCAATATAAAACAGCTTCCGGTAGCGGGTAAAAACGTGAAGCCAGTAATTAAAATGCCAAGAGTGGGAATATTAATTGCCGTACTATGGGAGTTTATGATAGAAGCATTATATCGTTGAAAAGAATTGCGGTGAGAAAACTCTTAGCCTGCATCGCTTTGTTTAAAATTAATAAAAAGCTATGGTCTGATTCTTTGAAGAGTAAATATTTGTATTTTCTTTTAGAAATCTTCTTTCTAATAGATCCTTCACGAAACAAGATTTCCTTCCACATAAATTTTAAACTTTTCCTTACTCAAATTCTACAAATTCTTATTAGATGTCTAATACTTCCCAAGAGAAAACTTTGCTCCCTTTACCAAAAAGAAAATGTTGAATGAAAAGGAAAAACATATATTCAAAAACTGGAAAAAAGTTTTTCTAAAAATAATAATTTAATGAGATTTTTATCCTCATTATTTTTATCAAAAATTAATTAGAATCCCTTTTATAACCTAGTGCACCTTATTAAAAATCAAATTTAAAATATTCCGTAATAAGTTTGCGCTGATGAGAAAGAATTTCATAATTCATTGCTCTAATGGAAAAACTTCTAAGAGCAGAAATTTAATTAAACTTCATTCGATAACGTTTAATTGATTTTTCACCACAAGTTCGCGCTTCTGGAACAATTCTTCGAAACGTTTATTGCTTACAAAAATTCCTATTTATTTCAGCATTAAATTTTAAAATCGATAAACTCATAAAAGGTATTAAATTTCGAACAAAATCCCAAATCACTCGTTAACAAACGGAAAAAGCCAAGCTATATTTTCCAGAGTCAATTTAAAATGTTTTCTTTTAATTAATTACCGTTCAGGATTAAATTCCGCAGCCGTGAAATTGACTTTGACACTGGATAGGCTACTTTTATGTCGCGTCTCTTGCATTTCTCGTTAGTTTTTCTTTTAACTTCGTTAGTATCCCGACACGGCTACTAATCAAAATTCGAGTGGAAACTTTTTTAGTGATAAGAGAAGATATTACAAGTTATTTTAGGAAAACATCTTGTTTAATGTGAGCTACAAGACAGAGCTCGCTCAAGGAATTGAGAGGAAATCCAGAACTATATGCATTTTTTTATAACAGGCTTTCTTGTAGGGACCTTACGGTTAGATTTACCTTTTCACGGCTGAATTTATCTTTTTAAGATTGATCAAGGAATTTCGGAAGTTTTAAAGAACAATCTAGAGATGTTTTTAGTTTTGTACAGGAGCTTATCTCTGCATTTCTATGTCACCACTTGCCTAATGGAATTAGATAGTTTATACCACTCAAAATTGCCTAGTTAATCGTTAGTTTACTTCATAGCAACACCTTGCTTACTGCATGGCAACGGTTTGAAATTAAACCAAGTTGCTCTCATGTTATAAATTCCATTTTCGACGTAATTCTCACATCTCACTTTCTATTTTAACGTAATATTGTTGTTTTGTTAATATATAAATCCCCTATTAAAAATCTCTTTGCCCAGATCAAACTGCAAAAAAGTTTATACATTATATATTTACAGATTTCAAAAGTGGGATTTATTCAAAAACTCCCTCTCTGATTGAAATAAATCCCTGGTGGCCCCTGAAAACAGTTCCGTATTAAAAGTTCATAAATTGCCGGCATCAGCTCCACGCTATTACGAATTCAAATTTTCATAAACTTCTGCATATTTGCATAAAATCCAGCCAGACAACCGAACAACTTTTCATAAAACCTATAGGGGAATTAACCAGACATTTGAGTTTCCGGATTTTCATTGATGAACAAATGAAATTTTTGTATTTTCACGTGTATGCTTTCAGATAGAAATAAATTTTTGATGTATACCTACCTAATAATTGTTTTGTGACTAAATATTTGAAAGTGCGGCATAGTAATGTTTGCTTTGGAAATTGAAAAGGTTCCCAGCCCTGAAAGAAGACCATAATATAAAATTCTATATTTTTCTTCGTGAACTCTATGTTGTGATTGTCTTCAAAGTGTATGTTTCATAAAATGGGTAAATACCATTTATTTATTTCTCATAATTGAAATTCAAACTTTGAAATGTTTTATCTGCACGAAAAAAATTATTTAGCTTATCTACAAAAATTCTCACAAACCTTCACAGTCAAAATATGACAGTTTTTCCAAAGTCTTTACTCTTCTGTCTATACTTTAGATATTATCCGAAACTTATAAGCTCTTTCCATTAAAAAACGTTTTTTCAATTTGTACAATAAATCCAGCTTTTCGATTACCAATAAATAATCTCGGCTCAATTTAATATTTACATTTTCAACCCGAGCGCGCCAAACAATTTATTTTCAAAATATGACGCCGTAATAATATGCAAATACCGTTCCGAGATATAGATTAGGGCTAGGGCTGTCAGAAATTCCACGGGCTAAAATATGCCGTGACAGGACGACGTCGGGATAGCATGCCAAGGGTGTCGGGACGTGAATTTACAACTTTATTAGGGATAAACAGCCTGGCACGAGCAGTCGGAATATAGGGAAAGTGGAATTAGGGATATTGTCTTATAATAACTTTCGTTGATTGGAAAGTGGATTATTTGCACAATTTTGACACAGGAACTATTATAACCCTTGTGATTTTCATAGTTTTTGGTTTTCATAAGACAAACCAACTTACCAATTCATCCGCAGGTGGATCCGTCCAAAACTGTTCCACACTTTTGGTTCTAGAATAGTCCAGTGCACAAGGTCCAACAAGCAATGAACTCAATATTGATCCATAATCTGGATCAGCTACAAGAGCGTCTTTATCGTAGTACTTTGACGCGTTGCTCACCAAGTAATCTATTATTTTGGCTAGTTGCTTATCAAAAAGTGCCAATCTGTAAAAGAAATTTTTTTTCAGTATTTGAAAAATCTATTTTCCACTTTAAAATTGAATTCAAACAGGGCTTGACCTCAACATTTACCGGTCGTTTGATATGTTGCCCTTTGATTCTTGCCTCGTTCACTCAATCAACCAGGAAAGTCTCTGAAAGGTTTTATTATAAAAGAAATAAGGTCAGTGCGTTTTATTTAGGTGCTCTTTATAGCTTTTTTATATATGAAATTGAGGTCGAGCAAGTATAAGAGAAACGATTACGAGTTTTCATAGTTAGTTTAAATTGAATATTCTTACTCTTCCTACTTCCTACTTCCTACTTCCTCAACGGACTTTAACGCCAGGAAAAAAACTCCAGGAGGATTATTATTCCCAGCTTCCTCATCTCTATTGAAGTAGGTAAATTTATTCAATGATTTTAGATGGAAACTCGATTATTTAATAATGGACCCTTCAGCTACATTTCTAAAAAGGTACACCCTGTTTATTCACACGCATGTAATATTTAAAAAGGTTTTCGTGAAAATAGGATTGAGGCAGAGAAAATTTTCACTTTATTCCAGTTTTATTTCTAGAGTGGATAAAATATTTTTATTATTTCGGGGACGTTAACAAAACTTTTGACCAACTTCTATTGGACGTTATTTATAATGCAAACATGTCAGAGACATTGAAGAAATTAGGCAGCAGAAAAAATCGTTTTGAAAAAAAACATTTTGACGACTGACAGTTTCTGTGACTTCAAAAACCCGTGATATTCAATCTATACAGATAACTTACCGTATCCACAAAAATCTTGGCAAAGGAGATGAAGGAAACGATAAATTCTTCTTCAACGTAGGTTTGCTAACACTATCACTACTGCTACTAGATCTCCTGTTAGGATCCGAATTTTCAATTTCTTGTACTTTTTTCGAAATTCGATTGGCTTCCGAGCAATGTTTAGCAACTTTGTGCAACAGCGCAGTCGTGGAAGACGTCTTGAAGAGACCTAAAGCCCTTCTGCGCAGACCTTGCGACAAGCAATTTTCCACTGCGCCGCAAAGCGAGGTTACGGAACCGCTCTCTTCGTGAACGAATTTACGAGTTACGGATTCTTCCATTACCTGTTTCACTTCCTTTTTGACGGCGACTATCAGCTTTTCTTTGTAGTCTTTCTCTGCAAAGAAAATCAAATGGAAATTTAGAGTTTATTAATTAGGCAGTGTAACGATCCAGATAAATTGAGCATTAAATTACAGGGACTTAAAATGCAAAAAGGGAGTTTTCTGGAAATAAATGTAAATTAATGTACAATCAAGCAAAACTCAAATTAAAATTTTTATTATAAATTAGCTCTCGAAAGGTTTCTGGAGAAAGTACAGAGAAAAGTGTTTAAGGAAATTAGATTCCCTACTTTCAAATAATAAGCCCACTTGTGACATCACGAGGTTCCTGAACCTGAAAATGAACCTAGAAATTACCGAAAAAACTTATTTTTATGGATAACGAGCGTTGATAATTTATGGTTTTTAAATTAAAACAAGAAATGTGTAATGTTCAATTGAATAACTACGTTCTGTCTAGTTTTTGGGTGAAGGTTTCAATATTGAAACTATTAAAAGGGTTGATAGAGTATAGTTGGGCAGCCTGCTACAGGAGGATAATTTTACTTTCGGTTAACAAATATGATATATTATATTAAGTCTCTATGAACTTTATTTTTTTGGAACGGAACATTCATTAATTTAACCACGCAAAAGTACCTTAATAGACCAACATCATTATAGCAATTCTCTCTTCTACTCAATGTTGATAAAAAAAATATATGTTATATTATAATTGGTAATATTATATTAATTAGAACGAAGCACCCACGTATCCTTTATGATAAAATATTGGTCATAATATATTAATTTTGATATAAAAGTTGTATTTTGTATAAAATGGTATTTGGTTGCTCGTTGAAAACCTACGTATTTTGTGAAATCGGAAATATGGAAGCAATGCAATATTAAGGATTATAGGTTAAAAATTTATATTAGAAATAAGTGATTCTGCCAAGGAATATCACTTTAAGTATTACTCAAAAATTTAATAAGCGAAAAATTACGATGAGGATCTGTTTTGAGGTAGAATACTTATTGGAAATTGTTGTGTAACTCCATAAGTACCATGTAGCAACAGTTCTTTCCACTAAATCATTACTTTTGGGATAATTAAGACTAGACGTATGGTGACTTATATCCCATGACTGGACAAAATTCTTGAATTCTTGCAAGTGCAATGGAGGACCATTATCAGATACTATTATGGATGGGATGCCATAGCGAGCAAATATTGACTTCAGACTTGTAATGACTTCACTGGCATTGATAGAACTAACCCATATTACTTCAAAATAGTTGGAAAAATAATCAACAACTAAAAGATACGTGACTTTATTATAAAAGAAGAAATCTATTCCGGTCTTTTGCCATGGCAAAGTAGAAGGCTGATATGGTAGCAAAGGCTCTGATGGATTGGAATTACGAAACTTTAAGCATGATGTGCACTACTCTACTCTATTCTTAATATCAGCTGTGATATTAGCCCAAAACACAATTACACGTGCCTGCTTTAAACACCTCTATCTATTCCTAAATGTCCTTCATGGATTATGTCTAAAATTTGGCTACGCATTTCTGTAGGAATGACAAGAAGATTTTTTCAAAAAAACCAAACCATCAATTGTGTGTAACTCATGCCTATAGTTAAAATAGGGCTTAACCGAAGATTCAACATTGTTCTTCGAAATTGGCCAGGAATCCTGACCATACTGTATGATGGTTTGCAATTCTGAATCTGCACAAGTTCCTACTGTGAAGAGTTTGTTTAACAAATGTCGTGAGTCAAATACTGATCCATATATTGCTATTCTCCAGAACAGAAACGCAGCCCAAGCTAGCGAATATTCTCCTGCTCAGCTTTTGATGTCGCGTTATTTGAGAATGAAGTTACCAGTTACAGAAAGCATTCTTAATCCAAAATTTATTGATTATGTTCATTACAATAATTTTGTTAGAGAAAAGGTGAACAAGATGAAAAATTATCATGATCAACATGCCAGAAATTTGTCAGATATAAATGTAGGAGACAATGTCATGTTTAAAAAAACTGCCAACTCATCTTGGGAACCTGCTTTGGTCACTGAAAAAGGTCCAATGCCAAGGTCTTTTGTTGTTCGCACCCCTGATGGTGTAGATTACCGAAGAAATAGGCATCATTTATTGATAAAAAAATTTGAACCCAATACATCCGCTCCAGGGATGCTATTTCTAGGACAATTGTACTAGATCTAGCACAATCACGTTTCACCTAGTACGCTAGTACCTCTCCCATTAAACTAGTACAATTTTGATTACGAATCGAGTGTCGCTGTTCGGTCGTACCGTACCCGAGCTCTGAGCTCTACTCTCTACTCGCGAGTTGGGTTCCACTGTCCAGGTCTCACTCCAGTGCAGCTAAAGCCAAACAAGAAATTGGCGTTTCGAATGCACACGCACTTTTTTATTCTGTGACTTGACGTGTATCATTGTATCATGTATCAGGGGTTATTTGGTTATTCAGCCGATCGCGGTAATCGGTAGTCGATTTATAACTAAGTATGTAGAAATTTATTTAGTTCTATCATTCAGGGCCCGTTTTTGAATTGCGAGTCACCACCAGGTTAAGCATAACTCCAGGGTAAACATTGTAACTGGACACGTTCACCCTGGAATTAGAACCAACCCGGAAGTGACTCGCTATTGAGAAACTGTCCCTAAAACAGGTGATATTTACCTCCAATTGGATTGTGATATAGAAAGAGGAACCAACCGCCAAATGGCTAAAAATGAGATTCTACGCTAAACACATTACTATTAACGGATCCAACCCCATCACCAATTTTTGCAAGGATACAATAAACCTAGCGACATCTATTAACTGAAATTTGTATTTCGAAAATATCATTTCTTCTATATTTGTTGTGGAAAAAAGAACCACAATGTAGTAGCGGAGCACCTGTGTAGCAGAACAAAAAACTACTAAATCCCTGCCTTGGAATGTCGAGAGGACTAAACATGTTAAAACTAGCGTTAGAGGAACTATTTTTTAGTTCATAAGTTCTATTTTTCTTGAAGAACAGTTTGAGTCGAGGTTTGATTACCCATTATAACTGCTTGTTTGATTACCCATATTCTGGAATAAGGAACCAACCGACCATATTTTTAAAAATGAGAAATATTGATTTTCAAGTTTTCGAATATGAAGCCTGGTATTTCAAAAGCCTACCAAAATCTATTTACAGTAATAAATAAGACGAAATAGCTAAATTTTGCCAAGCGCACGGTTCTTTATTCAATTTTTTCATGAATCAGAAAAAAACAATTCTGAAAACAAATTTTCGTGCTTTTTTTTCAAAGTTTCAAAGTATCTTGACAAATAACATATTCCTAGCAGTTATTCTGCTTATTTTATAACTCCTCTGAGAAGTAGGATTCCAAAGAAATTATCTATTTATTTTATTTTTTGAAAAAGTAAAATATAAAGTCTGTTTTTTTTTTAAGATAATTCCCCAAGTCAAAAATTTAGTAACTATGTTGGCAACACAAGCCTTTTCTACATACAAAATTTGAAAGCATTGAAAATTTTACATTGTATTGCCAACATAATGTCATTTTGACTTTTATCTTTAAAAAAAAACAGATTTTATGTTTTATGCCGTTTTTCGAAAATGGTCGTTTGGCGCCTGGTTCCAGTTTCTATATCACCTTCCAATTAGCATAGCCTACATTTCTTAAAGAAGGTAAAGCGCTGTCCTACGGACATAAGCAGTAGGAACGAGCCATTCTGCTTATGAAACTAAAGTGAAGCCAAGTTTTTGGCAGGTGTTTGGCACCAAAATACAAGTGAAGCATTAAATTGCCTATACCGTTATATTTTTGGTGCCAAAATACCTGGAAATTAACGGCTTCATTTTCCAACTCCATGTTATTATTCCTTTACCTTTACATGCTCTAAGCTACATTTGTATTCAAAATTCAAAATTTGATGCGCTTTCATCTAGTACACAATGTCGCCAATCTAGTACAATTATTCCCTACTTTCTGGTACAATTTTTTTGGTGCTGATAGCATCCCTGCCGCTCCTTCTACGACAATTGAAGATCATCCTAGATCCAGTACAAGTACTTTATCAAACTCGCCGAATTTAAAGGGGGTGTGCGCCAAAAATTAAAGTTTGAGTTTAAGAAAATCTAAGAATAACTGTTCAAACCTCGTTATTCTACGATAAACCATCGCTGAGATATACCGCTTTAAAGTGTGGACGACGCTCTCGTGACGTCACGAGAACTTCGTCCAGCCGCGCTCCGCATTGTTAATTTGATTGTTCCCGGCACGCGTGAGTGGTTTTTGTTTAGATTATTGCAGGTAACACAGGAAAAACATATGTAAATTTGATAAACTCCACTTTCTCGTGCGTCGCTTGAGCTGTCGTGACGTCATAGGGTGAGATGCGGTACCTTCATAGAGCCATATGTTCGGTATTATTTGTTATAGAGGGGTGCGGATTTCACTGTTATTCTTAGATTTTTTTTCTCTTTTTTTTTGAGATGAAGTTGTTTTTTTGTCGCACACCCCCTTTTAAATTGCTCTATTGCTGACATGCCATCTCAAAAAGCACAGACGATTAGAGTGTTTACTCGTAGTGGCCGGCTAGTGAAAAAACCGCGTAGGTTTGATACTGTTGATTTGTCATTCATTCATTAATAAAATTATTTCTTCTCTTATAAAAAAAGGAACATATATAACTTCATAAGTACCATGTAGCAACTAGTATTAGCGGAACATTGAGAGCTAAAGTTAATCGAAAAAATCAGCTTTCTCTTTACCAATTTTTGTTTTCATCCAAAGTTTCCAATTAACAAAATAATATCATGGATCAATATAATCATCCAACTATTGTAAACATTCCCAATAACAAGTCAGTTAATTATGTCAAACTTAATTAAAATACATTCGTGCTAGTGTCCCAAATACATAGAGATAGTGTCGTACTAATTCCATTCATAGTTCTATGGTAATGAAGCTTAGTTATAAGTTATTATCATGCTATCCCTCGTATCAGTGACCCACTATTGAGGTCAATTACGGATTATAGCAGGTGCAAATTAAGTCTGTTTTTGACACACTCTCCATGTCAATCAAAATTTCCAGTTTTTCAAAATTAATTCCAAATTAAAAAGGCAACAATGACGTTATCAGAAATAGGCGAAATGGTGCAAAATACCTATGCAAACTTACGAGATATAGAATTATTCGATGTCAAGACGCCAAATGATCTTTACAGTTTATTTGTTTTTTGCCATATGTTTTCGTTTGCCGTTATATTATGGAAGTTAACAGCCTCATCGTAATATTTGAGTACTTAACTGATTGGAGATGTACGCATTTGAATAAATGGTATATACCTTGATACAAAATTGCTTTATTTAGTTTGAAATTGTTGTCGTTTACGGAAGAAATATATATAGCTCAAGCAAGATACCAGCAAATTGGCTAAAATCAACATTCGTAAACCCAACGCCTCACATTGTGATGACTATCGGATGATAAGTCTTATGTCCCATGTCCTTAAAACCTTCCTTAGAATCATCCACACGCGAATCTACAAGAAGTGCGAATATCAGATGGACAACACCCAATTTGGATTCTGAAACGGACTCGGAACGCGTGAAGCACTCTTTTCCCCAAATATAATGACACAAAGGTGTAGAGACATGAATGTGAATGTATTTGCATGTTTCATAGACTATCGAAAGGCGTTCGACTGTGTTAATTATCAGAAGATGATCGAAATTCTAAGAACAACCGGAGTTGACGAACACGACCTACGCTTCATATCAACTTTATTGGCATCAAACGGCGGTAGTAGCGATGGAACAATCAACATCGGAAGATATGCAAATCAGGCGGGGTGTTCAACAGGGTTACGTCTTGTCTCCACTCCTGTTTAATCTGTACTCAGAAACTATATTTATAGAGAGGGTTCAGAGAGGAATCAAGATTAATGGAACCCCATAATAAACAATATCAGGTACGCCGATGGTACGGTTGTAATAGCCAACGATGTACAAGAACTACAAAGCATCGTGGATTCCGTAGTTCACTATAGCGAAATGTTTGGATTGCATCTCAATGTTTCCAAGACCAAACTATTGGTCTTTTCTAAGACTCCAATAAATGCACACCTGCGTATCAGAGAACAAACAACCGAACAAGTGACCTCAATAAAATATTTGCGACCCGAAAAGGGAAATACTTTCAAGGATTAAGCAAGCGAAGAAAATCTTCATGAGTATGTAAACATTTTTTACAAGACTAGACCTTAGCTTGGAACTCAGAACTCGAATGATCAGATGCTACGTCTTCTCTGTCCTACTCTATGGATGTGAAAGCTGGACACTAGAATCCGAGACCGAAAAGAGAATAGAAGCCTTCGAAATGTATGTGTATGGACGGATGCTGCGAATTTCATGGGTACCAACGATGAAGTACTCCAGCGCATGCACAAACAAACACCATCAAGGAAAGAAAAATGCAATATCTGGGTCATGTGATGAGAGGTGATAGATACGCCTCATATTGAAGGGCAAAATACATGGGAAAATATCAGTAGAAAGACGCCAGAACTCATGGCTAAAAGATTTAAGGAGATGGTTCGACCGCTCGTTCGAGCTGCAGTTTCCAGAGCTACAATTGCCATTTGGATCGTCAATCTTCGGCAGGAGAGGGCGTGATAAGAAGAAGAATTGCTTTATTTAGTTTGAAATTGTTGTCGTTTACGGAAGAAACTTCTTCAAAGTTTATGCAGACAAAGAGATTTTCATACCCAAGTATTTGTATTCAGCACATTGTTTTATTTCTTGTCCGTTATTCAATTTCAGAGTTCGCTGTTCACCTCCTATTGTATTTTGTTTTAGTTAGATTAACTTCCAAACTCCATTTCTCATATTCCTCTCTATCAATTTACGTGCCATGTTCGTTAGATCACCATAGTCCTCTGCAATTAATACTTGGTCAAAGGTATATATATACAAAGTAGAATATATATTGTATTCATTAAGCGGTATTCCCATGTGTCTGCATTTGTTTTTCCACCCATATTAGGTGCTTACTCTAAGTATATTTTAAAACGTGTTGGTGATATGCATCATCCCTGTTTAAGTCCTTTAGTTGTTGTAAAGCCTTCTCTGTTTAATCTTGGTCTTTGCTTCACCATGACCGTTTGAACTGCCTTTATTAGTTCCAAGTTGATATTGGTCTTTTCTAGTGCTTTCCAAAGCTTTTTCAGCGGAATATTTTTATATATATGCTCTCTTTAGATCTACAAAGAGTAAATAAAGTTCTTGGTTATACGCTAGTTTCTTTGGCCTGGCTTCCTACCATTTTTCAAGAAGATACAGTGTTTTTTAACTTCTTCTTTCATAACTCTTATTGGTGATCCTGCAGTTTTTATGGTTATGTCTGTTCTTTTTCTTCTTTAAACTAGGTATGCCCTTTGTTCTGTCAGTAATTCTTCAAAGTACTGGGTTGTGAGGTGTTATAATATTGTGTTGATTATACAACTTACTGTACATTATTCCCATATGACACGAGAGTCTTAATAAGTGATAAGCCTTTTGGGATTATCGCGCTTGGTGGCATTCATGGCAAATTCTATTATAGATTTTTTGAAAATTTTAAACTATTAAAGTTTAGTTCGTTGTATAACCTTTTGAATACCCCTCGATGTTTCAGGATTACCTTCGGAGTTGTGGTGTTGCTGCGTAACGCGTTTCGTGACAGGTAAAAGTATTATCCGGTAATTCTGAAACCTCTTGTGGTATTACATTCGATTATACAACTCACTGTACATTATTCCCATATGACACGAGAGGTTTACTAGGTGATAAGCCTTTTGGGATTATCGCGCTTGGTGTATTGAAGTTTAGTTCGTTGTATAACCTTTTGAATACCACTCGATGTTTCAGGATTACCTAATACTTTTACCTGACACTCAACGCGTTACCAGCAATACCACTACTCCTTCGGAGTCGTGGTGTTGCTGCGTAACGCGTTTCGTGACAGGTAAAAGTATTATCCGGTAATCCTAAAACCTCTTGTGGTATTACATTCGACAATTCTAGAAGCAACGACACGCTGTAAAACGGAGTCGATCATCGAATGATAATTCAGTGCATCAACAATAAGTTATTTGACCGGGAATAGGTTATATTCAGTTAATTAGTGAGACTTGAGTCGATAGTGAGTTGTGATTTAGTTTTTTGACTAGTTAAAATGGATTGTAGTTTTACCGAGGTGTTGTTTCATCGTGATTTTTACATTATTGTCTTGAATAAAAGGTAAATAAATTTTGGAACAGAACCTAGGTCTCATTTATCCACGAACCCGCATACATAACATTGATAAATTCGTGTTTGAATGAATTTGAAAAGTTTTATCGTCCTAAATTCAAGATAAATAGCAACTGTCTCGCATTGATTGTCCTTTCATATTTTGTGCTGAACCATTTCCAATCAAATTTTTTGTTAGAAAAGTGGATTATTATCGTACCTATAATTATTATTGTTCTTAACATCGAATGAAAATTATTTTGACGATAAACTATGAGGGTTTATAAAAGTAATCAAACAGCTTACAAAGTTTGAAAAGAAAGTTAATTTCAGATAATAAGCTAGAAGAGGAAAAAATAATAAAATCTCACTTACCATCGCCCGACATGCTGATGTTAAACCCGCCCAAAGAAAAAACAGATATCATCAAAAAACAGCTAAGTATATCAAAATTAAGCCTAAAACCACAATAACCAATTCACCCCCTTATTTTTAATAATACAATATATAGTCCATTCGTACACCTCAGACGGTGACTTCAAAGGTAGAAAAACACACGGCGAGTATGACAGGCTAAGGTCCGATACGACGCCCCTCGAAAACTGAAACGTTCGCGCCGCGACGCGTTCATTATTAGTTTGAATCGGTCGTGAAGTCTGGCGGATGGCTCAAGCTGAAAAAACGGCGCCTGAAAATAAGGGTCCACCTTGAAAACTTGGGGGATCGATACGGGGAAAGGGGCTTTGGGGGGTCGCGAGGGGCATCGGACGAAAATGGGGTGAGCGGCGCATGTTCTAAAGCTTGGGGAAGTTTGTGTGGCGATTGTTGGAGTTGGAAAAGTTTAGTCCGGGAGATTTCGATTTTAATAACTCAATCAGAATTGGATAAAGAACAAGCCAATAATGCAAAGTTTTGACAATGTTGGAAATGCAAATTAAAATGATTATAAATCAAGATCGCTTTGCTTATCGATTTTGTTCTAGCTCTCCCTACTCCGCAATAGCACAAAAGGTACGATGGACGTTTTTTTCAAGTCTGTTGGACAGGAAACGTCAAAGGGTTGAAATAAGATGTTTTATAAACGTTTATTTAAGAACTTTTTAAAATCGAAATTAAAAACGTTTTTTTAATATCCATGTCAGAGTGTTTTAATATTGTCACAACCCCTATACGTTTCGTCCTAGGACGTCATAACAGGAACAGGAGAGAAACTCGCTTGGTATAGGTATAATAAGATAATGTATTGAATAATAATAATATTACCCTAGAAATAGTATCATGACGTCTCTTCTACGGAGGGACGTACTACTAGGCCACTCTGTATTACGTACCCTCTGTACACTTGGCGTGACTTAAGACTGAAGCTGGCTTTGAGATAGGTCCAGAAGGGCGTTTCCCATTAAAGGCAGTTTGCACTGGAAGGAGACTTAGCTAGAGGGGCTTTTCCCATTAGAGGTACTTTGCACTTAGTCTGCCGGTAATGGATTTCGGCGCGGTATTTATACCAAATAAATGCTGACTCGTCGACACACTTTAGTAAAATTGATGTACAGAGTGGTGTTAACTTAAGTAGTTGACAATATCCAGTGGTAGAGTGTGTTGATACCATCATTGAAAACTTTTGAAAAACGATGCTTTCAGGTACCTACTTTGATTGTGGTCGGATACGGTTTCAAGACGTTTTCTGTGCTATTAGAGCTCTTGCAATAGTTGATAGTATGTATAAGTAGGTGAGTTTGGGTTAGTTAGGTCAAAATCTCAACAAGGCAACATTTTTTTTTGAAAATTCAATATTTATTTATCATACTAATAAATTACAAAATACACGTAACAAATATCCTCTGGACAGTGCTTAGAAGCACTGGTATTAAGGACAAAAAATAATACTTATACCACTAGACGGCTTGTCTAGGTTTAAATACCACACTATACTATATAATATCTTATCTTTCAGTATAAAGGTGATTATATGTTGGATGCTTCATAAATTGGATTATACATAAGCCCTTGTTAGTTTTAATGATATTTTGATGAATATAATTTTGTGTCCTAGTCCTAGTGTTGTGTGAATGCACATTTCTGGAGTGGATTATTTCTATACATTTGTTTTTTGGGTTTTATTAATAATTCTATACACAAGCTTGCACTGTTTGAAACACAGTACCTACCTTATCTAGTTTCCAGAACCCCAAGTTCGTGTAAAGGTCTTCCATGTGAATTAAATGGTTATAATTAAATAAAATCTTTAATATTTTATTCTGCAGAACTTGCATCAGGTTTAGGTTTACAAATCCACAGGTGCCCCAGACAGGAATGAGATATCTGAAGTGCGTTAAAAAGTAAGCACTGTATATATTAAGCTTAGTATTATAAGAAAGGTAGTCTCTGTTTTTATACAGTGCACTAATCATCAATCATTGGTGTTATTTTACTAGAAATATAGTTAATGTGTTCCGACCAAATGAGTCCATTATCAATAAAAAGTCCTATATTTCATTTTTGATACATGCTCAATGCCTACATTGTTAAATTTTATATTTGGTATTTGAACAGTCTTGTTTTTCTGTTTAAACAACATAAATTTGGTTTTATTAACATTTATTTTTAATTTATTAAACAATAACCAATCAGTATATAACCTCAGATCACCATTCGCAATGTTATCGATGCCCTCTACATTATTGAAATTTCTTTTTCAAAAGAAGGGATATAAGTTGTATAGTTCTATTTCTAAACATTTTGCAAAACGGTAGATATTTTCAACTGTGCTGAAAGATATCCCGGACTATTAATTTCCGGCGTAAAGTTTTCGCTTATCGAACCCGGATTCCGCGCAGTGATAACCGGGAGATGATTAATTTGGTCTACATTACCCGCGTTTGTGTGCTTGCTCCTAAATTTCATAATTTTAGATGATGGCACAATTTTGTTTGATATTTTGATGATATGTACCTTCAACATAATTACCTAATTAGGAAAAGTGATTTTATACAGGGATATTTTTAAATGAATAAACGAAATAGTGAACTATATCATTAATGGACATTCTCATTATTGTCTTAAATATTTGAAAAAACCCATATTCATTTGAGTTCTTTTGTAACTCTGATAAAATTTCAATCAATCATAGTTGTCTTATGAGTAGTACCTACCTAATTATTGGACTTTCAATAGTCGCTGCTGGAACAGTGATAATCTTGCTTTTCAAAATATTATTTATTATGGTGCTTGCTGCCTTTTACAATACATATTGTCATTTCACCTTTTTTCAAAAGGGAAAAATAAATCTTCACATTGAAAATTCAAATATTTGTGTTAAAAGTGTGTCATACATTCTGATGAGTTAATCATTGCGTAATGACTTGCGTTTTTATTGAAAGTTGATGTAAGAAATAAAGGACCTCGCACACCTCTTATGGGTATTTGGTTTTCTGTCAAACTCAATGAAATTTTGATATGTGTTGGACCTTGACTTCCTGATAAGAAGTTCTCATGGGCCCGAACCAATCCTATGATTAGTTTTTGAGATACAGGTATACTTTATTGTCCAAGAAATGTACACATTTTACATTTAGATGGTAAATGGCGAGCGGTATATTGATGGTGTTTATCTCCTTGGGCGGCCACCTATAAAATTGTGGAGGGGGTCTATTCGCAAAAGAGAGAAACAAACTATTCAGGTTTACTAAATTATATTTTATTATACTTAAAACCAAAATTAAAATAAATCAAATATCTTTCTATGTCTGACAGCCACTTCTACTTTTCCCAAATCAATTTACTTCACACCCGTTCAAATTTCATTACTACGGACCAGGAAATATCCATACTAAAAACGCCCTACTTTTTCTATTCTTAATAACTTACAAGTTTAAACATTTACTCTTTCAAACAACATTCACATTCCTATCAAAACTACCCTTCGCCTATATCTATAAATTTTTAAAACTCCTAAGTCATTTACTGACAGCTTATGCAGAATAATTATTTAAGTCATAATCCTACTCACTGGATTAAGTAAGTACATATGTATTATCAACTATATTTTTATAAAACCCTTACAATAATTTCTAAATGAAAAAAACCGTAATTCAAAATTTCAGCACATAAGGTCAACAACTTCATGAACAATAAGTTTCTTTTCAAAACTTTCCATTTCATTTAATGGTTTATTTAATCAGAACAATTACTATTTTCGGATTCCTAGCCAACAAACACAATTATTTAAATTCTTATTAGTTCGTTACTATTGCCCTTAAACTTCAATTGGACAATCCAATTCAACATTCTTTAATAATTCCTACTTAAAATCGAATATTGACAAGAGCATTATAATTTTCTTTTGTTAATTCTTTGCAAAATTTAATTAAAACGTCATTATACCCGAAGGGAATTAAAGTTATGCAATAAAGTTTTTACAGTCAAATCACTCAAGTTTTTATGCATTAAAGTTCAATGTCAATTCACTTCTTATCATTCATCATTTATAAAGTCAAAAAGTTTTACTAGTCACTAGAGTACTTACATTTAACTTTTCACTCGTAAAATTACCTAATTAATTTACTTCAAAAATCTCTAGAGCTCGCACATAATGTTGAATGACTATGTTCTTTCTTTCAAAATTTTCCGTTACCTTTTCAAAGCTTAACGCGTTTTCCCGAGGCAACAAAATAAAAGAAACTCTTCGCGAATTTTAACCGGACTGACTCATCAGGTACTGTAGATTTTACTCAAACTGGACTGAACTTAAACTCAACTGAACTGATCTAAAATCCTTGTATTTATATTTTTCGATTCCCCCCAAAATATTATTAATTAGTCACCAAAATCGACAATATAGGCGGTCGTTTGAGCATCTATAATTCAATTCTATTGGTCGACCTAGATATTACTCCAAAAATATAACTTCTTCATTTAAAGGATGATGCAATCTGTCATTTTGGGTCCAATTTAATTAGGTGCTTGACCTTGTAATTGATCTTTTCCGGGTTTTTATTTACGAGTTCAAATGATGACACTTGCTTGGTCACTGATGGCTTGTTTAAAATTTGAACGTACCGATATAAATATTTTAATTAATTTGGGTCAATGCTAATTTGTTTCATCATCTTTCAATTTATAGATACTGATTTGAAATACAGGAAATTCAGGTTTTGCTTATTTGATTACATTTAATTTTTACACTAAAGACATTGTAAATTACGGGTCTATTTTCCCGGGTCATTACAAAACCTTTCACAAAAGTTGGATTGTTAGTTGGATTTCAAGCGTTCATTTAGAGTTTAATGGGTTCGTTAGTTTATGCCGCTTCCTATATGGCCCTTATGGCCTTATGGGTTGAAAATATTAAAAAATTTGCAGCAAATTGATTTTTTTTTCTGCAGATTTTCGATAGGGCTCCACATTCATCCTTTGACAGGTGATAAAACATATCTCTATCAACATTGTGTCCTTTTTTTCTCAACAACGTTACGGTTTAAGGGCACATGTCTCTTATGGGTTTTAGAGCCGTACATTGAAGCTCCAAAGTGTTCTAAATTGGTTCAAAAGAGTTCTAAAAAGTTTTCAGTCAATCCTAATTGTTCTGAAGTTTCTAAATTTTTCCAAAATGCTCCTGAAAATTCTGATTTGGATTCGAACTGTTTTGAATGCTTATTAAAGGTTTAAAGTTCTACAGCAATTTAAATTCGCTCTGGAACGCATTCTTGAAAGGCGTTTTGTAACTTTTAACCTGATTCCTAAAGCACAGCCTCCTCCTATATAAGATTTTGATGCTTTTCAAAATGATTCTGAAGATTCTAGAGTATTAGGTGCCTCAATGACGAAAATCAATCGAGGAGACATTGAACACCTGTTGAATGTACGTCGATATTATAAAACAACGGAATAAGAGTCTAAAAAAAAATCTGATCCAGGACTTCGACAAAAAAAACAAATGGTAAGAATCCATTCCGGTATAAGAAAAGTCCAGTTCGATAATCAGCCACTGACCAGTACAGTCTGATTGTCTGCTGGTTAAATAAACCAGAGAGACGCTGATAAAGTAGTTATTGATACGGCCCTAGTAATTAAAGTGTAAATGAAAAAACTCTGGATAAGAAACTCTGCTTGATTAATTTAGAAAATTGATTGAATCATGCCTCTGAATGAAACAAATTGAAAAACCTATAGACTTTTCAAGCAGCGTCTAGACTTCTCGGGATTTATTTCGATAAAGGGTTGGTGTTTGGTAATTTAACCTTTTGAAAATGGTAATTACCTACCTTCAGAAATAATTGCCGTTAAATAACTGGAACTGTCGTTAAACTGTCAGCCTCAAAAAATAAGACCAATTTGAGTTTCAAATACTCAAGAGAGTGAACTTATATGATGGGATTTAAAATTGGAATAACTGTAGGTTATTAAATAATGTGTTCTAATATAGGGGAATTATAGAGATTTAATAGCTATTTATGTACCAAGGGGATTATGTAGATTATAATGCCCGGAGGCGAAACTAGCCCGAGGAATATATTTCGCCTGAGGCATTATAATCTAAAAATCCCCGTGGTGCATACAATGCTTTATTTTCTACTCAACAGAATGTTCTTTCATCAATCATCAAACAAAATCAGTTAAACTTGTGTGGCAGAATATTGTTTTGTATTTTGACATGTACCTGTACCTACTTAGAAACGAAACAATTTAATATATCTATAAACATCTCGTAAAGGGCCCCACAGACTGCGTTTTTGTTAGACGGATTTGTTCGACGAGTAAATCTGGTCGAGAAAAAACGACGCAAAACCGAAGTGTGTGTGCGAAAAATTGTCGTTTTTGCTGGCATACAAAACCGATGCAAATATCTGGCTTCGCCTGATTTTGTCCGTCGGATATGTTCGATATGTCAATAAATCTGAAGTGTGTGGACTACGAATTTTAAAAACGACGGTTTTGTGTGGTGCGAAGTTACGTAATTTTACATTATTGAAATTAAAAAAAAAAATTAAAAAGTTTCCAACATGACTGATGTTCGCCAAACTAAACCGAGGTCTGTGCGCAACTGCGATCCGTCGTTTTTGCTCGACCAGATTTGCTCGTCGAACAAAACCGTCAAACAAAAACGCAGTCTGTGGGGGCCTTAAGGAAAGGCAACGGTGGTCGTGTGGATTAACGCACTTGACTACATGGGAAACGTTGATGGTAGACCGGGTTCGAATCCTGGCCAGACTGAAAATTATTTTGGGTCGGACATTTAGTGGCTGCTTAGGGTAAAGTGCAAATTATGGCCGTTTGCACCGACAATTTTGAGGGAGGCTTAACGATAAGTATAACTTAAAATGACATTTCTACATGTAAAAATGTCACTTAAGGAATACTTATCGTTAAGCTCTCCTTAAAATTGTCGGTGCAAACGGCCATTAATAAAACAACAGATTATGGTTCTTGTCAAATTCTTTGAACGGTAGAACTAGTCCGGAATGGACTAGAACTGGTTCCGGGGTTCTGAATGGACTAGAACTGGTTCCGGGGTCAAACCAATCAGGGCGAATTTCATTGGTTGAAAACAGTCAGAAAACTACACCATTTCAACATCAATTTCGGAAAAAGTAACTTTTATTTAGGAAAATGTCAAGTCATTTCCGGAAAAAGTAAAATTAATTTCAGAAAAAGTAAAGTTAATTTCGGGAAAAGTAAACTCAAATTCGGAAAAAGTAAACTCAAATTCGGAAAAAGGAAATTCAAATTCGGAAAATGTAAATTCATTCATCGCTTTACTTTTGCCGAATTTGAATTTACTTTTTCCGAATTTGAGTTTACTTTTCCCGAAATTAACTTTACTTTTTCTGAAATTAATTTGACTTTTTCCGGAAATGACTTGACATTTTCCTAAATAAAAGTTCCTTTTTCCGAAATTGATGTTAAAATGGTGTAGTTTTCTGACTGTTTTCAACCAATGAAATTCGCCCTGACTGGTTTGACCCCGGAACCAGTTCTAGTCCATTCAGAACCCCGGAACCAGTTCTAGTCCATTCCGGACTAGTTCTACCGTTCAAAGAATTTGACAAGAACCATAATCTCGAAACATAGGCAGATTTATGCTGCTGTGGTATTCACGATGGTTCCGTAGTAGAGGGTTCCTAACTTCCTAGTTCTCCTTTCTTATTCCAAAATCGGAATTCCAGCTGGCCCTGGAACAGTTCTAGATCATGACTTTTGTAAACACCTCAAAAATTAAGTAAAATGACAAGTCAAATCTGACAACTGACATTTATTTGTTATTTATTTGTATTTTGTTTGGGATCGACTCTGCAGTCTGCATATTGTGTTATAGGTTTTTCCAAATATCCATTCAAATATAATATGCTACAACAGTCCAATTCGAGGTAAAATGATAGATGAAGAAGCCAAGCAAAGAGCCGAAGAAATTTTTAAAACTTTCCAAGTAAACTGGATTTGCTTGAGAGACGCTGATACAGGCAAACTTTTCTGGCAGGGACAAGAGGATATCAGCCTTCCAGACGTCGAACATGAAGCTAGAGTACCTAAAAACATCCTCAAATGTCGTGCAGTATCTAGAGAGTTTAGTTTTAGGTAAATACATACTTTGAGAATATTGAATGGTTATAAATTTCTTTGTTTCTAGTTCCAAAGAGCAGATTCAAAACTTTCGTCTGGAACAGAAAGTACTATTTAAAGGAAGGTGTCTCGAAGAATGGTACTTCGAATTTGGTCCTGTTATGCCAGAGTCTACAAATACATGGCAATCGATCATGGAAGCGGCCCCCGAGTCGCAAATGATGCCCGCCTCGGTCCTAAACGGTAACATTGTGGTGGAGACCAAGTATTTTGACGAAGACCTGCTCATTTGTACTTCTAGAGTTAAGTTGTTTTATGTATGATTGTTCCACTTTTGAGGTGATTTTTTTATGTAAGGAAGTTGAGTTAAATATATTTGCAATGTTGCAATAGTGTGAATTATTACTTAATTTAGTTACTGATCCCTAAGTATCAATAAAGAACTTTATGAAAAAGACAATGTGATTTTATATACCTAATATGAAACATTGCTTGAGAAATAAATAAATATAATAAGTAAGAACATAAGAATCAGTATCAGTATTTATATATTTAAAGTGTAATTATCATGTTCTTTGATATTTGGATATAAATTAAAATTAACGTTAATATAAAAAATCTAGTTGGTAATGAATAGGTATGTTCCGAGTCCAAACAGAAAGGTTCCGGAACAGTGCAAAACTTGAACAAGAGTAGGTGCGGAACTGATTACACTCGGAGCAAAAAGTGCGGCACAAGTTTTCTTGCTCTAATTTATCGAAAAAAAACGGTACGGCTCCTAAAGGCTAGTACCCACTACTAACGTGAAAAGCGTATTTTTGTTAATCAAAGCTTCCAATTTTAAAAATAGTTTTCGAACGTGCCTCAGAGCAAAATATGTTTTTTTTTTTCTTGTTTTAATGTTGGTACCCCTTTGTTTTGTACTCCTCGAACTTAACATAACCTAAAAAATTTGCCTTCTTGTGAATCTTGTTTGTGATTCCCTGCTGAAAATTTCCACTTTTCCTAAGAAACTATGGCTGTAAGTGATCAAAATATTCTTAATTATCTTTTAATGTATCAATATCATAGTTATTGGAGCACTAAAGCTTAAGGCACAACCTCAGTTTACTATATGAATAATTCTTCTATAACAATTTGATTTGTATGGTCGATTCTAGTCTGCAGCTGCCGCTAAAATAGCCGAAGTGCGTGAAACTACCAGGGTAGAAAGAATTGGGGCCCATTCGCATATCAGAGGTTTGGGACTAGATGATTGTCTCGAGGCTCGCCCGGTAAGTTTGATTCTAACCACATTTAAATACAATGTCTATAAAATGAGAATCATTGTAGGTCTCCCAAGGGATGGTCGGGCAATTGTCGGCCAGAAGAGCTGTCGGTATTGTCTTGCAGATGGTGCGTGAAGGCAGGATTGCTGGAAGGGCTGTTTTGTTGGCTGGACAACCAGGTAAATATCAACACACTTTGTATTTCTATTGATCAAACTACCCGAGAAACTTCTTATTATTATATGCTATGCTTGTATCACTAGATTTAACTCAAGGGGTAAACCACCTAGGAATTATTGTCACCAGCCTAGAGAAATATATGATAATACAGGGAAATATTAGGTATTACTTGGACATAATATAACGAAATACTGAGGGAAATACATTGCAATATGGGGAAATATAAGGTATTATTAGGAAATATGAGGATATTATTTGGAAATATCAAGGTATTATCAAAAAATATCCAGGTTTCATTAGGAAATATCCAGGTATTATTAGGAAATATCGAGGTATTATTAGGATATATCAAGGTATTATTAGGCAATATGAAGGAAAGCGCAAGTAAAATTCACAATGCCACTTTTGTAAATAAACTTTAGTATTCGTAATTCACTGAGAAAATAAACTCTATAGCCTGATTTATAAACTCCACTGTCAGGCAACTTATCTTTCTGAACCGCATAGTTCCACTATGGTTCCACCTTGGTAAACTTTAAACTTCACTGTCGTTAATCAATCAAATTAGACAATTTTTGTTATGTAGTCATATTATACAAAATAAAAATTTTGGAATTGAAATTTATCAGTTTGTACTTTCAGAATTTTCTCCACTCTAGTTTGATTCTCCGATAATACGGTTTGCATCCATTCACACTGAAATCTGAAGTTTTCCTGAAGCCGATCCTGTTCTTGTTTTTCTTTCTGTCTTCCATCTTCTTATTTTTGTAAAAATGCTACAAGCGGGTCCTCTTGTTTCTGACTTCTTTTTTTTTTTTTGTCTTCGGGCTTCTTTTTGTAAAAGTGCTGCAAGTCAGTCTTGTTCTTCTTGTTTTTCTTTCCATCATTGGACTTTTTCTTCTAGTCTTTCTTTTGTCTTCGGTCTTTCTTTTTTCTCTTGTCTTCCAAAATTTTTCTATGAAATCCGCCAAGATTTGATTAACTTGCTCTATTTCATATGCTGTCGGTTTGCTGTCATGTATTCACCATAGAATATCCTGCATAAAATGGAACACGATGGCATGTTCTTGAAAAATCACTCTGTGGACTTTTTTCTGATATCAAAATCAGTAATGGTAATGGAGTAACTATACTTGTATGACTTACGGTTTCCAAATAGAATTTTATGGAAGTTTCTAGAATTTTCAAGAAAAACCACTTGTGAATTGGTTTTTCGATTTTGAAGCCAGTAATAAAGTCACTAATTTTGTATTAGGTTTGTTCCAACATGTCAAACATTGTCCCAAGGACGGTTTTGAAACCACTAAGCACTAAGCTATTACTTACAGTTTCCAAATAGAATTCTATAGAATTTACCAGAAAATCGGTTTAAGAATTGTCTTGCTAGTTTGCTAAAACCGAACCTAAAACTCACTTCACAAACAGTAACAACGTAACAATTTGTATTACTGATTGATTCATTACAAAATTAACTTATCACCTATTGAAACATACAAATATCGAATTAAAACTAAACTCAAACTTAGTACTGCACACTATTTATAGTTGAAACCGTACCTCGGATCTGTCTAGAAAAACATTGAATCCCATATAGTGGAATTCCCAGAAAAGACGCGCTGCCCGACGTGAACAAGTAATTTTCTCAGAATCCTCGCCAGGTTGTCGATGCATTTTCGCAACGATAATAAATTAAATACAAAGAAATATTGAGGAATTACAAAAATTAGAGGAATTATGTTAATTATTAGGAAATTACCGAAAATATGAGGGAAAGTATAAGGCATTATGGGGAATTATAAGGCAATAACGGGAGTTACTGGATGATAAAGGAAATAAAGGCAATATTCGGGAAATAATTCCTCCAAGAGGAAATATTTGTCAAAAATCTCAGGGGTGGTTTACCCCTTGATTTAACCATATAGATCCTAGGTTCCTTTGGTCTATCAAAATTTGTATATCTCAGAATCAGAATAGGCCACTTTCAGCTTTTTCAAAATATATTTCAATATTATTCTATTTCTAATAACTTCAGTATTGTTATTTTTGAAAATAAACTTATTTTAAAATTGAATTTTCAAAGTGCTGGGAAAACGCGGGCTAGGAATGTGACATCAGAGTCCCAAAGTGGTTGGAATAAACCACACAGGCTAAGTACAATAAGCCTTCTCAGGCTTCAGAGCTGCATAGGGACAATAAGTCGGACAGGCCTGTAACAAGGGCGAAAAAAATAGTCTTGTATAGATATCATAAGCAGTTATATCATATACCTATTATACCAATGACTCCATACTCCTATGTAACTCTCTCACTCCTCATTTGTTGTTCAATCTTTCTTTGTGTAGTGCAGCTTTCCCAGATATATGGAAGCGAAGTTATGTAACACCCATGTTCAGAAATGGTGATAGATCTGATGTAAAAAAACTACAGAGCAATTTCAAAAAGTCTTTCTAAAATGTTGGAATCTTTTGTAAACAAATGCCTATATCCACTGCTTTCATCTCGGTTAATCCCAGAACAGCATGGATTTTTAAGAGGAAAATCTACTATAAGTAACTTGCTAGAATGTCAGCAGTTTGTAGTTGAAGCTATGGAAGAAAGTTTTCAAGTGGATTCTGTGTATACTGACTTTACAAAAGCTTTTGATAGAATACATCATTCAGTTTTAATTAAAAAAATTGAAGCAATGGGTGTTCACGGAACTCTGCTGACTTGGTTGAGCAGTTATTTATCTGGTCTAACACAGGTTTTAAGAATTTACTGAGGAGAAACTTCGAACAAGTTCATCTCTTCAATAATAATGAGTGAACAATAGGTACTGCTTAGCTTATTTCATTGGAAAATAGGCTAGTTTTAGTGCTCAATTTCTAAAACTGTAGTTTTTCTATTTAATAGGACATTTTTCATTATTTTTAGGAACTGGTAAGACTGCTATTGCTACAGCTTTAGCAGCCGCCCTAGGATCTGATACTCCATTCACAAGCATGGCTGGATCCGAAATTTACTCACTGGAAATGAGCAAAACCGAAGCATTGACTCAAGCTATCAGAAAAAGCATTGGAGTTAGAATAAGGTAAGACAAATAATTTATATTTCCACTAGTATTAAAATTTAAACTTATTTATAGAGAAGAAACTGAAATTATTGAAGGCGAAGTTGTGGAAGTTCAAATTGAACGACCAGCCACTGGAATGGGCACAAAAGTTGGAAAACTCATCCTTAAAACTACTGATATGGAAACAGTGTATGATTTGGGCGGAAAAATGATTGAGAGTGTTTTAAAGGAAAAAGTTCAATCGGGAGATGTTATATTTATTGATAAAGCAACTGGTAGGTACAATGAATAATAATAGAAAAAAAAATAAAATAACTAACTTTTTTTTTTGCAGGAAAAATTACACGTATTGGTAGATCATTTGCAAGAGCACGTGATTACGATGCCACAGGTGCTCAAACCAGATTTGTTCAATGCCCTGAAGGAGAATTGCAAAAAAGAAAAGAAGTAGTTCATACAGTTACTTTGCATGAAATTGATGTAATTAATAGCAGGACGCATGGATTTTTGGCTTTATTTTCAGGTACAAATTGAAATTTATTCATTACCTATTTTATAAAACAATTTTTTTGAAGGTGATACTGGAGAAATTAAACCTGAAATAAGGGACCAAATTAATGGAAAAGTGGCAGAATGGAGAGAGGAAGGCAAGGCAGAAATTGTCCCTGGAGTTCTATTTATTGATGAGGTATTTATAAGATCATAACTATTTACAAGAAACTAATTAAATAAAATGTAGGTTCACATGTTGGACATTGAATGCTTTTCATTCCTGAACAGAGCATTAGAAAACGAAATGGCTCCAATTGTAATTATGGCCACCAATCGTGGCATAACAAAAATCAGAGGCACCACCTACAAATCTCCTCACGGCATTCCTTTAGACCTTTTGGATCGGACAATTATCGTCCCTACAAGTCCTTACGAAGAGAACGAACTCAAAGAAATTCTGAGCATCCGATGTGAAGAAGAAGACTGTCAAATGTCAGATAATGCTTTGACTGTGCTGACAAGAATATCTAAAGAAACTTCTTTGAGATATGGTATGCAGCTGATCATGACGTCCAGTTTGATTGCTAGGAAACGTAAAGCGCATGAGGTGGATGTTGAGGATATTAAGAGGGCCTATCAGCTGTTTTTCGATGAAGGTAGATCTGTGCAGTTCCTGAAGGAATATCAGCAAGAGTTTATGTTTCATGAGTGTAAGATTTTTTTTTTAATGTTTCTATTTTAACTTATCAACTACTTATGTTTTTTTTTCAGTGGATGACGACATGCGAATGGAATTAAGTTAAGGAGACATGGTATTGATGATTGTTTAAGTATTGTCTTTTTGTAAGTTTTTTAAGGTATTTTTTTTTATTAATTAACTACTGTATAAGTCGTGTTTCACCCCTTCTGATGGGAAGTAATTATTCCTTTGTCTCTCAGTCAAATCGAATAGAATAAAAATCATCATTGCTCATTGATAATTTTTATTAACTTCTATGTATTTCTTAAAGAAAAATATACTATTATAATATCACTATTCCTTTTGATTTTGAACTAGTTATATCACCACTAAGTTACAGTTTTTTTTTGTCTAAAAATAAATTGTCATTACATACTATCCGCCTTTAAGAAACTAGAATACTCTGAGGTTACCCTTAAACTTTTTTTTGATTTTATTATTGCCTTTTGTCGAAAATTTGAAACTGCTGGGCTGCCGGTGGACTGTTTGCATATCTTTGAAACAGTGCGCTTGTAACTGTTAATTGGTCGTTATCGGCATTAGGGGAAAGTACTTTTCTGATGGTCTAAAATTCCACGAAGCGCAAATTTTATCCGATTCGGCTTTGGTATAGCCATTCCTAAAAAAAAAATACATTGTTTACTGTTGAAGTATGAGTCTTAATAATGGAATAAATAAAAAACGAAATAAACAAAAAAATACTAGTTTATTTACAAAAATAATAATAATGGTAAACAAGTGTCAAGGTTATCTTTTTTGGAGAAAATTTAGTTTTTCAAAAAACGAACTAATAAAAAGCAGTTTTTTTAGTTTAAAGAATCCCCACCGACTGCGGTTATTATTTTTATTCGGACTTTCATATCTTTCTGATTGCACCCATTCTGCTGTACAATTACTTGTTCCGTAATTAAAAAATGACTTAATACTTTCCCTTATTAGGGATGGAACGTCATTGGGGTTTCTAAAATAATAATAAAAAAAAAATAAAAAATAATAATTAGTTTGAAAAAATCCTACTTTTGCCATTCTGAGCAAGGACTTCTTTCTCTGAAACAAATCACTTGGACGATATTGAAAAATATTGCACCGATTGTGTTGGCTGTTTCACTGTTTACATTTTGAAGGCATTTTCTAAAGGTGGCATCACAGTCGCAATGAGATCTGAGAATGGAATCAAATTATTTGGTATTTTTTTCTAATGGTTAAACTCAAATTTACCTTGTGAATGGAGAATTATTGCAAATTCCTTCCCTGCATTCGCCTTTCATGAGATATTTTGGGCAATTGTCGTGTTCTCTGCAACACATGTCTTCTTTCTGAAATTTTCCCAGATCGGAATAATTTGCAGCATTGTTTCCTAGAGAAAAAAAATACTGATTGAAACTACTTCTCCTAGGAAGCAATTATGCTCAGCAGCTTAAAATAAAGTTTCATTAGGAAGTTTCTCTAAATTCATCAAGTCTACTGGGAATTTTTGTTATAGTATCTATAAATAATATTACCTGGACCACACCATTTTGTTCCTGGATACATAAATCCCCCTTGCATTCGTATCAGCTCAGCTTTATTCCGGCAAACCGTTTCTAGTTTACTGATAGCATCGTCTGACATTTGGCGAACTTTTGCAGCGTCTGCTGCCAATAACATTGTACGAATTGTACCCCTGAAATAATTCAAATTGTGGAATTATTATTATTTAGTTATTTATTTGCTATTTAGTTAGGCTAGCACGTTATCAATGGCTTTTTCAAATGTACAGATTTAGGTTACTTAACTTTAAAATTTAAAGGCTTCTTCTCACCTGTCAGTGTGAACATTGCAATAGGGTTCCTGAGTGGTCAGCTCTATCATTTTTGACATACTCTGGTCTGCAATGAGAACGGTACTGCCCATTACTGTGGCTATACATGCTAGTAGGTGACAAATTTTGATAAGTTGAAAATCCTAAAACATTAAAAAATGCAAATGCGTGATAATAAATCTTAGTTTTGGAATGTAGTTCAAGAAAATCAATTTAAAATTGCACATGTGAAATACATCTGTTCTCAATTACTTAGATTCCTAGTTCAGTCCATATAAGTCAGGTTTTTTATTCCTATTTTTGAAATCCTTAAAAGTAGAATTTGTGTATAATCTCGACTCGGTTTCATAGATACCTTTGATGATCTTGAACTTCCTTGTATGTATTAAAATCATTCATAATCGTACAAAATCAGTATAAATTAAAATAACCTTTCAAGCACCAAATACCTAACTAATTATTTCAAGTTTACATTGTAAGCACAAAATAGCTTCCTTAAAATAATGATAATAATTTAAACAAACTACAATTATTTTGAAACATCCACGATAATTAAAACACAATACATCTGTTTGTTTATTTTCAGGTATGTTCTTGACTTATTGGCAATAGATTAAAAGTGAGACGAACCCATCGAGTGACACCATTTTTTTGAACCCGTTCAATACCTTGCCCACCTTGATATTAAAAACCAACTAGAAGATAATAATCGCATCCAAATGCAAAAGTTTATTCGTAAATACCTTGTTTTTGTTTCAAATACATAATTTATTGTTTAATTAATGTGTTGCTATTAATTAATTAATTGATGTGACTTTCATTGGCATTGGCAGTTTTTTTAATGAATAGTTCTTTGTCTTATGAAAAAATAAATCCTCCTAATGATAATTAAATGACGGTTGATATAAGAACAAATTATATATATTTTTTTAATGTATGATATAATTACATTTGAAGTATATCAAATGACCATAGGAAGTACGGGCGACTAATTTACAAGTACAAGTTTATTGAAAATCTTCAAGTTCAAAACCGTATTGCTCAATAAAGGCCCCCAAGACACAAATAAAATACTACATATTTGCCTATAAATTGGGATAAAAATCGCTTGACTTAATGCATACATAGGTAAAAGATGAAGATAATAATTGATAATTTCAAGACCGTTTCAAGTACTTGGCCCGCTTCTTAATTATTCGTAATGTTTTTGTTTTTAACAATCTTACAAATAGGTACTTACCCCCATATTTTCCTAAAATGTCATTGGCTGTAACAAAATGAAATGCATTATTTTATTGGGCTGCATAAGCAAAATAATTTAAATGTAATTTTTTTTGCTTGCTAATTACTGTTTGTATCGATGCAAGCCTAATTAGTTTTTTTTTTAATTTCTGAAATAATTTTTTCAGATAAGCACAAAATTTTTCGAAATAATTGTCCATGAATTTGATAGGAAACTATGGTATGCTAACAGTCAATAATGTACTCATTATAACTTAACAATAAATTATTATAATAATATATACATATTATATCTTAGGAGGTTGTGAAAAGATGCCAAAATATCGTCAAGTAAAAGGTAAATTTAAGTACCAAACTCCAAATAAACTGCATAGTAACTTTTCAAAACAGTCACTAGATACCTAATATGTATATTCCCTATTTACAATCATGCATTTTCTCAAACAAAACTTAGGGTACTTACCACTGTTATAGAAAATTTATATTAACAACTTTGTATCCATCCAATTTCACATGTAACAAAACTATTAAACGTTTTTGCACCAAGAGCTAAGATAAAATTAAAAGGCAAACATAATGTCAAAATAAATCTATTTTAATCCGAAAAAAAAGAAAATCAAGTTTCACTGTCCTATACCTACATATATTTAATTATGACTTATTTGATAAAAAAAAGACTTTGACAAATTCATGATCCTATTGTTTTAAACCGAAAAAAGGTTAATGAATTAACTATTTGCTAAAGGATTATAATATAAAAATATAAAAGTATAATATATATGTTAACTGAATGATTACTGAAAATATAACCAACCTTAAGAATTTTTTTGAATGAGAACCGCTCCACCGAAAATTATTGCAGAATCTTCTCCTCATTGACCGCGAAATTGTATTGATTTTGAATTCCCCACTTGAACAAGGTAGGCAGCCAGGTAAACATACTGAAAAAAACGCGGTTTTCACCTTTGAATCAATGAATTCCCACTATCTCAAAGCTTTGCCTGTTCATATTTTTTAAAGATGCTTTTAAGCAGCTTAATGAAATTCGAAAATATTTTGTGATGTATGTGAGACAGGAGACAGACAATCTTATCAAAGTTTTATTAAAAAAAGGACCATTAGGACACAATCAGGCCTATGATATATCATTTTCTGTTAATTTAACAGTAGCGTTAAGTTATCCGTCACTGGTTATTCTACACATAAAAATAGAGATAGGTATAGTTTTTGAACTATAACACAACTGTTAAAATAACAGGAGAGAATACATCATAGGCCTGATTATCTCAACAAAAAAAAAATTGAAATTTCATTGTTTTAGTACTAAGGTAGCTACCTTATATGATTTAGATTTTGGAAAACTTTGAAAGGTCATAACTTTTTTTCTATTACAGATAGAAATCTGAAATTTTCAGCGATTCTTATCCCAGTAGAGGACTAAAATTTCTGAAAATTTCAGCTCATTGGGACTTATAGTTCCAGAAATAAAATCGTGTCGAGCAATCTGGGGCGATTTATCAATTTTTCAATTTTTCTGAGTGCCTTTTTTCATAGAGTTTGGCTCCAAATCTCAGAATAATTTTGACAGGTGAATAATACTTTCTTTATCAACATTGTGTCTATTTTTTTTTTTTTTTCAAATTGGGTACAGTTTCAGGGTACTTACTTATGGTCCCTATGAGTTGAAAATATGAAAAAATTTGCTTCAAATTCAGTTTTTATTTTTTTTCTGATTATTTTCGATCGGCCTAGACCCTAGATCTATCTAGACTAGACAGATAGATAGTTTGTTTAAAAAATCTAAATTAAAGAATAAAAGCAGGTTTGGTATACACAAAAACCCATTTCAGAAACCCACTGATTTTTTGACACAAAATCCCACCAACAATAATAACAAAAACCCAGTTGGCTTTATAGTTGGGGAGCTGGCGTCAAAAACATGCAAGAGTTTTCGCAAGGCGGATATTTTCAAAATAGGTCGTACTTTACTGTTAGAATGCTAGTGTACAGTCAGCACTCACAGTTCCGGGACAGCTGGCTGTGGGACGCGGGCAAAGTTGTAATTTTAAGAAGCATCTAAACTGTTTTCTCAAAGCTCAAAATTTATAGAAATTTTGCACATTATCTGTTTGAAGGTCACAGATAACGTATGTAAATCGTCAGACGTCTAGTTCGTTGCAAAAAGGGGGTCAGACGTCCTCAAAGTTTTTATTTTATGGCATTTTCTTCAAATATATTTGTCAAATACCTGCAAAAATATATTTTGACAGGACACCGAAGAAAATGCCATAAAATAAAAACTTTGAGGCAGTCTGACCCCCTTTTTGCAACGAACTAGACGTCTGACGATTTACATACGTTATCTGTGACCTTCAAACAGATATTGTGCAAAATTTCTATAAATTTTGAGCTTTGAGAAAACAGTTTAGATGCTTCTTAAAATTACAACTCTGCCCGCGTCCCAGAGCCAGCTGTCCCGGAACTGTGAGTGCTGACTGTACACTAGCATTCTAGCACTAAAGTACGACCTATTTTGAAAATATCCGCCTTGCGAAAACTCTTGCATGTTTTTGGCGCCACCTCCTGGACTATTAGGCTTTTTGTGTCAAAAACCCACTGTGAAGCAAAAACTCTCTTAGTGTCATTTTTGAAAATTTTTAATGTTTGATAAATTCAATTTTGAAGCGTCTCAGGTGCAAAACTTTTCAAACCAAATTAAAATCTCAATTAATAGGTTTGTAGAGAATTTAATTGGCTTTAATTAGAGCTTAATTGCGTTGAAATCGGATAAAAATTAACGTAGGTGCGAGGCAGAAAACTTTCACTTGTCATTTGTGGAAAATTATCAGTGTTCGATAAATTCAATTTTGAAGCTTCTCAGATGCAAAATTGTTGAAATTAAATTAAAATCTTAATAAATAGGTTTATAGAGAATTTAGGTGGCTTCAATTAGACCTTAATTACATTTAAAACGGATACAAATTAACGGAGCTGTGAGGCAAAAAAACTGTATGTCTCAATGTAATTTTTGGAAATTTTTCAATATTCAATAAATTCAATTTTGAAGCTCCTCAGTTACAAAATTGTTGAGACAAATATACAATTTTGTCTAGTTAGAAGAAAACAAAAGCCCTCCAAAAACAGAAAAACTATCACGGTAACCCGCAAAAACCCAATAGTTTTCAAAAATCTAGGTTTTTGCTAACTTTGAATTAAAGGTGCAGTTTCCCAGGGAAAATCTTTCATTAGCATTGCTTTGATAATACATATAGGTGAGTTTTATACTGAAAATATTTCTCACAAAATTAATTTTCTCTCTTTAATGGATAGGTACAGGGTGTTTTTTTATACAGTGTCATTATTTAAGTGTGCAACATATGGGATTTTTTTTTAGTAATAGCACAATCAAAATACAAACAAGGCCAAAAGTTGGTGCATGTCTTTTAATCATATAAGATGCACTTAGAATGGTTGCAAGTCAAACAGCATACAGGGTGGCTCAAAAAATATCAAAATTCTACTAATATTTACTTAAATAAAATAAAACTTTTGCACTTTAAGGAGAGTTTTTTTAATATGGCTATTATCATTAGTAATGTTTTAACTTGTTAAAAAAAAATTGCGACATTTTAAAGTTGTGTAAAATCTTAGGAGGCTATGTTTTGGTATTTAGGCATAACTTTTAATTCCCAAATAACTTTTCTCTATAACATTTTGCTGAATTTTCTAAAATAAGGGTACTTTACAGTACAGCTTTGATATTGTTTGAGCTACCCTGTATGCTGTTTGACTTGCAACCATTCCAAGTGCACCTAATATGATTATCAGACATGCACCAACTTTTGGCCTTGTTTGTATTTGGGTTGTGCTATTACTAAAAAAAATCCCCATATGTTGCACACTTAAAAAATCACATTGTATATTGACACCCCACCTACAGCCTTTACCTTTACAAGTAAGAGAAAGGTGTAAATACAAAAGTTGTACAGTTTTGGCTGAATTTTTAGAAACAATGGTCAGAAACAAAATTTGAATGTCAGAAATGTGAAATTTTGCATGCTTCCAGCTTTTTTCAAATGGAATGCCCTATATTTCATTCTATATTCTCGAAGAGCACAATGCCTCGATTCCAAGAATATATAGTTTGTCTATATTTGATTGAACAGTCTCTCATATATTCGGTTCCAAAAATTGTAAAAATACTTAGCTTGTTCGAGTGGGTAGTGGCGATAAAAGCGGGAATTATTTGACAGCGCGAGCTCTATTAGATTGTGGGTCGCAATCGAGTTTTATCACTCAAGATTTATGCGATAAATTAAAGTTAAAGAAAACCGAAGTTAAATTGGCAGTGTCAGGAATAAGCGATAAACTATCATTCTCGAATTATAAATGCAATCTAAATTTACAGTCCATTAACAATCCATATTTGTTTCAATTATCTTGTTTCGTACTAGATAAAATCACAAGTGATATTCCAGATTCTAAAATTGATATTCTTTCATTAAACATTCCTGTTGATGTTAAATTAGCGGATCCTGATTTCTATATTCCAGAGAAGATTGACATTTTGATTGGTTCGGATTCTTTTTGGCATCTTTTAAGCGTGGGCCGAATTACTCTAGGCCACCATAATCCCATTTTACAGAACACACGTTTAGGTTGGATAGTTGCTGGTCCGATCTCAATACCTGTCAGTAAATCACATTGTGGCCTGAGTCATAATATTGCAATACAGGACCAGTTAGCTCAATTTTGGGAGGTTGAAGAGATCCAAAATAAAAAACCGTGGTCATTCGAGGAACAGTTATGCGAGGAGCATTTTGCTGCAAATGTTCAAAGGTCAAAGAGCGGTAGATTTATTGTAACACTTCCAATGAAGGATTCACCAAGTAAGCTTGGCGAGTCTCGCGAAGTCGCGATCAAACGGTTCCTATCATTAGAAAAAAGACTTTTGTCAAATCATAAAATGCGTGTATTATATTCAGATTTTCTAAATGAATACGAGAAATTGGGACACATGAGTGAAGTAATTGATTTCAATAACAATAAACCGGAGTATTACATGCCTCACCACGGGGTCCTAAAGGAATCAAGCGCGACGACTAAATTACGTGTTGTTTTCAACGCATCTTCTCCTACAACCTCGGGTGTATCATTAAATGATATTCAAATGGCCGGTCCCATCATTCAGCAAGACCTATTATCCATTATCTTACGTTTCCGTATGCGTGCCATAGTCCTGTCAAGTGACATAAGAATGATGTATCGGCAGGTTCTTATAAATCCAGAACAACGAAGCCTCCAAAGAATCGTTTGGCGTGCGAATCCTAACGGCTGCTTCCTTTCGAGCAATTCGGTGTCTAGAACAAATTGCATCTGAATGCGAAATCGAAAATCCTATAATTGCGAATATTATACGAACAGTCATGTATGTAGACGATTTATTGACGTGTGTAGATACGAAGAACGAGGCGGAATACGTGTGCAAAACAATTTCGGAAATTTTACTTAAATATGGTTTTGATCTAAGGAAATGGAATTCCAACGACAAAGATGTATTACTGAGTTTGAATATGGAAAGAAACGCGAACGTAATTGAATTTGCTGTCAATAAAGATAGTGAATATAAGACATTAGGATTAGTGTGGGAATCGAATCGTGACTTATTAACCTTTAAAATTCAGGGTAGTACGAACATCACATCTAAACCAATCACAAAACGAATTATGCTATCAAGAATTGCTTCTATTTTCGATCCTTTAGGCTTACTTAGTCCGTGCATTATTATCGCCAAGGTTTTGCTACAGAAATTGTGGACAGAAAAACTTACTTGGGACCAAGTGTTGCCTGATAGCATTCTAAATTCCTGGATCAATTTCTCATCAGAGTTAGACTCACTAAATGATGTACTTATATCGCGAAAGGTTGTTTGTGATGAACCAATTCAAATAATTTTACATGGCTTTTCGGACGCGTCAGAAAATAGTTACGGAGCTTGTATCTACGTTGTTTCGAAAAACGCACGCGGCGAAAAGGCGTCAAATCTTCTATGTGCTAAATCGAAAGTGGCTCCGATAAAAACGTTGACGATCCCTAGATTAGAACTTTGCGCCGCCTTAATCTTATCTCAACTAATGTCAAAGGTATTAGTAGTCGATAACCTACCCATTCAATGAGATTTTTTGCTGGTCGGATTCTATGATCGTTTTGGGGTGGTTGAAAACCACACCTAGTTTGCTTAAACCTTTTGTTGCGAACCGCGTATCGGAAATCCAAAGTATTACAAATTCTTTTCATTGGAGACATGTTGCCACCACTGATAATCCCGCTGACATTGTGTCGCGTGGATTAAATCCAAAACTCTTGATTAATTCTCAAATGTGGTTTCATGGACCCGATTGGTTACTTTTGGAACCCGATGAATGGCCAAGTAAACCAATACAGACTACCGAATTACTCGAAATGCGAAATGTAAGTCTAGTATCCTCACAGCCTCAATATAAAATCAGTTTTCCATTTAAGAATTTCTCACAGTTTAATAGATTAAAACGTGCTTCTGCGTATCTGCTTAGATTCATTACGAATTGTAGATCGAAATCGGAGTCTCGTAACATGTCGAGCTTTTTGACAGCAGATGAAATTAATGAAGGCTTTTCGCTTATAATCAAAATTGCGCAGATTGAATAATTTCCAGAAGACTATTACACACTATCAAAGACAAAATCATTATCCCCTTCCAGTAAAATTCTAAGTTTGCATCCCTTTATCGACGACAGGGGAATTTTACGCGTTGGAGGTAGACTTACAAACTCTGATTATCCATATGACAAAAAATTTCTTATTTTACTATCACCGAAACATTATTTAACGAAACTTTTATTCGAATTTGAACATAGGCGCTTGTTGCACGCGGGTCCTCAACTCCTTTTATCTACCACTCGTGAATCATTTTGGCCAATAGCCGGTCGTAATTTTGCTAGAAATGTGGTTAGGAATTGCGTAAGGTGTGCTAGGTACAACGCTAAAAAGATTCAGCCCATAATGGGTAATTTACCAGAAGCAAGAGTACGACCAACGACTCCGTTTACTGTTGTGGGAGTGGATTACGCGGGCCCCTTTATCTTGAAAAACAGACGCGGACGCGGTTGTCAGTCCATCAAATGTTGGATTGCCTTGTTTATCTGTTTCACGACGCGGGCAATACACTTAGAACTGGTGTTGTCATTAAGTTCTGATGATTTCATTCAAGCTTTTAAACGTTTCATTGGCCGCCGAGGAAAACCATTTGAAGTTTATTCAGATAACGGGACAAATTTTGTAAAGGCCAATAAGGATATGGTAGAAATGGGTCAATTTTTGCAAAATGAATCAAATTTTATATGTGAATCCACTGCCAATATGGGGATAATAGTAGATTATACCACGAGTCAATAATGATAGCTATTATTCCCGAGGATTATTACGAACTGAGCCGCGTTAGCGGCGAGGGAGTAACATTCCGAGGGAATAATAGCCATTATTGCGAGTAGTATACTCTACTTTATTTACGACAAATTAATTTATTTGAGATTTTCAATGAACAAATTTCATCAGTCTCATAATTTTCAATACAAATCCACAAGCACTACACGTTTGACACTGACACTTTTGTGGAATAATGACCATTAATCCCGCTACTCTTCATTAATCCCCGGAGGAATAACATATGTCATTATACTGCCAAAATCACAAATATATTACGCACATTATACATTAGTCGTAAATAAAATGGCATTTTATACCTGTCAATTCGCCTCGTTTCGGGGGCTTATGGGAAGCGGGGGTCAAAAGCCTTAAGCACCACTTAAAACGTATTCTAGGTAATAATGTATTGTTTTTCTTTGATTTTCAAACTTTGCTCATTCAGATTGAAGGCATACTCAATTCCCGTCCCTTATTTCCCTTGAGCCATTACGCTCAATGCCAGAAAATCGCTTATCCCAGTATCAGTTGCTTCAGAAGCTTTACGAACACTTTTGAAGCCGTTGGAGCAAAGAATTTATTAGCGAACTCCAATTACGACGACGTTGGAAAACGTCCCAACACGAACTAGAAGTTGGACAATTGGTCTTAATCAAGGATGATAATCTACCACCTACCAGATGGCGCTTGGGCCGAGTCCTGAAGTTAATTTACGGCAAGGACAATGTTTCGAGAGTAGCAGTATTGAAGACGTCCGACGGAACCACGACCAGAGCCTTGGTACGTTTATGCCCATTACTTGTTGCCAGTTACCTCTGCCAAGGCCGGGGGCATATTGCGCCCGTACTAAAACAATAACTCAGCCGCCCAGACTATCAACAGCTGATTCTAAAACACCAGCGCCGCCAACTACATGGACGACACGGCCAATCACGATCCGAGAATACAGCCAATCAAGACACCAAAAAAGAAGCGTAGAACACACACACACAGCGAGACGCATTACATTTTTTTTTACGTATTTTTCAATGTAAATCTTCAATAAAAAAGTACAACTTGACTCCAATCTCTTTCCTGGCTAAATCACATCAAAAAAGGTTATGACCTTTCCATATTTCAAGGTTTTCCAAAATCTAAATCATAAGACGATGAAATTTCAATTTTTTTTTTTTTTTGTTGAGATTTTGTGTCTTAATGGTTCTTTGGGATCCCCCAAACTCCATACACTAAATTATTCTGAGATTTGGAGCTGGAATCTATGAAAAAAGGCACTCAGAAAAATTGATAAATCACCCCGAATTGCTTAACACGATTCTATTTCTGGAACTATAAGTCCAAATGAGCTGAAATTTTCAGGGATTGTAGTCCTCTACTGGGATAGGAATCGCTGAAAATTTCAGCTCTTTATCTATAATAGAAAAAAAAGTTATGACTTTTCAAAGTTTGCAACAATCTGAATAATAAGGTGATCAAATGAGCCGAAATTTTCAGGATTTGTAGACCTCTACTGGGATAAGATTCACTGAAAATTTCAGTTTTCTATCTATGATACAATAGGAGTTTTGGTTTTTCAAAATTTCAGGGTTTGCACATACATTTTTCCAAAAATGCTGAAATTTCAATCTTTAACGGTATGAACAACAAAAGTAAGTAGTCAGTAGTAAGATGAAGAGCATGTCCAAGACTAAGAAGATGAGAAGAACGGGAACAAAGATCGCCAAGTTCTTGAAATGATTGCTGGATTATTCCAGAATTTGCCCGAATGCATTTTTAGTTGAAAAAGAGCACGAGTGCACGTAGTGCACGAGTGCCTTTTTCAGTTAAAAACGCATGAGTGCAAATTTGTCGAAAATTATAAATATATTTCCATTGCACGAGTTGTATTTAATGAGAGAATTTCATAAATCAAAAATTTAAATTTTTTGTAAAAAAATGTTAAAACACCAGTTTTCGCACCAGTTAGTATGCAATTATCTGATAATTTGCACTAGTGCAAATTATCGCGTAATTACAATCTGATTGGTTCAAATCAACAATCAAAACATGTCAATTTATTGTTGGAATACCAGTTTTGACAGATGTATGAAATTCTCAACAATAATCCACAGCATAGATCCACAGATTACTGGTCAAATCCCCAATACAATACGCAGGCAGTTGAATGTCGCCGGAGATTATCTTCCTAAGGTAATATTTAGAAAGAAAATGTGTTCTGCAGCTTCTCTGTACCTATTCCGAGAATACCCCTGTATATTTTGTCTTATTGATGGTCTGTCTACAATAATTGATCATATCCATCCTATACATATAAACTCAATCAATCAGTCTTATAATACAAGCAATAATCTTGCCAAACATTTAATAATAATATACCTACTTTAATACGATCAGATGGACTTCGAGGAAAAATTTATTCAAGCAGTGGTTGAGTTTAAATCTGTTTCTTTTTCAGTAGATATATTGGGTATAGCATTTTTCTTGGTAGTATAAATACGAATTGATTATTTATAGATACAGACTACAGTCCAAAGGGATTTATAATAATTAGTAAAAATCTGCTATAACAGAGTAATGATGGATTTTTAATCTATGGAAGGTAATAAAATGGTTATAGAATTTTAGGAAACACAGGTAGGCAAATTAACATAAATGTATCAAACATCTATTCATTTGACAAACGTTCTTGAAAGTGTAAGCAGTCATGTTGGCCAGTACCATAAATAAACAAAATAAAAATAGTGCGCGCATATAAAATTCTAAAGAAAAAAAATGAAGTGTTTATTCATTTTCTATGTGTTATTATCCCAAAATCTAGTCGACAGTATTCTAGATTTAGACTTGAACGATTACTATTCTTCCTATTTGGAAGACCCTGAAATGACTCAAAAACATTGTGTTTGTGTACCGTTTTGGCAGTGCAACGACGATTTGAGTGACTTGGACACCGATATTGAGATTATCGATGTGAGATTACACGAACCAAAAAGTCCTTCGGCTTGTACCGGATACTTCGACGTTTGTTGTAAAGTGGAATGTGGAAGACGCGAAAGTTCTATTGAAAGTGCAATCATGGAAAATCGAATATTGGGTAAAAATAACCGGGCGGATTTCGCTGAATTTCCTTGGATGTTGGGTATTTTAAAAGGCCAAGCTTACAAGTGTGGTGCTTCATTAATACATCCTAAAGTAGCCTTAACCGCTGCCCATTGCGTTCAAGCTAAAGCAAAATATACTATTAGAGCTGGTGAGTGGCACTGGGAACACTCCAACGAACCATTACCTCATCAAGATAGAGAGGTGGAAAGTATAATTACTCATCCAAGATTCCATCCAGGATCTTTAAGGAACGATATTGCCCTTCTTATTCTAAATGCACCCTTCAAGCTCACCAAAAACGTTGGAATTGTTTGTTTGCCTCCACGTAATCTTAGAGTGGACATTAAACGTTGTGTAGCTTCAGGATGGGGTAAAAATTCATTTAGAAAAGGCTCTTATCAAGCGGTATTGAAAAAAGTTACTTTGCCCATAATGCCAAGTAGTCAATGCGTCACAGTTCTAAGAGACGCCATGCTAGGGCGAACTTTTACCTTACACGGAAGCTTTATTTGTGCAGGAGGCGAACCTAATAAGGATACTTGCAAAGGCGACGGAGGCGGTCCTTTAATTTGCCCTATACTAGGACAAAATGGTAGATATGAACAGATTGGTATTGTTTCGTGGGGTCTTACCTGCGGTCTCTCCAATACACCAGGGGTTTATGTTAATGTGATGATATTCTCAGAATGGATTGATACTGAAATGATTCGGTTGGATTTGGATATTGACCTTTATAAATATAAGTATTGAAATGTAAAGTAAAAGTTATCTTGTAAATACTAGAATAGAATGTTTTGTAACTACTATGAGGCCTAGTATTTTTTTCCTATGTTTGGCATAATTTCATTACTTCATTGTTTCTTAATGAATCTGTTTATTTAAAATTTGTACTGATAAATTGATAAACTTTAAACTTTAAAGGGATTTTGAAAATTAATAATTTTTTCCTGGTGATATTGCGAGCTTTAATAAACCATAGAAAAATTTAATCTGAAGTTTTGTTTTTACCCAATTTTTTATTTATTTCATTATTCCGATTTTCAAGTAAATTCTAATTATGAGATTTTGTTCAAATTGCACCACTTGTTTCAGAGATAATTGACCGTCCCTTTATTTTTCGTACACTCCGTCTGTATATACAGGCTGTTTTTTTATATATTGACACTCCACCTACAGCCTTCCCGTTTACAAGTAGGTGAAAGGTGTAAATACAAAAGTTGTACAGTATTGGCTAAACTTTTAGAATCCATGGTCAGAAACAAAAATTAAATGTCAGAAATGTGAAATATTGCATGCTTTTAGTTTTTTCAAATGGTAGGCCCTATATTTGGTTCTATATTCTTGAAGAGCACAATTTCCCGATTCCAAAACTATATAGTTTGTCTATATTTGGTTGAGCCGTCTCCAACATATTTAGTTCTAAAAATTTTTAAAATACCATCAGAGAAACCAACTACCTCAAATTTTACCTGCAGCTTTCACCTATACAGGTAGAATGGTTCACAAAATCAGTACCTAGTAGGATAGTATTTTTACAATTTTTGGAGCCCAATATATGAGAGACTGTTCAATGAAATATAGACAAACTATATATTTTTGGAATCGGGGCATTGTGCTCTTCAAGAATATAGAATGAAATATAGGGCATCCCATTTGAGAAAAGCTGGAAGCATGCAAAATTTCACATTTCTGACATTCAAATTTTGTTTCTGACCATAGTTTCTAAAAATTCAGCCAAAACTGTACAACTTTTGTATTTACACCTTTCTTCTATCTGTAAAGGCGGGGTGTCAATATATAAAAAAACACCCTGTACATAATTTGTAAAGGTGATTGAGTAGACTTATTGGCCTGTAGTTCACTTTTTTGCAAGATTATAATTGAGTTGTTCCAGTTTTCCGGAATGTTATGACTCTGCAGACACAGATTTTTGAATTATTTTAATTAGTGTTGGCCCTCATATTTTTATAGCTTCTGCGATTACACCATCTTGACCATAAACAATGATAATCCTGGAGGCAATGCTAAGATTGATAACCTAATTGGAATACAGTTTGGATCACCACCTGCCAATTTTTTTTGTGTTGAAATCAATAAATCCTGAAACAGGATAATAAGATGAAGATCGCTAGTATGTTGTAGGAATGTGATATATCAAGCACCAAGGGATGAACGAGTAGCATTTCTGGAGCAATAAAAAATTTGAAATTTAGAGCCTATCATGATAATAGGAAATGAATGTCCAAGATGAGCAGAATAACAACATGATGTTTCCGAGTTGATATAATTTGGAACAGTTTGTTCTAATTGTCTAAAACCAAAACTACTATTTAATAAAATTTTATTTAAAAAATTAAATGAATTGGATTACAGTAAATGATGTTTAAAATATACAATCAGATCTTTTAAATATTTTAGGAGTATTTTCTTGTTCAATAACACTTAAAAATATTTATTTTAAATTTTACAATAGATTCTTTATGATTGTAGGCAAATCTAATATATCCTACGATATTTTTAAAAGTGCAAATTCTAAAAGGCAATTTTAAGGTACTTTAGGTAATACAGTATGGACAAAAATTGATATCATGCGCTATATATGGCTATTCTAATGGCAAAATGAAACAATAAGTACAGATAGAAACCCTATTGGCAATATTATCCAAACTAAAATACGTAAAAACAATATCACAAATTGCAAATAAACCATATCGATGAATGCATTAAAATTTTTATGGAAATTTTCATGACAATAATTTTTAGCACAATATATCCTGAACAATAAAATCCATAGTTCGTGATTCATTGTCACAATGAGTCACGGTCTACAATTATTATTCAGCGTTTAAAACAATTTGCTAATAATGCTGGCGACAATCAAGAAACCGATCGAAATTTGTATATTGCTGGCGCCATTACATTCGCTAGGTTTATCGGCGTGGATATATTGGCACAAGGCTTTTACAAAGTTGGTTTGTGCCATTTTGTTGTCTTCTTCTTTGAATTGTTGGTTGAATACAATGGTTGGGACGTTCTTTAGTGGATCTGCTACCGCCTTGGTAAGAGTTCCCAAATTGGCGAGGTAGTTGGAACCTGAAATTATAATTTTGTTAGGAATTTGATATTTATATATGAGTATAAAACTTACCGTCAGTATGTCCAGCACAGTTTTCAATGAGATTCAAATTGTTAACGTGGTTGATTTCGGCACAATCCTTAGTGGGGAAAGTGGTGTCATCGCCTTTTCTTTCAGTTTTGTCCATTAGACAGTTTATAAAACCAACGGCTACCCTGAAATTAGGGAAAAGAAATTATTACGGCTAGACTTTTTATTATGTTGACTGATAAGTTAGTTTTCTGGAAGTGTGACTAATAAAGTCAATTTTTTGGAGATTCTTATTCCAGTAGAGGACTAAAATTCCTGACAATTTCAGCTCATTGGGACTTATAGTTCCAGAAATAAAATTGTGTTAAGCAATTTGGGGTGATTTATCAGTTTTTCAATTTTTCTGAGTGCCTTTTTTTCATAGAATTCGGCCCCAAATCTCAGAATAATTTAGTGTATGAAGTTTGGAGGGTCCCAGAGGACCGTTAAGACACAAAATCTCAACAAAAAAAAATATTGAAATTTCATCGTTTTATGATTTAAATTTTGGAAAACTTTAAAAGGTCATAACTCTTTTTCTATTATAGATGAAAAGCTGAAATTTTCAGTAATCCTTATGCCAGTAGAGGACTACAATCCCTGGATATTTCAGCTCATTTGGATTTATAGTTCCAGAAATAAATTTCTATTATAGATAAAAAGCTGAAATTTTCAGTGATTTTTATCCCAATAGAGAACTACAATCCCTGGACATTTCAGCTCATTTGGACTTATAGTTCCAGAAATAAAATCGTGTTAAGCATTTTGGGATGATTTATCAATTTTTGAATTTTTCTGAGTGCCTTTTTTCATAGATTCCGGCTCCAAATCTCAGAATAATTTAGTTTATGGAGTTTGAGGGATCCCAAAGGACCATTATGATACAAAATCTCAACAGAAAAAATTTGAAATTTCATCGTTTTAGCTACCTAGTTTTTCTATAATAGATAAAAAGCTGAAATTTTCAGTGATTCTTATTCCCGTAGTGGACTACAATCTCTGAAAATTTCAGCTCATTTGAACTTATAGTTTCAAATATAAAATCGTGTCAAGCAATTTGGGGTGATTTATCAATTTTTGAATTTCCTGTACCAAACCCAGAGCGGAAACCAGCCTGTTCTCAGAAATGATAATTGATAAAATTCCAATCTAGCATCTAGTAGATTCACTATTATGCAAGTATGTACATACAAATAGGTGGATTATTTCGGAACTTATGGGTGGACCTCTGCGGGACGAGCGCAGCGAGTTCCGCAGCCATCTACTCATCAATATACTGTTGAACTGTTCACGTAAGACATTCACCAGAAACGTGTAGTTTTTAAACTAATAAGAATAACTCACATTTGAGTGAGTCAGGTTAGTATCGTAATTAAACAACATATTGATGAATAGATGGCTGCGGAACTCGCTGCGCTCGTCCCGCAGAGGTCCACCCATAAGTTCCGCAACAATTCACTCATTTGTACTTGAATAACTTGTCACAATATGTTACTACAGTAGACTCGCGCTAGTGTGAACACAAAAAAACCGGACGTGTTCATATTATCGAGATGTTCACACCATCGAAGGTCTACCTAAAAATGCAAAATTCAGTCAGCAATGGTCTCTAAACTTGAAATTCAAGAGAAATTAATACAATAGGTACTCCCAAACATATCCATTGAGTAAATTTTCCCAGTTTATTGATTAAAGGAGATGTATGAATGGTTCTAGCTGACCACTAGATGGCTACCTACTTTGTCTTGAAAGTTTCTTAGGCTTTCTGTGTTATCAACGCCAATATATGCTCTTGCTTTGCTGGCAATCTTCTATGATTTTTGATTTCTCATAAGGTCCGTTCTCACAAAAGTCCAGTTTATTCTCAACTAAGTTACCGAAGGATCTTGGAACGACTGCAAACTGTCAGAGACTGTTGTAAAAACAGACCCATGGAGAGTTCAAAAAATTGTGTTATGCCATTTTCACAAAACTTATTAACCACAACAAACAACCAACTAAAAACTATAGACTTTTAAATGTGCTCTTGACGCGTTGCCACTTGTTTATTACATGTGTATTCCACATTAGAGTGAATACGGTGACTTAATGTGTGAATTCCTTGTCTTGAAACATTCGGGGAACCCCAGAATTGGACGGAAATAGCCGATGAAAACAAAAAGTAAGCAGAAAATGATTGAATTTGTGGTCAAAAACATTGTTCATACTACCGAGATTCTCAAAAGTTCACACTACAGAATATATAATGTATTCATTCTGGCTGTTCATACTACTGGGAGGTTCACAGAACCGTGTGTTCACACTAGCGCGAGTCAACTGTAGTTTGTTAAAGTAACATGACTTATTCCTGTTAGAAGGCAAATTGACAAAAAGTGGATAATCTCACAAATTATGACTTTATATAATAAGTTATTGTTCAAGAACAAATAAGTGGATTGTTGCGGAACTTATGGGTGGACCTCTGCGGGACGAGCGCAGCGAGTTCCGCAGCCATCTACTCACCAATATACTGTTGAACTGTTCACGTAAGACATTCACCAGAAACGTGTAGTTTTTAAACTAATAAGAATAACTCACATTTGAGTGAGTCAGGTTAGTATCGTAATTAAACAACATATTGATGAATAGATGGCTGCGGAACTCGCTGCGCTCGTCCCGCAGAGGTCCACCCATAAGTTCCGTAACAATTCACTCATTTGTACTTGAATCACTTGTCACATTATGTTACCAGTTTGGTAAAGTAACATGACTAATTCCTGTTAGAAGGCAAATTGACAAAAAGTGGATAATCTTACAAATTATGACTTTATATAATAAGTTATTGTTCAAGTACAAATAAGTGGATTGTTGCGGAACTTATGGGTGGACCTCTGCGGGACGAGCGCAGCGAGTTCCGCAGCCATCTATTCATCAATATGTTGTTTAATTACTCGCTGCGCTCGTCCCGCAGCCATCTACTCATCAATATACTGTTGAACTACTCAAGTAAGACATTCACCAGAGTGATTTATCAATTTTTCTGAATGCCTTTTTTTCATAGAATTCGGCCCCAAATCTCAGAATAATTTAGAGTATGAAATTTGGAGGGTCCCAAAGAACCGTTGAGACACAAAATCTCAACAAAGAAAATTTGAAATTTCATCGTTTTAGTATACTAAGGTAGCTGCTTTTTTAACTTATTATTAAGAGTTTTGGAAACTTTGGAACATCATAATTTTTTTTCTATTATAGATAGAAAGCTGAAATTTCAAGCAATTCTTATCCACATAGAGGACTAGAATCCCTGATAATTTCAGCTCATTTGGACTCGTAGTTTCAGATATATAATCGCATTAAGCAATATGGGGTAAATTTTACAATTTTTCAATTTCCTGATGACCTTTTTTCAAGGGTTTCAGTTTAAATCTCAGAATAATTTAGAATATGAAGTATGGGGGGTCCCAAATCACTCCAATTATGTTATAGATAGAAATCTGGAATTTTTACTGAATCTCATCCTAGTAGAGAGGACTACAATCCCTCACAAGGATAAGTCTTATTATTTCGTTCCAGAGAATTCCATTTTTACCTGTTAAATCCAAGACCTTCAGTCTTTTTCCCCTGGTCAATGAGCTTCAAGGCACATGCTTGAATCTTGTTACCTTCGCATTCTTTGGCACCATGATGACAATCGAATTCATATTCATTTTGTTTGAATTCCATCTGAAATAACAAAGTAAATACATATTTCAAAAACTTCTAGAAAGATTTTACTATTTGAAAATTCTGGTTTAAAAAAAGTAGGTAGGTCACAATAGGAAATAAACGTCTCCCTTAAATTAATAATGATTAAAACTACCACAGTTGTGTGCCATTAGCAAAAGGATTTGCGTGAATATTTCCCATCATTTTTGCCTAGCACACAAAAGCCTAAATAATATAAAGGCTTGGCTATGGAGGCTAAAATTATTTTTTTTTTTATAAGGGTGTGTGTGATTTTAGGGATGGTTAAATTTCTGTTTGGACCAAAGGGTCTGTATACATGAAACAACAATAATAATCTCACATTCGATATCTCTATTATTTCTCCATCATAAATGATGAAGAAATTTCTTTTGTATCTTTTAGGATTTCAGGTTAAAATTTTGCAATTAGCAATTGATTAGCAGTAAGTTGTTTTGCAAAACTTGACCAGAGTGTTTGTAAAAGGTAAGCAAAAATTTGCAACACTCATTCGAATAGCACGTGAACATCTTGTGTAGGTATTGTATAAATAAATATTTCTAAGCCAGAGAAAATGTGCGATGTTTTTATTATCGTTATTTAGTGACTAATTATCACTGGAGCTTTAATTAGTAGACTGAGTTTCAATTTGACCCTGATCGATAAAATATTTTTAAAAGGCATCAAAACAAAAAAAAAAAAAACAAGAAAAGATTAGATAAGTACTTATATCCCCATGAAAAATTGTTTAAAAAAAGTGGCAGCAGTACAATTGTCTTTCTTGAAGATAATAGGGAAAGGGACAGATCAAATGGACACAGGGCATTTGATAAAGAAGATGAAGATATAGAGGAAGTTGATATTGGCCTAGAAGACTTAATGATAATAATAAGGCAAGCCTAAAAAGTGGAGAACCATTACCAAGCTAAAAAATGGTTCACTGCTTTCGAAGCTGATGGAAACCTGTACCAGTTTAATCGTATCCCTTTTGGTGTGACTAACGGCGTAGCTTGTTTTCAAAGAATCTTAGATACAATAATCAGGCAAGAGAATCTACGCATATCTCGATGATATTACAATTTGTGGAAAAAATCAAGCAGAACACGATAAGAATCTATCAACTTTTCTTACAGCTGTTAAAAAGTACAACCTAACTATAAATGAAAGTAAAAGTTCGTTTAACAAAGAGACAATTGAACTACTGGGATATCTTATAGGAAACAGAACACTTAAACCTGATCTTGTAAGACGAACCTCTACAGAATTTGCCAGTACCAACTGAAAAAGAGCTGTGGGTATGTTAGCTCATTACTCTAAATAGATACCTAGACTCCCCAAGAAAATTCATAGAATTGTTAGTACCAGAAACTTTCCTATGCAAGAGCCTGCTATCACCGATTTTCATAACTTGAAAACTGAAGTAGCAAAATCAGCTGTCACTTCCATTGAAGACAACATTCCATTTGTGGTGGAAACAGACGCTTCCGAACATTCAATAGCAGCAATTCTAAGCCAGTCTGGACGACTAGTTGCGTTTTCTCAAAAACTCGAACATATAGTGAACAAAGCCACTCATGCACTAGCATTTTAGAAGCTTTGAAGAAATGGCGTCACTTTCTTATTGGAAGGCATTTCAAGTTGATTATAGATCAAAGATTGGTCTCATTCATGTTCAACACGAAGCATAGCAGTAAAATAAAAAATTAAAAAATTCTACGCCGGAGACTCGAACTTTTATGCTTTTCATATGACATAGTCTACCGTTCATGAAATGAGCGTAGCCGATACTTTTTTTCGAGTATGTGGGGGCTTCAACTGAGAATAAATTGTTCGAGTTACATGATACACTTTGTCATCCTGGAATGACTAGAATGTTTCAGTGGATTCGATTTCGAAATTTACCTTATTCCATAGACGATGTACGAAAAATGACCGCAGCCTGGACTATTTGTAGAGAGCTCAAGCCGACGTTCAGTGAAAATCAAGGAATACTAAAAAAATCAATTAGACCATTTGAAAAGCTCAACATTGATTTTAAAGGTCCTCTTCCAACTTCCTCAACAAATCGTTACCTATAAACAATTGTAGATTAATTCTCAAGATTCCCTTTTGCTTACGCCTGCCCTAATATGACTCCAAAGACTGTGATTGAATGTTTCACAAATCTATTCTCAATATTTGGAATGCCCTCGTATATCTGATCGAGGAACCTCTTTCATGTCAAAAGAAGTGAAGGAATATCTTCATTCAAAAGGTATATCCACTACCAGAACGACTGCTTATAATCCTAAAGGCAATGGTCAAGTAGAAAGATTTAATGGTTCAATATCGCTCGCACTGAAGTCTTGTGGTCTGAAAACAGAACAATGGGAGAGGGTACTCGAAGATGCATTGCATTCTATCTGATCTCTCTTGTGTGTTGCAACAAATCAGACACCTCATGAACGCGTTTAAACCATTCTCGTAAATCTAGCAACGGACAAACTATTCCTTCCAGGCTTTCAAGTCCTGGCCCTGTTTGGATGAAAAAGAATGTTAGGAAAAGTAAATACGACCCGTTTGTGGAGGAGGTGTACTTCCTGGAAACAAATTAGATTATTCGTTTGTTCGTTTTTCCGATGGCAGAGAAGATACTGTCAATCTAAGACATCTAGCACCACATGGAAGTGCACCTGAATTTGATGTCGATGATGATAGTGAAAATCCCTTTCAATCTCGTAACGAACTAGAACAAAAAAGTAACTCCTATAAACAAGATGCACAAACACCTGATAATCAGAATGATTATCCGGAAGGAAATCCACACAATGATGATCCGGAAGAAAATCCACACTTGGACACATCCATGCGCTTAATTTTGTCGATTAAAGCCTTATTTTTGGGGTATTTGCATTAGTATACCATTACCAAGCTTAAAGTCAAGGTCTTCCAAGTTATTCTGTGGTCAATATTTCTATATAGATATTTACAAAATTTCTACAAAAAAAAATTCTGGCAATTTTACCACATTGGATGCAGCTTGAAAATATTTATGTAAGAAAATTTTCAAGGAACTTTTAGTAAGGTGAATCAAGAATTAAGTATAGGCGTCTACACCTTCATTAAAATTATAGTCGACATCCTTATTACAACATTTTGAGAATCTAACGACTCGCTAAGTTATATTAAATGGGCCAATATATAATTATTATGAAGTCGCCATGAGTCCCAAAACGTAAAAGGAAGCTTTGAATTATTTCGAAATTGGACAAACATTGGAAATGCTTCATGTTTAGAATAATTGACACGATATTGAAGGTCAGTCTTTTGCTAAAAACCTTAGAAAATTGATGAAAACTCACCAACAGCCTTCGTAATACAAGGTAAGTGTTGCAATATTGGATTTGTTTCAAAAATATTTGGGCATGTTTTGATAGATGTTGATATTAAAATCACGTCGTTTATTGAAAAGTATCTGATTATTGCGGAAATAATCCAAAAATCCACCACAAATCTATACTTAATTCTTCTTAAAATATGAAGTTAATGTTCAAATGAAATACAGAATAGTTAATATACAGGTTCTGAGAAATTATGCAAAATTAAAAGAAATTTTCATCGGGATCCTTTTTCAAAAAAAATAAATACTGTTTTTGGGAATTTTTCGTTTAGGTTTTTCCTCTTTTACGTTTTCCCATAAGAGACAGCATTTCACAATTTCGAGATTCCTGAAAACATAGACATCGAAAATTTGATGGTGGAGCTTCAAAATTTTAATCAAACAGATCTTAAGAAAGATCTGAGACATAATCAAAAGTTAAAGGAAACATTCATAGGAATCATTTGTCAAAAAATTACTGTTTTTAGGAATTTTTCCTTAAAAATTGGCGTTTTGTAAAACTTTCTGAGAAACAGCTGGGCATCCGAAACTTTCAAGAAATATACCTTGAAATGTGGTCTTTTTTAATGGTAAAAATCGCCAGTCAGTATCTGTCATACTTTCTTAATTATCAATTTTCCTGCAAACAGCATCTTATTTGATGGTGGAGAACCTGACCTACGACTTCGAAATTGGTAGTAATTTATACAGATTTTATGAGGGATCTGAGAAATGATGAAACATGGGAGGAAATTATCAGTCCTGTAGATTTTTGCCTAAAAATTACTGTTTTCAGGTATTTTTCTGAAATTGGGAACCCCATAAGTATCTTACATACTTTTCTCAAAAACTGCAAATTGGAATTAACTGCAATTTGATAATTTTATCCCCCAAATTAATCACATCTAATTGCAAGCATTTTCATAAGACAACCACCCTCAAAAATGTATGTTTCAACTTAATGTTAACATCTAGATTTTTTGAAAAATTCAATTCATTTATTAATAAAGTCACTCAGCTGAACTTTACGGATGTCAAGATCGAAAACAAAAATTTCTATTTTTACACTCAACATAAATAAATCCATACTCACTTTGGTCTTTCCATATGGCACCAAGGTCAAATTGACAAAATTTGATAGGTTGCCTTGCAAAGACGGATACAGCTGTTGTGTAAAGAATTTTCTGGAGTCTGGACAAAGGGATTCGTAGTACACGGCTACATTGACCTGGAAAAGAAAATAAAAATGTATTATCCACATTAAGAATAATTTTGGTAGATTCTTATCCCAATTATTTGCATAATATGTATATCAATTTGCACTATATACCTATGACTCAGTACTTAAAATTTGAATTAATATGGTGATATAGGTATGCTAAACATTAAATTTTGCAAGGTTGTTTTGCTGACCTCAAAATATTTGTAAAAGCAAATATTGCCCGATTAGCACTGATTTTAGTTATTACTACTGCTGGTATATTTTGTGCAATATTGCAAAAATATTCATGATATATTTTTGCTTTACTACGAGTACCTATCTATATAATATGTATACATGATTTTGAATAAATCGTACCTATACATTTCTTAATTTAATTTTTTTCAGTGTCAATATCTTGCATCATAGCCTAATGTGTAGATTTTCAGTCATTTTTAACAGAAAATTTAGTACCGAAGTGTTCCTCAGTTAAAACTAGTTTCACTAGTTAAAACAAATTTTCTCTTACCAAAGTAATATTTAGTAGTGTCCAACCCACTCTATTGTTATATAAAATGATTTTCGAAGCTGGAAAACAGGAAATTCGCATTTTATACCGGAACGTTAATTAGCCTATTTATTATGCCATCGATGCATATACATTTTACCTACTACGGCAAACATTAGAATGCACTTATTTTGTTGTTGATATTATGTATGTTATTAACATATTGTTCAAGCAACTGATGAATACCTACAGTTGATGAGCATGAGAAATAGAGTTTTGAAAACTGTATTGAACAAATAAAGCTAAAATATGTTGTTTGTCTATAACAAAACCATTAGCACCATAATCATTATTGGCAAGACACAAATAAAGTAGATCAGTCTAATAGTACGATGAACTTACGCGAGATTTAAGATAAAATTATAACGGCCGATTCACAATGACAATCATTTGCAGAATTATGAAGATTGACCTAGAAAAATTTTGGTATGTAATGAACTAGATAGCTTTTCGAATATTTCCCAAGTGGGCGTGCACACTATATCCATTAAGAAAATTAATCCTACAGCAAATAAACAACAATTAACCTTTAAATTGACCTTTAAAAATTCACTAATAAATGAAACTGGAATTTTGTATCAAAACTTATATTGATGAAATGCATTTTCCAATAAATGAAATTTTGAAAGGCATTCATTCGTTCATATCTATAATGAAACTGAAATTGTTTGATGGATTTTTTAGTTGCGTATCTTGAATTTAAAAGTAGCAGGTATTAAAAATTGCATTTTTCTTTTGTGCCGTGTTACGACAGTTGCTGGGTTTCTTTATAAATTTAATATACCTGGCGAGGGTTTGAGGTAGCAGGTGGAATCGGTTTTGTATGCATCGGGACAGGTGGAAGACAGCTTAAGGGTGAAAATAATATAGAGTTGGAAGTTAACTTTTAAAAATTTTATTCTGCTCTTTATACTTTTTTGATTTAATGCAGTATTAACTTTTTTCCACTTGAAAGAATATTAGCAGTAGAAAGTTCTGGTGTAAAATTAAGTAAAAATAATTAATTTATTCCTAGGAATTAGCGTTATGTTATATAAAGGCAACATAGAAAGCTTTCTTGATGTTGCGTATTTGCCAAAAAGGTTGTAGATTTTTTGGTATTGTATAATTTTTCCTTTAAGTAAGAAAAGAAGTACATTCCCAATTAGTAATAAAAATATTAACATAGGTATGTGGGACATATACACGTCATGTTCCTAGTAAACATTTTCAAACATCATTATAAGAAAATGCCAGCTAGCTTTCATTCAGGAAAAATATTTATGCAAATTAAGAAAAAATCAGTCAAAATAATTTTATGGAATTGGACCATCAGCAGATGTCTCTACATAGGAGGAATTATGCTGCGATAAATATTAGTTCATGTACCTGACAATGTTTTCTATGTTTTTCAAATATGTAGTATGAAGAAATTGCATTGTTATAAGAACTAAAACACAAATACCATGCCAAACTGTAAAATAATTCTTTGGTTCTCATTTTGACTATAATGAGTTGCAAGCTTGTTAACTAACTTAGGTGCAGTGTACTTGTCCCAGATTTTTTGAAACGAGAAATGGAAAAAAGAAACATTAAAGTCATTTCTAGCACTGAACATTAATTTTAACGATCTTAAAAAACGATCAGTTGAGAACCTGGTTTGAATTAATTATTAACTTATTCAACTGTTTAAAAAAAAAACCAGTCTGTTCCTAGAAAATTTCCGTAATCGTGCTAAAAACAATTATTAAACTTGAAAAATAACCTATGTTCAAATATTTTTAAATCTATTGTAACTATTCCAAGTGCATTTATTATTTTATAGTGTGTTCTTTAGTCTTGGCCTTTTGTATGTTAATTTTTATGGGATTTATTCGTTAATTTTTATTTTCAATGTGAGATCACTCGGAAATATTCACTTCATAAAGACAAAACTTATTTATGTGACCCCCAGTGTTGCTTTATGCGGGTTCATTTTACCTAGGAACAGGGTTTATTGGCGATAGTTGAGGGGAATTCTGGTTCATGAAGTGCCCTTTTTTAAATCAATTTCAGGAAAGTAACTGTAACTAAATGTTTCATCTACATATTTTCAATTTTATAGCTGTCCTTGCTTGAAGATAGAAAAGACTGTCTTTCTGCATAAATGAATGCATCATACTCATTTTCCGGAAAACTTAAGAAAGGCTGAAATCATCAGGTACATCAAAACATATTTTTGTCGTCTCAACCTTTGGAGCAAATCTATAAATATCTGATCCTATATCCGCTTTATTTCATCCGAGATTTCATCATCACTCCAAGCAGGGAGTTATTAAAGTGTTCTAGAAAAATCCCTTGAATGTTGAACTGGTTTCGCAATTGGTGGGGGATGATAATAAGGCAAGGAAATATCAGAAAATTTGACAAAACTAAAATTTTTACCCTTTTTATTGAAATTTTGGATAAATAACCACTGCCATCTATTAGCCTATTAGGTACCAAAGTTTATAAAAAGCTCATGTCTTTATATAAAATTATTTTTTCCCATTCTTTTTAGGATAAGATGGGTAAAACACCTACGCAGTAATAAATGAAATTACTTCAATTTTATTGTGAAACTGTTGCTTGGTCGAATCCAAGGACATTTTTAACAGTTTTTAAAAATCCTACAATACCAATACCAATAAACACTGACCATGAGAAGATTTGCAACCCATATCCTCCCTTATAAAAGTGAAACAACTTGTTTTTAGGGTGCGTTTCCGGTTTCAGAAGTAACACTCTCGGAATAAAAATTAGGTAGTATTTTTGTTATTTTTTCCAGAATCATCTAGAGCTATTCCATCAATCAAAAATTATTTATTGAAGTAAATATATATATATATAGGTAAATGTTTATATTATTTGTTATCAATATAATTGGGGGTATGATTATTTCTATGATTTGTCTACAAAAAAATCTGCTAAAAGATTGCTACAAAACTATATGAAATATGTATCTCTTTCGACAAATAGCCTCGAAGCAGGTACAAAAAGAGACCCTTCTTGCGGAGGATGGCACATCACAATTAAGGCCGTTTTGTTCTAAATTTAAACTGAAATCGATTTTCACATCCGGGTATCTAGGCCCTTTCTCTCACACTTTAACGATTTCAACAGAACTCTTTACATTAATGTAGAACTAGAATTTTTTACCTTTCTCTTTAGTCAAACAACTATTCAGTTGAATTTTGTTTTATATAGTTTTTCAAATAATTTACTTACCCTGTGATTTTCATGATTCATATTATTATGAGATGCGTGCTGCTGATTGTCCTGCTGCGCGACAGCAAAAGCAAAAGCCAGCGAAAAAACAAAAACAAATTTCAAGTTGGACATCTTGACTGCCTGTTTTTTCAAAAAAAAAATGCTGTGGGTGGTTTGTTTAGTGGCCGAGAAACTGAAGCGAACTGTGCAACACGAAACGACGAACTAACTAACGGTAAAAGCTCAACAGGCTGCCAAGAGCTTTTAGGTGCGCAAGTACGGGACCCAAAGGTAAAAAAAACAAGTGTGATGGTAGAGGAAGATACACGATGGGACCATCGTTAACTATTTAACTTGTTTGCCGTGAGAACTTTTATGAAAATGAGGTTTGAAGATTTTGATGTAATATAATGGATGATCTAGGGTTCATGGCCTACTGCCCTTAAAATTGAAATACTTGTTTATTTACTAATAAAACATAAAACTAGTAGCAAGTACCTAATATAAGTACTAGAATAAATATTTATATTATTATTTTTTAGCGCCAACAAACTTCAGCATATAAATAGTGTAGTTTAACATGTGGTGCACGCAAAAATGTATTCCAAACTTCTTTTATTTTGTCTGGTGATTCAGTGTGTCTGGGTATTCATAGTAGGTACTACTAAAAGTTTCAACATTTTTAAGTGTTTCCAAATTTGTATGAAAGTACTTTTCTTGAGGTAAAAATTATAGTGCTAATTTCTATTTGTGAGTAGTATTTCTTCTCTTGGGATGTTGGCTCAGTTGAATTACATTTTTTTTTTTTTTTAAATTCCTCATCCTGTGATGGGAGTGATTTTCCAGGCAATAGGTAAATAAGCTTACCCACATGCCTTTATTAAAAAATTGGATTTGATCAAAAATTTCCACAAATTGTTCAGTGCATCAAAGGTTATCTTACTACAGGCCTTAAAATTTTGATTTTTAACAGCATTTCATTGAATAGCTCAATATGGATAGCAGAAGCTATATCACGAGAGCCAAAAAGTAATCCAGATGGCTCAAATTTCGTTCAGAGGCAAGTAGAAAAGAAGATCAAGAAAATATCAGTGTATAACTACTATTTTCGCAAAAAAAGCTTGAATGTTGATCTGTGTCAAAGGTCAAGAAGAGGATCTGAACTTGCTGTAATTGGTTTTTACTCTTTAAATGTAGTGGAAGCATCAAAGAGTGGAAGACTTCAATAAAAACCTTGGAGAATAATTCAGGGTTTATATTTTAAATTAAACTACCAAAATATGTTGAAATTAGGTACCTACCGATAACAAATAACAACACTAAATTGTCAATATTTGAAGCACAACAACTAATGACAAATTATTGAGAAACTGATGCAATATAATAAGGAAAGGATGTGAGTAAGACGTCGCTAAGAGTGTCGTCAGCTGGACGTCCTAAACATGTCTTCAGTACGACGTTCTATTATGGACAAAAGTCGTATGGGACCAAAGTGGTCCAAAATTGGACGTCCTTTTGACAACACACTGGTCATTGTCATAAGCCGAGGTGTCTCCAAACAGTGAAAATTCAAAAGATACTTAAGTCTACTCAATTGTCCCTAAATTTCTGCTTTCCATTTCTCAAATTATTCTGTCTAAATGTTTGTCTATTCCTGGTTCTTGAATTGTTTTTTTCGGAATACCTCCAAACAGAGAAAATTCAAGAGCCTGGAATAAAAACAACATATAGGTACTTGAGTCTACTTATCTACTCCATTTTCCCTTAATGTCTGCCTTTCAATTCTCAAATTTTTGTCTATTCCCGTCTCTTCAAGAGCCTCTTAATGCATATAAGAGATTATTCACTTTCTAATAAACTGTCAGGCAAGCTGTCAGGTCAATCTGACGGATAAACACGTAATATGTAATCCCATTGGTCAACCAATTATCCAGTGAACAACAGGATTATAGATCTGTGAATTTATCTTTGCAGATAGTTGCCAGCAAGTTTAGCTCAAGATGAATAAACCGGACCTAAGATAGAGAACATTATTGGATGTTAGCGAGTACAATTTTAATACAAAAGTAGATCTGCGAAAATATCGTCTGATCCAAATCCGTTCAAACATTTACAATGCTGTAGGATGTTTTCCTGCAGTTCTTTTTTCCTATTCCAACAAACATCCCAAGCAGCAAAGTTTAATCGTTTTGACGTCGATTATAAATAGATTTACGTCGATTAACCAAAATTCGACGTCGGAAAAAGGTTGCAAAATGTAGCTTGTTTAGGACGTCACGTAGTGGACGTTTATTTGACCAACAGGTTCAAAAGTTACCATGTAAAACCCAGTATGACCCATTCAGAAAAAATACCCTGTATTAAGACGTCTATGAAGTGCCCATTTGACGTCGTTGAATTGGACGTATATTTAGGTCAGTGTGGATCGAATGAAAAGTTATATATCTACATAATAATACCAGTAGGTATAGTCCAACAAATACCATTTTAAAGTCACGTGATTTTTCTCTATCCTTGTTGAATACATCTCAAACAGCGGTGATAGTAAAATTGACAAAAAAATTGCTGTCTAATTATTGTTCATAATATTCTTACCTGAAATAGAATCCGTCACTGTCATCAATTAGTTTGTCAAAGTTATTTTCGAAAATAATACAACGAACAAACACAGCTAATAATTTTAACTATATTAATCTTTTTCCAACTCGAAAAGAAGCAAATAGAAAACGGGTACCCAGTTTAAGTTCAGAATGTATTACAACAGACAGCAGATGCAACAAAAGTGAGTCTCGCAACAATTGCAAGTATTAAAATTGCCCTCTGATTGGTCAATACTACTTCAGAAACGCGTTTGTAAAATGCTAGTGGGAACATATATTAAAATTCAATACTAATTAATCACCAGTAGCTTTTTGTAGGTGATATCAACGACATAATCAATGGACATACGTTTTTTGCCACCAGTATCACGTGACTTTAAAATGGTATTTGTCGGACTATACATATTCTGATACATAAATTTACAGTGGGTACCTACATAAAAAAAAAAGATGATTTTTTTGCCTAAGTAGTTTTGGCAATTTTTGCCACTCGAATAATGATCATTCTCAAAAGGTTTTTCATCACATTTTGGAAACAATCTGAAATTGGTATTTTGTGCATTTCAGCAAGTAAAGATGGAAGGATTTGTTAATCTCAATATTTATACCTAATAATTGATGAATCATCACTGAAGTAAGAAAAAAAGGGACCAGGGTAATGTAAACAAGCTATTGTACCTTTCTTTCCTTATCTATTTTTATATTCGTCATTCGGCAGTAGACTAATATGGAGGAATAAGCAATTTAAAAACTAAAAATTACCTACCTAAGCTATGATCCTAACTGCCCTTGAAATCAGAATTTTGGTAAGCTACTTCTAGTTTGAGCATGTTTGGTAGGTATTAGACTTTAGGATTTGACTGTAGATGTTTCCAATAACTTCCTCTTAACAATTGAAGTTCCGTTTCACTGATATCCAGGGCAACAAATCATGGTTTGATTATTTCTTTTTGGTAATTGGTGTCCCCCGGGGAAGCCGTCCGCCATAATAGGTTAGGATCCCATTTGTTGCACGATTATACTATTTAAGGTAAGTGTAGCAGTGGGGCACTACCGAATACCGGCGAGAAATGGTTGAATTATGATTTGCTGTTGGGTGTCAGCTGCATAACGTGGTTCCAAGTGAATAATTCAGACGAAAGGGGCTTTAATAGAATAGCTAAATGCTTTTCAACTTTGCCAGGCAAAATTGTTTTTGTGTTTTCCAGATGAAGAGTCAAGTGATCATGTTCTATATTGTAGCTGAAATGAAATGGTCACGCCTCTAAAGAGGAATAAAAAACCTTTCTAAGGTGGGCCTTACTTTGGTCCCTCCAATTCCTCGATACATATTTGAGATCTTCCTGATAGTATTTTTTGTCTAAGAGATATTCCCGATTGCTACTTTTCAAATTGTTACACTGTATACCTATAAGTAACAGCACTAATGACAGGTTTTTGTTCTGTTTTTTTTTTTTTCAAACTAAACATCCAGAAAATCCCTTGAGAAAAACGAAAAACTCTAAAGAAGTTGACCAAGAATAAACATAAATACCATTAAAGAGCTTATAATGTTTGACTGGAATACAAGAATAATGAAAATTCGGTAACATAGAATGAAAAATGAGGAGATTCAAGAGCCTCTATTACTTATAAAAAAACAAGAAATTTCAAGAACCTAGCGTAAAAAAAAAAAATAAGAGAAGTTCGAGAGTCGGGAATACAACAACAGAGAAAAGTCCAGAGCCTGGAATGAAGAAATAAGGCGAATTGATAAACTCAAACTTATAAAAATTTTACCTACGAGCGTGCGGTATAGGTACTTTACCGTTACCGCACTTCTTTGCAAGTGAAAAATAGCACTTTACCGCATTGTGTGAGGTAAAGTAGTTCGATAGGTATCAAAAATCCCGTCTCTTTCAGAAATTTCAATAACCTTCTATTGGAGATGTAGATGCTCATACGTAAAATTTGTACGAAAAGTGACTTAACCGCCCTTAACGACCCGCTTGCGTGCGATAAAGTATCACTTTCCGCATTTGTTAGATAAATAACTTTGACAATCTCAAACTTCAAGGGAAAAAATACCACATTATTATGCATTTAGGTAAAAAGGTTAAAAATTTTCGAACGACAGTTAATGCTGACCTCAGCTTCGCTTCACAGTTTAAGTGTATGGCCACACAGAACGCGTTCTAAGCGGCATAAGCGCGCTATTGGCAACTAAAGTGTTTGGAACGTCTTTTGCAACTAGAATTAAAATAATGTAATATATAGCGAGTGGCCCGACAAGACACGCTTTTTGCATTTTGCGCTTCTTAAGCGATAGACGAAAAAGAATTTATATCGCAAATGAAAACAAATCAATTTGTTTTTTGACCGCGTTTAGCGTGCGTTCTTTGACGATTTATGCCTAGTTTTCTTCCATTTAGGGATTCAAAATGTCTTTTCAATATTAAGTTAAAGGTTTCAATAGTCATTGTATAGTATTCAAAAAATTTATCAGGATGTTGCCACAAGTTGTGGCCCACAACTGGAGAAAAAAGTATGCAATTCACCCTCTGTGGTTCTCTCTTGGTTCATAGGCCCAGCCAGAGAATCTCATCACCATAATCTAATTCAAGATGATTTATGTTCTCGTCGACATATTTAAAGAAACTGCATAATGCAAATACGCAACACGCAGCTTCTTTTCTTCTTTGGACATAATTCGCAAGACAATCTTCGATAGCATAAAAAGCATATGAAGTAGACGCCAAAACGCATTTTAATGCCGCTTCAATCGCATTCTGTGTGGCCGTACACTAGGGTGGGCATTATAAAACTATTTTTTCAGAATATCTAGAAGTTCTGGAATGACATTGCTTCTTATAGTAATTCCAGAAGTTAACTTTTAGCTATCTGTCAAAATAGTCTTAAAATAGCCGCCCTAAGTTACTGACCTCAGCTGCGCCTCACCTAGCCCAAACACACCCTGGAATACCAATGGGCTCCATGATTCCGAGCCCAAAAGTTAAAATAGATGCTTTACATCGATACAACTGGAGAATCATAAACTAACAGGATTACTCATTCTCATAAGGCGTACGTTCGCCTAATTCCCGATTCGGCAGGGCCTGCGAGTGACGTCACCACTGTTAGCAGCTGATAGTGGTGACGTCACCCGCAGGCCTCGATGTGATGAGGTGATTTTTAGCCTGGGAATGATTATTTATCGGTAAATACCGTGGTTATTCCTTGACAACTTTGACAACCAAGTGTGACATCATAGCCCTTACTACTCAAGAATCATAACCCATGGAACTGACTGCTGAAATAATTTGGTTATAGCAGTGTAGGGCTATATTTATTATTCTTATTTGTGTTTTCGTTTCAACAATGGTTTTTTGTTTATCGAACAGATTTTCTTTGGGGATGATCTCTGAACCTCGATCTAAACATACGTCACAACTTCCCCTACTTTGGTAAAAACCGCGATAGCGGAAATGCGTTGGTTAAAACCAAACAATAATCATTCCCAGACTAAAAATCGGCTATGCTTGCGGTTCAGGTTGTGCTTGTTTCTTGCCTCGATTTTAAATGTAGAAAAGGTGATTTGCGTTGGAAAATGCGTACCAGTTTTATGATTGGCCAAGTGTACCAGACGATAGACAGACGCTGCTGCCTCTAGCGATAAAAAAGCGAACAAATTACCCCACCTATAAAAATCTTTATGGTCCTAGGACAGATAACTTCTCGGTCTCAAGTGTATTATTGTACTGGCTCTAGAGGATCCTTACAAACTCGTGTCGAAAAGTGTACGCTATGCCCAAGGATGCCACTGGATTTCATAGATGAATACCGTGCTGCAGTCAAATGAAATATAAAATTACACTGAGTACACTTCCATGCAAAAACTGAAAAAAATTAGAGAGACTGTGCTTGTTTTGAATAAAAAAGCAAAAGTTGCTGTACTTTTATATTAGGGCCGGTTTCTCAATAGCGAGAACCCTCCGGGTTAGTTTTAACTCCAGAGTACACGTGTCCAGTTGCTTCGGACTGACTAGAATCTGTTCTGGATGGATTCTGAACGAGTCCTACCGGTTCTAAGGTTTCAATTAAGTTAGAATGGACCCCGAGCAGAGCAAAAACTTTTGTTCGGGATATTGCTCGCTGAATGCTGGTCAGCGTTCTACTAACTAGCTTTTTGGAACCGTTGGCAGAGTGCATTTCATGGAAACCTAACCGAAGATTTCGGGCGAAGAAGAATGTCAAAACAAAACACTGCTCGGAGCAATAGCTCGGAGCCAGTTCAAATAATTGACAACCCAACAACTGCCAAATTATTTAAAAACCTTTCCTATGGTTTTTAAACCATAAACAAATAAACAAATAAATCAAAATCGCCTCTAGCTAGAATATAATAATTATAATTAGAAAATAGAAATTTAAAGGTTTTAAAAATGGGTCCAGTGGTGTGTAACCTATAACAGTGCAAGTTGTTTTATTTAAAAAGAATACTGGTGAACATCATGGACAAATCAACTATATTCGAAGGTTTAAAAAAGTATTTTAAATTCGACGAATTCAAATCGAAATTGCAAGAAGCTGCTGTAATAGAAGTTTGCCAGAGTAATTATACAAAACAATTTTCACATAAAACTAATTTTAATTGTATTTTCTTAGGAAAGCATGATGTATATGTATCAATGCCCACAGGTTCAGGGAAATCTTTATGTTACCAATTACCAGCTGTATTACATGATAGCAAGATTACAATAGTGTTTTCTCCATTGCTAGCTCTTATAAAAGTAAGTACAGGAGTTCTCAACAGAACAAGTACAGTAATCATTGTTCTACTCTGTAAAATGTCAGAAGAGATCTATGAATATCTAGTATCTATGCTTAACAAAACAAATAAATTAATTCCAATAAATTCCAGGATCAAGTTGACTCATTACTTGCCCTTCAAATCAGAGCAGCTTCATTAAATTCTAAAATAACAAAAACCGAAAGAGAAAAACTTCTAGCTGATTTAAAATCTACATCTCCAGTGACAAGGTTGTTGTATGTAACTCCTGAACAAGCTGCAACAAAAACTTTCAAGGTAATTTAAATTTTCATACAAATTTCACATGTTTAAATCATCTTTCAGGAACTATTTGCCAATTTGTATAAATTTAATAAAGTTGCATACATAGTTGTGGATGAGGCCCATTGTGTCAGCGAATGGGGTCATGATTTTAGGCCGGATTATCTAAAATTAGGAAATCTTAGAGAAAATTGTAATGTGCCTTGTATTGCTTTGACTGCAACAGCAGGAGCACAAGTGAGTAGTTTACTTTTGGTAAGATCTATTCATCAAAAAACATTTTAATTCCAGGTTACTAAAGATATAATCAGTAGTCTAAGACTGGCAAAAGACCACAAAATATTTAAAACTTCTTGTTTTCGCAGTAATCTTTTCTATGATGTATATTTCCCTAATATCCTTGAAGATCCCTATAAGCATTTGAAAAGTTTTATTGAAGATTGTCTAAAATTTGAAAAGGAAAAAGACTTGGCAAACAATCAAAAATCTTGCGGAATTATCTATTGTCGTACAAGAGAACAAACTGAACTTCTAGCTTCAAAATTAAATTCGATGAAAATTAAATCTTTATGTTACCACGCGGGCTTGAAAAATCACGAACGATTAGATTTTCAAGAAATGTGGCAGAGAGGTGAAGTACCAGTGATTTGTGCTACAATAAGTTTTGGTATGGGTGTTGATAAAGCCTCTGTACGTTTTGTAATCCATTGGGGAGTACCTAAAGATCCAGCCTCGTTTTATCAGGAAACTGGCAGAGCTGGTAGAGATGGAAAGCCTTCTTGGTGTCGAGTGTATTATAATAGAGCAGATTGTAAAGCTGTTGAGTTTCATTTGACACAAGATTTAGGAAAAGCTAAGAGCGGAGGCAAGGAAGCAAAAAAGTTAAATGTTGAAAATGCTGTAAAAGGATTTAAAAAAGTGGTGGAGTATTGTGAGAGCCCTTCGTAAGTTGGTTGAATTTAGTTTGTAAAAATAATAATTTATTTATCATTTCAGCCAATGCAGGCATATATTGTTTTCTAATCATTTTGGTGAACCACCACCTGTGTGTAAAAAAAATTGTGATTGGTGCAAAGACAAAAAAGCCGTAAGAGAAATGGTTGAATTTTTTCTTACTAAAAGTGTCCAATATTCTACTCATGTTAGTTCCTATAATGACATGGACTATGAGGATTTATATGGCAAAGGACGAAAAGGGATTAATGAGTAAGAAAACTTATGAGGAGTTTGATATAATATGTTAATATAATTGTTATTCACTTTCCTAAGTGAGACTAATGAAAGAAAAACTGGTGGATATAGTAGTGATGAAGATGGTGCCCATGCAGCATTTGAAAGAGAACAAAAAGCTAAAAAAGAAGCTACTACATTTATACAAAAGCAACTTGCTCTAAGAAGAAAGAATGGCCAGGTAAAATTATTATTTTTTTATAAATAATTTGCGCTATTTTGCCTGTTTTAGGAAGCATCTCAAGAAACTGTTGAAAAATTATTTTCCAAACACGCAAGAGTCCAAGCAGCTTCGTCTACGTCCAGTAAAGTTAAAGGTCTAACTTTGGCTACAAGAGAACAATATTTATCAAAAATATTAGATACTCTTTATGCTAATTATACTGAATGCGAGCCTGATCAATCACTAGACAAAAAAGATATTGAAGATTGTAGTATTGATTTAGAATATGAAATTTTTGGGTCTACAACTACTATGACCATGTATAGGAATGGTTTTGCTAAATTGGTAAGTATACAGCATTGTACACATGGTAGAGTGTATACATCACTCTGTCTTGCTCCACTCTTGTGGCATCAGAGTTATACTGCGCATCACATTCTCTCTTCTCTTCCATTGCCTAGTATTCACTGAATACGTGGCTCTCTCTCTTGCTTGCAGGAGGCGTTTTTTAAAACACTCTCCATTCTCGTCCAAATATCAGACCCCTGCCTAAAAAGTTTCACTTCAAAAAAAAAAAGAAGTTTTCTCACAATCATTTTTTTGAAACTGGTTCAAAGCAGGTTTAAAACAGTATATTCTCGTGATGAACCCATGACGTCACATCAAAATTGGTTGAAACCGTTCCAAAATATAATTTATTCCACGTTTTAAAACCATTTTCTCGCACCGATAAGTTATGACGTCATTGTGAAACTCTTTTAAACCAGTTTAAAAAAATATTTCAAAACTTTTAGACGCGAGAAAACGCCTCATGAGAGCGTGAAATTATGTTATGCTCATCAAAATAAAGGTTTTCACAAAAATTCGTCCAGAGTTTTTCCAAGTCCAAGGCTAATTTTACTGGGGTATTGGATTGGCAAGAACAGTCCACCAAATAGAATTCCTCATCGTAGCCTACGTACGCCAGTTATCGAGTCGGCAGCGTCTGCAGATAACGTCACCATGTGGGTGGCGTCACCACTGGGATCACTAAATTCCGCAATTTCATGGCGTTTCGTTTGTTCTTGGTTCTACTAGAACCTGTCCGGATCGATTCTGAACTAGTCCTACTGGTTCTAAGGTTTCAACAAGAACCACAAGTTTAGGATAGGTGCAGGAAATAAAATGAAGTCTGAACTGGTTTGAGATTAGGCCTGCGCTCCCTGAATTAGTTCTCAACTAGTTCGGAATTTGATTCGCAAACATGGTTCTTTTCCGGCAGATAGTCGGAACGAATTCGTAACTACTCTCATGCTTTGTTTTGTCAGATTAGGATTACTAATTTCGACTATTCCATATTTTAGTTACAGTTCTTTGTTCGCTGTTCAGCTAGAATCTGTTCCGAAACCATTCTGAACGAGTCTTACCAGGGACCTGATAGAAATTCAGAACTGATTCGTAATTAATACTTTCATATGCAGTCTAAATTTTGTTGGATTACTAAATTTCGCATTTTTAGTTACAGTCCTTTTTTCTCAGTTCAGCTAAAAGCGGTTCCGGATCGATTCTGAATGAGTTCTACCGGTTCTAAGTATTTAACACGAACCACAAGTTTGAGACATCACAGTTTTATCGTAAAATAAAATCCTGAACTGGTTCATAATTAGGCTTGCGCTCCCTGAATAAGTTCTGAACTGGTTCAAAATTTGATCCGCGAACAGAGGTATCTTCGTTTCTGGTAGAAAGTTGGAACCAATTTGTAACTACTCTCATGTGCGGTTCCAATTTTATCAGATCACTTGAATTCGGCTTTTTAGTTACAGCTCTTTTCTCGCGATTCAATTAGAATCTGTTAAGGAACGATTTTGAACTAGTCCTACCGGTTCTAAGTATGTATTAACCAAAACTCGTAAGTTCGAACCAGTCAATCTCATAAGACAGACGTTCGCCAAAATATCGAACGCACGTGACGTCAGTCGCAGTCCTCAACCGGATTGTTTCTATTATGACTTTGCAAAAATCGTTGTGTCACTGCGTTCAGTGTTATTTGATATTCATAATCATAATTCATAAAAACACTGCAAGTTTCCCACCTTTTCCATGCATTTAGATGAGGCAATTTTTCGCGAGGATAATTAAACATAATCCGATTATGCCAGGTTATGTGATGTGTCAATTGTGTCATACCATACTCCCTCCCCATCAAATTTTGGGTTTGCGAGTGACGTCACTATTAGCAGCTTATAGTGATGACGTCACCCGCAGACCTCGATGGAATGCTCGAGATTCAGGCTGTGCTGGTGAGCTAGTTTTTTCGTCGATTTTAAATGTAGAACAGGTGATTTTCAGTCTGTTCTCACAGAAAAAAAAAATAGTGTTCTTGATCCTCGAGTATCGCAGAATTTGATGGTGGGGGAATTAGGGGAGTATGACACAATTGACACATCACATAATCCAGCATAATCGATTAGGCTTGATTATCCTCGCGAAAAATTGCCTATAGTAACCGCGTCAATAAAGGACTGCAGCTGACGTCACATCCAGCGAGAGTTTTCGCATTGCACTGGCGGGCAGACTTATGCCCGTATTACATCTGTGTATTTTTCCGTGTATTTATTCATGTAGTTCCGGGTGCCAACATTATTTTGTTTTTCATAATGCTGATTTATGTTGCGTTTGAAGTTTTTCAGTTGTCACCCTGAACTATATGAATAATGGCCGTTTCCACCCACTATTTTAGGGGAGCCTTAACGATAAGAATTTCCTAAACTGACAGTTTTCCATGGAGAAATGTCAGTTTAGGGAATACTTAGCGTTAAGGCTTCCCTAAAATAGTTGGTGCAAACGGCCGTAAATACACGGAAAAATACACATATTCTTGCCAAGAACCACGAGTCACGAGTTTGAGAAACGCGCATTTAGTTTTATGGTGAAAACTGAAATCCTGAACATAATTAGGTACTAGCTGACGTCACACACATAACCTCACTTCCGATGAGAGGACAAACAATCTGTTGGACTATTTAAAATACGCAAATAGATTATCGTTTGTTTGTCCTTCTGACAAGTTTTTCCCCCTATCGAAAGTCTCACTGTGTGTAAATAGTCCCTAAACGCTTTCAACTGTCAATGTTTCCAAAACAGTTAAACTTAGGTAAAGGGTATATCACATGAAATCTGCCCAGAATTTTATGTTGTCGAAATACAATCCGAATATTCAATAATATACGGAGTATTCCATTTAAAATGGTAGAATTGGACATTGGACCACGACATTATTAAAGGGGGTGTGCGCCAAAAAAACAACTTCATCTCAAAAAAAAGAGAAAAAAAAATCTAAGAATAACATTGAAAACCGCACCCCTCTATGACAAATAATATCAAAGATATGGCTCTATGAAGGTACCGCATCTCACCCTATGACGTCACGAAAGCTCAAGCGACGCACGAGAAAGTGAAGTAGATTGAATTTACATATGTTTTTCCTGTGTCACCTGCAATAATTTAAACAAAAACCACTCACGCGTACCAGAAACAATCAAATTAACAATGCCGAGCGCAGCTGGACAATGCTCTCGTGACGTCACACACACTTTGAAGCGGTATATCTCAATGAATCATCGTAGAATAACGAGGTTTCAACAGTTATTCTTAGATTTTTTTACACAAAAACTTTAATTTTTGGCGCACACCCCCTTTAAGTTGTCTGGTAATGGGTAACTTGATATGACGCATCTTGGGTGCCTTAAGGCCGAAACCCACTAGCAACACGCCACGCCATACTACGCCATGTGACACAGGTTCACGTGGGACAGTTTGTGTGTAAATGGACGGATGGCGTGGCGTGCCATGACGTGGTATCGCGTGTGGCAAGTGTGTACGCGGCACATATAAATAAATGAAAGAATATACGCATACATTTTCGTCACATGGCGTGGCGTGGCGAAGCATGACGTGGCGTGTTGCTAGTGAGTTTCGGCCTTTATGGAGATTTGCATTATGTTGACGCACTCCAGATGACATCATAAAGTTATCAGGCAACTTATCTCTTCCCCATCTCAAAAAACCTTAGCCGTTTTCTCGCGACCACTTTTTTGACATTGGTTCGAAACATTCTTTGAAACAGCAATGGTGTTACCATTGCCCGTTTCAAACCTGTTTTGAAAAAAGTGGACGCGAGAAAACGGCTCTTGTGTTTGTTTGTCCCGCCATCGAAAGTGTGTGATGTGACGTCAGCTGCCAAATTAGGCTTGTGCTCTCAAAACAAGTTCTGATCTATTAGTTTCCTTTCTGAAAAATTAAGAAGATTCGTACCTATTCGCATGTGCGGTGTAAATTATGTCGGATCGGTTAATTACGTTTTTGTAGTTACAGTTCAACTAGAATCAGTTCCAGATCGACTCTGAACTAGTCCTTCCGATTCTCGAGGATATTACAGGATAGCCTATCCTCATAAGGCCTGTGTGGAAAAAAATCTGAAGCGCCCCAACACGTCAAATCACCAGTTGTGACGTAGGCAGCTTGTTCTTTCTCGCCTTGACTTAAGCTGTTTGCACTACAGGTTATGATTCCGCGAGCTTTTTCTTTATAAATACTTGGTTTTACTACATTAATTAACATTCTAAAACGATTCTTTTTTAGATCTCGTCTTCATCTTCCTCTTTGCTTATTATGTTAAACAAAATTAAATTAATATTTTTCATCATAAATTTAAATTCCAAACCACGACCGCCAGTGCAAACAGCTGACGACTTAGTTATGACGTCGGAAATGGTGACCCACCAATATGGCGGCGATTACTAAAAACAAAACCGATAAGTAATTCTTAGTAGTGTGTATTATCCTTGACCTATTCTAGCGATTTAACTAGGACTGCAAGCTCGTAGTTTTATGGTTGCACACAATCTTGAACTGGTTCACAATTAGCCTGATCTGCGAACAAAGCTATTACTTTCATTCCCGGTAGAAATCTATTAGGGACATAAAGCTACTTGAAATAATTCGCCGGTATCGGTATCGGTATCCGTAACGCAACTAGATACGTTGACAAGCGAAAAGGCTGTTAAAGCGCTCCCTGTTCCGGTAAACGTAAACGCATCTCATAACCTAGTAACTTTCGTGTCAAAACTCCGGCGTTTTTATATAAAATTGTTATTTTTTTTGCGATAGAGAAGCACTAAACACACAAGAAACTCAAGAAAGTATAAACTAAATAAATTAAGTCAACCAGGAAGAAAAGTGAGGTTATATTCATTTAAAATTTGACACATGCGTCAGGAATGTCAATATACGTTACCGATACGGATACAGCGAGAGGGCCGTAACGTTACGTTGTACGTACGGTATCTCGGCGTCCGTATCGCTTCTGCACATGCGCAGTACGATACCGATACGGATACCGAGCAAAAAATACGGAAGCTTTATGTCCCTATTATTCATTCGCATTTGTGCTTAGAGGCATTTTTTCGCGAGGATTGCTGGATTATGTGATGTGTCAATAGTGTCATACTTCCCTTATTCCCCCCATTAAATTCTGTGATACTCGAGGATCAAGAACACTTATAGCGATTTCCATTTGTCGAACCAGTGCAAAAAAAATATATCCATATCCTTATATGTTACATGCTTTTAGAAAAAGATGGGGATACACTCAGTGTGCACTGATTGACAAAAGGAAATCGGCATTAATTTCTTCTGTGCGAACAGACCGAAAATCACCTTCTCTACATTTGAAATCCACGAAAAAATTAACTTACCAGGACAGCGTGAATCGCAAGCATTCTATCGAGGTCTGCGGGTGGCGTCATCAAAATAAGCTGCTGATAGTGACGTCATTGGCAGGCCCAGAATTTCATGGTGAGGGAGTTAAAGGAGTATGACGAAATTCTGAAGTAGTTCGCAATTAGGCCTGCGCTCTCCGAACTAGTTCCGATCGGAATCAGTTCGGAATGTGATCCGCGAACAAATCTGTTAGCTTCGATCCGGTAGAAATTTAGAACTGATTCGTAACTATTCGCTATCAGCATGTGCGTGCGGTTTAAACTTTGTTATTTGGTTCAACTAGAATTTGTTCCGGATCGGTTCTGAACTAGTCCTACCGTAACCATAACCATAAGTTCGAGTTCGGGCAATCCTGAATTAGTTCAGGATCGTTTCGGAATGTGTTCCGTTACCAGCTATTTTTCGGTTGTCTACCATCGCCAATAGCAATTGTCAAACGAAACTTCAACTTCAAATTATGTTTTTGTGTAGAGGGGTCAAAAAGTGTAAACTTTCCATTCTATAAAATTTAATTACTTCATTGAAGAAAATTTCTAATGTTTTTCGATGTAAAAACAAAGATATTCACTACTTGAAGTTCCAATTCCCCCAAAGACTATTGAATTGCCGCTGCCGAACCAAGATTCTCGTGCCACGCCAGAAATGTAACCTAGTTATTTTTAGATCATCTTGACTGATTTCCGATTTGTTTCCTTGCAGATTTCCAATATTAAAAAGTGCTCCACAAATAGGACAGTTTATGATAAATTACTAAACTTCCAGCCTAAAGCAGCGAAATACGAAACCCTTACGGACTTATTTAGGAATATACAAAAAGAACAACAGTTGAAGAAGAATTCTTCCGAGGGTTTCAAAAGTGCTAAAAAGTTGCTAGATGAACAAACTTCACGTTCTGATAGTGAGACGTTAGTTGACAGTACACTATTAGACTCGGTATATGATGCTCCTAATGATTCAAATTCAAAATATGAATTCAAAAGTGCTAACGAGATTTTGAAAGAACATAGTGCAGCTAGTGACAGTCAAAAGAAAATTGAAGATTTTTTCATAGCTAGGGATAGTGAGAATACAGAAATGAATGATCCAATGTCCAAATCTTTATTTGGTGACTCTGACGACGAAAGAAGCCGAAGTCCTAAAAGAAGTTTTATATCTGAGAAAAGAGTTAGAAGTAGAAGTAGAAGCAGGACACGAGACAGAAGAGATAGATTTAAAGACAGCCGAGATAGACTAAAGGATGATAGTCGTAGAAGACCTGGAAGTAGGGAAGATAGACATAGAAGAGACAGGCATAGAGATGAGGATAGGCACAGGAGAGACACTGTACACAGAAAAAAACGCAGGGGTAGTAGTAGTTCAGAAAAATACAAGTTTGACAATGAGAAAATTGAAAAGAGGAGGAGACGTAGTTCAGAAAAACTTAGAGATGGTGAAAGGAAAAGGTGGAAAGATGACAGAGATAACGAAAAAGCAAAAGAATCTGATGAAGAAAAAACAAGGTAACTTGATTTAATGTCTAATAAGCATAAGCACATTCCAAACAAACCATAATCATCAATTATTTTACTTTTATTTATTTATGTAGGTACCTATCTACTTACATTATTTGTTCAATACTTCAAAGCTGACCTAAAAGGTATGATTTATGAATGACTATTTTTCTTAATTTAGCAAATAAGACTTGACAACATGGCAATAGTTATTATAAAATTGAATTATTATCAGTGCCATGCCATTCTTATCAAATCAAATATAGATTGGTGGTGCTACAATAAAGACACATTCATAGTATTCATACAATCACCCATTATGTAGTTGGAAATTATCATGTATAAATTCTTTGAAGATAAATTTCATTCGTTTAAGAGACTATTATGTATAAATTGATTTTTGTTTTGCAGACTATCAAAGGAAAATGGCAAAAAAGAAGAGACTAAAAATGGAAACTTTGATGTAATTTTTAATGATGAAATGAAGATATTGGAAATAAATCTTCCATCTACTGACAGTAAATGTGATATCGAAACTGAAACTAATCACATTGATCTCACACAGAGGACGTACAACGAAGTTATTCAGCTTCAAGATAAAAATACTATTAAAAGAAAATATTCCGATGATATGGAAATTGATGATGATGAAGAACATATTAGTGTAAAATCAAGTGATGATAATAATGCAATAATCGAGGTTGAAGATGATATTTACAATGTTACAAAACAAGACCTGAAAGTAGCTGAAGAACCTCTAGAAAAAGAGTCTCAAGCAAATGATATATTTGCAAAAATACTTAGTAAATCTCAAAATCATGCACCAATAACATCAATATTTCAAACAACAGAAATATCTAAACCAACCAAACCACCAGAATCACAAAATGGAAAAAGTGGGCCAAGCGATAATAAACCTGATGTTAAAGTAAAGTCCAAGTCAAAATTAAGAAAAACGGAAATTGGATTGTTGGTTGTGAAATTGCTGACTCCTGCTTATGTTGATAAAAGATTTGAGTCAAGGGAGACTTTCAAGATTATGGCTAGAAAGATATCTCATTCATTGGCTGGTAAAGGTAAGTGAACTTTTTGTTATGGCTAATATAGTTGTAATATTTTTGTTTTTTTTTAGATCAAGAAGAAATTAAAGATTATGTCAAACGATTTTTGAATCGAAACATAAATATCAATTCCAAAACGACTATTTAGTGAATAGGTTGCTTTTTATTATAGCAAATATTCAGTGTATTTTATTTCTTTTTATGGATTTGGGTTTTTTTTTTCAAAACTACAAGTGATAATTGAATTAAGGATATTGATTGCAAGAAAAAGAAAACCGGAATGTTATATGTAGTCCTTTTTACAATTTTAAATTTCTAAGAGCGGAAAATAAATGAAATACCCTCTCTAGGACTTTCCTACAATAAGCATTTTATGTATGATAATAAGTTTTTGAATAGTTTTGTAAATTAGATTGAAAATATATTGTGATGGTGTATGATATGATCAGCAACCATTGGATTACCAGAATTCATTTAAATTGTATATACTTAGCTAAGTGAGAGTGTCATACATATTTAAGCATTAATAAATGAAATTCTGTTTATTATTTTGATAGCTAGCTTTTACCTTGAGAATCTCACTGAAGTAATGAGACCAAGAAAAGTTTTTTTTTTTTTTTTTCTCAAGGATAAAGAGTTTTGGGTCCATGTAGAGGTATAGTATAGCTCGAATTTCAGCCCGGCCATTATTTGCTATTTATTGGCTTTATAACGTTAATACAATGGGTCAACCACTGCTTTGAAATACACAATGATTTCTATATTTGGCAATCAACGAATCTCATGTATTTCCATCCCAAAAATTGCAACTGATTGCCAATGATTTTAAGATATTTTTGTATCATCCTATTTCTAGCTGATTTTATTGCGAAAACGATGTCTAATTGTTAAACTTCGCATTGATATGGCCAAAATAAACAGTTTTTTTCTCTTATAAAAACACGTTTTTACTGGAAAATTGGCAACTTCTGTATTTGCAACTCTTCCAAAAGTTAGCAACTTTTATTTTCTTGGTTATCCATAGTCCATAGCCACACCGATTTTGTTGTAGGTATAAATAGTTGTTGAGCCATAGATACCATTGCATGTACCCTGCATTATATGGATCTAAAATAATGGATATTTGTTTGATTGGATAAGTTGGAACAACTTATCCACCCTGTACATACAAATAAAATGGATTATTACGGAACTTACGGGTGGACCTCTGCGGGATGAGCGCAGCGAGTTCCGCAGCCCTCTATTGGCAAATAAACTGTTGAACTGTTCAAATAAGACACTCGCCTCAAACGTTTAGTTATTTAATTAATGAGAAAAATTCATGAGTAAATCAGGTTAGTATTGTACTTGAACAACATATTGGCGAATAGATGGCTGGGCCACCCATAAGTTCCGCAACAATCCACTCATTTGTACTTGAATAACTTGCACAATATATTACTAGTTTGGTAAAGTAACATTACTAATTCCTGTTAAAAGGCCAATTGACAAAAAGTGGATAATCTTACAAACTCTGACTTTATATAATAAGTTATTGTTCAAATATAAATAAATGGATTATTGCGGAACTTATGGATGGACTTCTGTGGGACGAGCGCAGCGGGTTCCGCAGCCATCTACTCACCAATGTACTGTTGAACTATACAAATAAGACACTCACCTAAAACTTGTAGTTTTTGAACTAATGAGAATAACTGACATTTAAGTGAGTCAGGTTTGTATCGTACTTGAACAACATATTGAATAAATGACTGCGGAACTCGCTGCGCTCGTCCCGCAGAGGTCCACTCCTAAATTCCGCAACAATCTACTCGTTTGTACTTGAATAACTTGTCGCATTATGTAACTAGTTTGGTAAAGTAACATCAGTAATTCTTATTACTTATTGAAAGGCAAATTGACAAAAAGTGCATAATCTTACAAATTTTGACTTTATATAATAAGTTATTGTTCAAGTACAGGGTGTGTTTCTATATCCTATTCACAATCCGATGTCCACAGGTACAGGTGAATTTATCACCTTTCCTTATCAAATAGCATTGAAAGGTGATAAATTTCACCTGTACCTGTGGACATCGGATTGTGAATGGATAATATATATTGACACCCCACCTACAGCCTTCACCTTTACAAGTAAGTAGTAGTAAATATAAAAGTTGTACAGTATTGGCTAAATTTTTAGAATCCATGGTCAGGAACAAAAATTGAATGTCAGAAATGTGAAATATTGCATGCTTTCAGCTTTTTTCAAATGGGATGCGCTATATTTGGTTCTATATTTTTGAAGAGCACAATTTCCCGATTCCAAAACTACCTATATAGTTCAACTTTTGTATTTACACTTTTCTTTTACCTGTAAAGGTAAAGGCTGTAGGTGGGGTGTCAAATATAGAAAAACACCCTGTACCTAGCTACCTATTTAAAATCACCTTATTCTCCTTAATAGTTCCCCCATTCCCATATTTTTATGGGCCATTCCTTCGAAAAACCGTAACTTGCACAATGCACTGCCAAAACTAACCCAAACTAACCCAATCTGGCTTACTTTAACTTGTTCATTGTTTTGTGTTTACATATTTTCAAGTTTATTTGCCAAACATTAAAAAATAAAATTTCTCCAAGTAGGGTAGTACCGGGGCTACTTGAACACCCGGGGTAACTTTGTCACCTTGTGCGCGCTGATAGTTTTTAATTTTTTTTTCTTCCCAAAAGTTTTCATTTGCTAGTTTTGGTATGTCTAGTTTCTTTTTTAAGTTCTAATTGACTGAAAAAAAATGCAGACCTACGAAAAAACACCAGGTAGCCGTACCTACCACAACTTAGCTGAAGAACAGGTGGCCGAAGCGGTGCGCGCGGTTCAAGATGATATGAGCAAAAAACAGGCGTCCAGGGTCTATCAAATTCCACGGAAAACTCTTACTAATAGATGCCTTGGTAGGCATACGAAACCTAGAGGTCATACAACCATCCTGAGTTCGCAGGAAGAAGCCATCATTGCAAGAACCCTGGCGTCATTGCAGATTTGGGCTTTCCATTTATACTGAGCCAATGTGCCAAAAAATGATATCATTCAAGTTTTCTTGGTAATGTTACAGAACATTTCTAAGGTTTTCCGAGTTTGTTATTCTAATTTTTCTCTCTGATGAAGTACTTTGTACAATAAAATCTATTTTTTGAGAGAATAGGCTGAAATCTTATTTAAAAATTTAAAAAAAAAAACTTACATATAATTTTCATACGAGGAGTCCATATCTGGGGTTACTTTGTCAGTCTAGCCATTTATACGCGTTTTAAAAGCATTTTTAACAGGGTGACAAAGTAGCCCCAAACACTTTGTCACCCTATTCCTTATTTTTTTATTTATTCCCTAGGGATGATAGGCAACTGCGCATATACAAAATAGTAACGTCGGTATACTTGATTTTTTCGAGCCAAAAATCGGAAAAACAAGAAAGTTACACAGTAAAATATGCCCAAAAGGTGACACAGTAGCCCCGTTTTACGGTACGTGCTGCTATTTAAGTTATTGTAAGTGAAATTTGCCAATAACTCAATAATTAAATTAGAACGCAAGAAAAATAGGAAAAAACGAGTTTGGGTTAGATACTGGATTAGACCTATAGAAGTACTCTGGGTGCGTCAGAACGACCCTCAAAGGAGCTATCAATTAAAGATCCTGATTCTTATAGGAATTTTATGAGATTATCATACCAAAAATTTCAAGGACTGTTAAGACAAGTTGAACCTAAACTGGCAAAGTCAGAAATGTGGATGAGAAATCCTATTTCTACTAAAATCAAATTGGAAGTAACATTATGATATCTTGGTGATAGTTTTGCTTCCTTGCAGTATTTATACAGGAACGTGGACGCCTGTTTTTGTGACTCCAATAATGTGCTGCAATCTATCCAATTATTCAGGATTTTGTAAAGAATAATGAAGTAGGGTGTGTTTCCGTCTCTGCTCAATAAGGCTCAACATTCCACACAGCAACAGTCTGGTCTCATAAGGTAGAGTCAAAAAATACTTGGTAATAGAGACAGTATCATTTTCAAAATGATTTCTGAAACATAGAATTACCCTATATATCGAAAGATTATTTCTCTAAGGATACCTACTAGAAACAACAAAATAAAATCTAAAAATTGATCTTTATTATCAATTATCTAAACCGTAGGTTATTTTAAAAAGTATTATACAAAAACCATTAAAAAATAAATAACCATAGAAATATTTACATGACTAGCAAAAAAAAAAAAATATACATAAAATGTTTTACAAAAACTAAAAACTAATAAATCAGTCTACTGGCTCTATTATCAACTGACAATAATAAAATCATTATTGTTAGAAGAATAATTATGGAACATCGTGTTTTTCATAATAATAATTTGATGTGCCAGAAGCTGCGAATTATAGACAAATTAATGAGGTAGACGAATACTTTACAATAATGCCTATATAATTTTTAATAATTTGACATTCCATAAAAACAACCGCATAAACTAAATCACTGTTAATCACCCATCTAAAAACTAATTTCTGGAATACATAGCTGCACAAAGCCTCAACTGGAAATCTTTGTACAAAAGTTTGCCTCCTAAAGGTACCCTGGATAGGAACATACTAGGTGACATAAGACATAAAGCTTTTCCGTTCATCAAAAACCTGGACGAAGGAACTTCTGGAAGGTTGTGGATGGTGGTGATGTGTCTGAGCCATTGACTTACATCTTCTCTAGTCCATTGTCTTGGATCTAAGAAGAAAATTGTTTTGGTAATTATTTTTTTTGTATACCTACACAAGCAATTAAGATGATTACCTTTTGGTAAGTTGATGTTTGCCTCATCATTATCAGACCTCTGACGTTGATGGTAAGTCCTATAAGCTGCCAATCGATCCCATTCTGACGCTAGACCATATCTGATTGGTCCTTCAGCTGCTTGCAGTGCCATTTTAATACTATTGTCGTAGTAGCCTATTTTGATTCGATTCTGTAACAAGAAGAGAAAAATACAAATTTAGTTTACAATATGAAACCCGAAACAATTGCCTCCCAATCAGTATCAAATTTCACCCTAAAATAAAATAGGCAAGTTTTTTTTTCCGCATCCTCTCGGTTTTGTTTGGAAAGAAAACATGTGCAACCCCCAAAAACGCCATTAACGGTTCCTGTAACTGTTTTTAGCACACACTTCTATTTGACCCCCATGCTATTAGGGTCGAGCCCTCTGAAGTACGGTTAGTCGTGTGTCAGGGGCGAGATTGCGGTCTGAGGTTTCCAAAAATAATTATCAAAACCCCCCTTATTTGATTGGTATTTTATTATTATGTATTTCCAAAGAAAAAGCCAATGACTACAGCAGCGTTGATATAATCAAATTATACTTTCAGCCAATAAATTTAGTTGTAACAGTATTGTTAATGTGCCTTTAATTACCATTATACAGGCAAATTGTTGTTTTAATGAATAATTTCAAATTATTTTCACTGCTTGAAGGTGTTTTGTGCTATGGTGTCATAATTTCTTCTAAGACCGGCTATAGTTTGAATTTCTTTTCTAGTCGAATAGTTTTTTAGAACAAACTAATCAATGGTTTATAACTTTCTAGGCTCCTTTCGTGTATATCTTGTATATCACAATATTAAAAACTTTTCCAATGGTTCTATTAAGCATCTATTGAAGAGTTTGTGGAGTCCTTCCGCAGTTTACATTTTCAATTACTTTTTCATGTTCTAGTTGAGGGATTTTTTCCCTGTGAACCTTCGTTTTCATAGAAAGATTTAGGAGTTTTTTTACAGTTTTAAAATGTGTTCCCTATCTGTTGAGAAGTCATTGTTTCATAAAGTCCTAAATTTTTCTACCTAGAAAAGAATGCTATTATCATAGGTAGGTAGGTACTTGAATTGCCATTCAATTCTACGTTGATCACCTAATTTTGGTGACTTCTAATAATCTAATCAGAAAACCAAAGCTAGAACGATCCTGAAGCAATTGATTTAAAGTCTTTGATAACTCTAGAAACTCTAGAAACTGATTTTTCAGGATAATAGAATGAAGACTTATTACTGATCATTTAAAGGAAAAATTCGTCGAAAAATGCCAATAAGATTTTAAAAGAAGACTATCTTGAAACTCCAAAGATATAGTGAAGACTTTGAGATAAGTATTTCATACAGCTCATGTTGATTAAATACCAAAGTCCAGAGATTCAAAATTGATTTTGATGATAACAAAACCTAAAACAATCATGTGTCAAAAGTTTAGTCTAAAGACTCAGCTGGTTGAACACCTAAGAGATTTGGGAGATCCTAAATACCTTACAAGATTTTTTAAGACTCTCAATTTCTTTATGTAAAGGCTTTAAAGGCTTCAAAGACTCCAAACCTCAAGATTTCCAAGTAGATATTACTTATTAGTAATAATTATAGTTATTCTATGAAGCCATTGAAACATAGGCGCAACTAGGGGGGTACTTGGGGGTGCTAAGCACCACTAAAGCAAAAATTAGCACTCCCATTCGGCGTCCCACCATAGCACTACCTACAGTGGCACTACCTAACACTAATATAAAAAATAAGTGCAACCAAATTATTTATTTTTTTTGCACTTTTTGTACTTACTAACGTCATCGATGACGTCATAATTTAGAAAAAATTATTTGTCGTTGATTAATTCATAGAGCACGGTCGCAATTATTATTGTTATGGAATAAAATTTTTCAACCGGGGCCGGTATTACAATATTACCTTAAAATCAAGACTTACCCTAAAATATACGGTTTTTATGTTATATTTAGGATGACGTCATCAAACAAGGTCAATGTCTATGTTTATTCTATATCTTAAGGTGACATTGAAATACCGGCCCTTAAAAAATCATTAGAGTCCCAAATATATAAATTAATTAACTTCGTATTATACAGGGTGTTCCTAAATTTCATGTACAAACGACAAAGGGTGATTCTTTGTTTTTTTTTTAGGACTGAAATTTCAAATATGTTCTAAAATATTGACTTATTTAAGCAAAATAAAAAAAAATTCACCCTCTTACATTTTAATTTTTTTCTGGAAAACCTGCAAAGGGAAAATTTTGAAAATTTTCCAGGAATAAGAGGGAAATAAAGAGCTCATTTTACGAAAATTTCAAAAATTTCCAGTGAAAAATCACTCCAGGAAAAGTTTTAAAAAACTAACTTTTTTAAGCAAAATTAAGGAGAATTCACCTCTTACATTTTAATTTTTTCCTAGAAATCTGGCAAAGGAAAAATTGTGAAATTTTTCCAGAAGAAAGAGAAAAGTGAGGAGCTCAATATAGGAAAATTTCAAAATTTTCCAGTGGAAAATCACTTCAGGAAAAATTCTGGGATATCGACTTTTTTAGGCAAAATTCACCCTCTTACATTTTAATTTTTTTCTGGGAAACTGGCAAAAGGAAAATTGTGAAAATTTTCCAGGAAAAAGAGGAAAATAAAGAGCTCATTATAGCAAAATTTCAAAATTTTCGAATGAAAAATCATTCCATAAAAAATTCTGGAAAATTGACTTATTTAAGCAAAATTAAGGAAAATTAACTCTCTTACATTTTAATTTTTTTCTAAAAAACTGGCAGAGGGAAAACTTTGAAAATTTTGCAGTAGAAAGAGGAAAGTGAGGAGCTCATTATAGGGAAATTTCGAAATTTTTCCGTGAGAAATCACTCCAGGGAAAATTCATCCTCTCCCATTTCATTTTTTTTTTTTGGAAAAGTGGCAAAAGAGGAAAGTCAGGAGCTCATTATAAGAAAATTTCTAAATTGTCCAATAAAAAATCGCTCCAGGAAAAATTCTGAAAAAAATGACTTTTTCAAGTAAAATTAAGAAAAACTCATCCTCTCACATTTCAATATTTATTTCTGGAAAACTAATAAAGCAGAACTTGTGAAATTTTTCCAGGAGAAAGAAGAAAATGAGGTATAGGAAAATTTCAAAATTTTCTAGCGAAAAATCACTCCAAGGAAAGTCGAGCGGAAAGTTCTGGAAAATTGACTTTCTTAAGCAAAATTCATCCTTTCACATTTCATTTTTTTTCTGGAGAACTGGCAAAGCAAAAATTGTGAAATTTTTCTAGAAGAAAAAGGAAAATGAAGAGCTCATTATAGGAAAAATTCTGAAAAATTGACTTTTTCAAGTAAAATTACGGAAAATTCACCCTCCTACATTTTAATTTTTTTCTGGAATACTGGCAGAGGGAAAACTTTGAAAATTTTTCAGGAAAAAGAGGAAAGTAAGGAGCTCATTATAGGGAAATTTCGAAATTTTCCAGTGATAAATCACTCCAGGAAAAATTCAAAGAAAATTGACTTATTTAGGCAAAATTAAGGAAAATATAACCTCTTACATTTTAATTTTTTTCTGGAAAACTGGCAACTGCAGCACCCCTCAAATTTGGTGCCTAGTTGCGCTTATGCATTGAAAACATTTCAAATGTTGTTTTATAAATTTTGTAAACTATTATTATAAACTGTAAATGGCTAGGTTGGTAATAGTAACTCACCCAGAAGCCCTCTATCATCAGGTCTTTTTCTTTAAATTAAGGTTAGCTAGCTATTCACAAAACGACAATTTGAAAACGACTTAAATATCAGAAAACAATTTGACTGAGTGCGTTTTTTAAGTAGCTACTACCGGTGATAAGTTCTTATATTTACCCCAAATAGTAATTTTGGCTTGTACATTTTACAATAAGTAGTTACTTATCTCCTGTTGAGCCCTATAATAAATAATTAGAAGATGTACCTACTAAAAAAGGTACTTATATGATTATGTTGGATAATTTATTGCCCCTAAAAATTCAATATCTAAAGTAGTTTTCGAAATAAAGGGAAGTGACTTATGGCTTATCACCTACATATTTCAAAACATAATATATCTGATACGATTTGATATTACGAATACATCAATACAATATACACCATTATTGTTAATTTTCAAATAAACAATTGTACGAACTCAAAAATGTAAATTACTATAGACAGGATATGACTTTATAATTTGCATCGATAGTAATTATACAAAACTAGGTAAACGGAAACTTGATACCGATTGTGGGTATCAAAATATACCACGTTGACGACTGATAAATATAGACAATTCAATAAATGGACAGGATGTTGTTCGAGATAAAGGCGATAACGGGAGGGATCCTATTATTGCTTATATTTGTTTATTTTTTTTGGGACCCTATTGAACTTTTTTTTGTCCCCGATAACCCTCTGATGGGGAGGAAGTTATAATTTAATTAACTGATTAATATTGTCTAGACAATAGTGAAATATTATTTTCCAAAAACAGGATATCCCGTTACAAAACAAAAATAGCTCAATACAAATTTATTATATCGACCCTTAGTGAGGGGTTGAAAAATTGCGGTACAGGAAAGGGGTGGTGTTTTCGAAAAACGTATGGCGTTTCCGCCGCTGATGGCGGAGAGCAACATCCGTGTATGCCTATTTTCGAATTCAAAGAGGGCCATTATGAGGTTTGACGCCCCTCCGAAGGATGTGTCAAAAAGGCATCCGAAATTTTTCGGCGAATGTCTCCTTTGATTTTACAGGAAGTCGTAATCTGCTTGTGTGGCGCCCTAATAACGAACAGTAGTACACACAGTATGGCTCGTTTTTTCTACTTTTGATTAATCAATTTTTAACTGATAAGATCAACAGACATTTGTTCTGGGAGAAGTATTCAGAAATTAAAGACGCTTTATATCCAAAACCATTAAATCGGTTTTGGATATAAAGCGCATAGTTTGTAGGTTGCTATCAGTTGAAATTAAGTAAAAACAGTAAGTGATTAGTGCTAAAAACCGATCAAACTGAGTATTTGGAACATCAAAGTATCAGAAATTAAGCAAAGCCCATTGGAATGTTCAAAAACCAAGTGCAATCAAAATTGGATGTCTTTCAAAATATGATAAAGTGAAGTAGGTAGATATAAATAGATAGTCTATTATA